GTCCGCCAGCCACAGGTTCATGGCTTCTTCCACTCATCCAATGATACCCAAGCGTGTACCATGTGCCAGGCATGCCGGGTGCTGGGTTTATAACAACAAGTGAGACCCAGACTAGTAATCTAGAGATTGCAACAGAGCAATGACAACAGAGTATGAGAAGTGAGTGGATGGAGCAGAGGAATCTGTGGGAGCGTAGAGAAGAGGCCACTAACCAGCATTGGGGGAAGGTTAAGGAAAACTTCCAAGAAGTGGCATGTAAACTGAGACCTGAAGGATGACTAGGAGCTTGCTGGAAGGCCGGTGAGAAAGGACAGTCCAGTCAGAGGAGACAGAAAGTACGGTGTAGAGGTTGTCAAACTATGGCCCACTTCCTGGTTTTATATAAAGTTTTATTGAAACACAGTCATGTCCATTCACTCAGGTATTGTCTCTGACTACTTTTGCTCTATGCAGCAGAGTGGAATAGTTGTGACAGAGATGCTATGACTTGCAAAGCATAAAATATTTACTATCTGGCCCCTGACAGAAAAAGTTTGCTGACCTAGAGGATAGAGAGCTCATGCTGCCTTTTAGGAACATAGTGGCTGGAGGGTCGAGGGTGGGAAATGTGCAGGAAGTGGCTCAAAATGAGTCCTTCTTCCCTTACCATAGTGGATGATCCAGAAGTAGACACACCTGATTTAAACCAAGCTAATTAGATTCCCTTCCTGGAATTTGAAACGTGGACCATAAGACCCAGAAGTGGAGCCAAGTGACATTAATGTCTGTGAACCTCTGCTGCTGAGACCCCAGACTGGTTAATTAACAATTCCTTTGACTCAGAAGGCCCTCGCCATCAATTCCCCAAACTTTTAGTTTTCATTTCCCTTCAAAGTCAGTTTCTGTTACTTTTAATGAAAAAAACTTTAGCTAAAATGAAGGGAATGGAGAGAGAGGAAGCTGGCAGAGTATACAGGTTTGGTCAGCATGGTCCAATATAAGTACAATGTGAGCCACATATACAATTTTACATTTTCTAGTAGCCACATTTTTAAAAAGTAAAAATAAATGAGTAAAATTAATTTTAATAGTATATTTTATTTCACCCAATATATATGAAATGTTGTCATTTCAGTCTGCAGTCAATACTTAAAAGTTGTTAATGAGATAGTTTACACTCTCCTCTTTGAAATCTTGGGTGTATTTTACACTTAAAGCACATCCCAAATCAGACTAGCCACATTTCAAGTGTTCCATAGCCACAGGAGCTGGTGGCTAATACAATGGACGGCATAGATGGAGACTCATGGCTGTGGAGGATCAGCTAAGAAGTCCTGGCTTCATTCTGAAAGCAGTGGGCATCTCCTGAAGAGATTCAAACCAGGAAGTAAAAGGAAAAGAACTGCATTTTAAGATCACTCTGACTTCCACTTAAAATATGGACTGGACAGGAGTTGAGACTGGAGCTGGGGGTATCAGTTAGGAGGAGTTGATTAATCCAAATGAGAGAAGATGATGATGATGGACTTTGGCAGCAGCAGGAGAGATACTGAGATGTAGCTGAATTCAGGAGACGCTTAGTAGGCAAAGGCAACTTGCCTCATCATCATTGTTGCCCCAGCACACTAAAGCTATTTCCCACATCCACACCTTTGTGTATCTCCTCCCTACCACCCCATCCCAAATATCTTCCCCTTGTCTCTCTGGTAACCAAAGAAGCAAATCCTCCCCAATCTTTAAGGCATAATCCATGATAGTTATGCACACAAAGTGGTCCACAGTAGAAGATTGATAAACAAATGTTTCTTTCCTCCCTCAAGAAAGTCTTCTCTGAACACTCCTGCCCACACCTAATCCCCAATCCTGAAGTATGAAAGCCAGGAAAATTGGTGCCCCCCAACCTAGGGTAGGCTGAGGTCCTATCCTGGGAACTTGTTGGCAACTCTGAGAAGGGCAGTAATTTCAGCTGCTTGGGTGAAGGTGGAGAGTTGTGTTTAACCAGGGTTGCGGTTTTGCTAAGAGAGAACAACAAATGAAAAAGGCAAGGAGTTGAGTGTGAACACAAGGGAGTAAGTATAAAGATTGGCCATGGCATTTAAGCTGGCATAGGAATCTTTAAGTCCTGTCCATAAACATTCCAGTTCACCCTACCCCCTCTACCTCACATCTGGACTTTGGGTAAAAATGCACTGTCCACTTGAGGTTGGGTATGGCCATATGACTGGTTCTGGCCGACCAGATGATAACAGATCCTAGCTGGAGCATTTAATTGCCAACAAGACCCTCCAGAGTTCTCTTTTCCCTCTGGCGTAGTGACCAGCATTATTTGAGATGATGACTTTTCAATCAGCTTGGGTTTCTGACTATGATAAGCAGAGACCCCTGTTGAAATACAATATTCAAGTAGTGTGAAGCTTTACCGTGTTAAGACTTAAAATGTAAGCCATTGAAATTTTAGGGTTGCTTGTTACTGCAGTGTATCCTAGTCTATTCTGACTGATACAGTTAGAAGAGAGGATATTAACAGGGAGAGAGACAATGCAAAATGTAGGATTACTAGATTTCAGTTTCTGGCGTTGAAGGATTGATGGAGTTAGAATAAGAGGGAGTATAACTGGAAAGACAGGAGAGGTTGCATATAGAATTAGATTCATGGCAGGGTCTAGAGTATGACCATGGGAGTGAGTGGCTGAGGTAGAGAGGGGACAAGATCTTTGAAGGAGGTCAAGAAACTGAGAGGACAATGGTTGGAAGGATCATCACTGTGTATGTTGAAATCATTAAAGATTAAGGCAAAAGCAATATGTAAGAGAGTGACCACCAGAAGCCAAAAATTTTGTTTCTCTTCCCACAACTAAGATATGAACACCATAAAGGCAAGGGACTTTTATGCTCACTTTTGTGTCCCCCATGCCTGGAACAGTGACAAGCACAGAGAAAGCACTTAGTAAATATTTGCTGAATGAATGATTGGATGAAGAGGAGAGTGTATGGGACACCATACACTTTGACAAGTAAATCTAACTCAGGGAAGAGAGTTCCCTCCAGTTCTTACTTCCTTGATTCTATTTTTCTGCAGTATTTCTTTCCCAGACAACAGTGGCTGTTTTCTCTTTGTCCAACCTAGAGTCTGCTTGTTTTTTCTAAGTTCTTGTTGCCAGAAATCTCAAGGAGATACTTTTTAAACTCATCCTCAGTGACCTGCATGCTGGCAGATCTAGCTAATACCATCCCCCATGTTACCAAACATTGGCATTGTTTTCTCCTCTGCCTTCTCCCTCATTCCCACAACCAACTCCCACCGCCAAATGTCTTCGATTCTTTTTCTAGATATATCTCAAATTCGTCCTCTGCCCTTCATCACCACAGCCTCTGCCTCAATTCAGATTCTCATCATCTCTTCCCTAGCCTGCAACAACTTTCTCCTCCTAGTCTCCCTGCTTTCTCTCTTTGATTCTAATCCCTCTCTATTAGTTATTTATTGCTGTATAACAAATAACCTTAAAAATATGTTACGACTTAAAGCCACAAACATTTATTATCTCACAGTTTCTATGGGTCAGGAATCTGGGTGTGGCTTAGCTGGGTACCTCTGGCTCAGGGTCTCTCATATGGCTGCCCTCAGGTGTTGGCTGGGGCCACAGTCATCCAAGGCTCGTCTAGCGGAAGATGCCCCTCCAGGCTCACTCATGTGGCTGTTAGAAGTTCTCAAGTACTTGCTGGCTCTTGGACAGCGACATCAGTTCTTTGGCACATAGGCTTTTCCATAGGGCAGCTCACAACACGGTAGATGTCTTTCCTAAAAGCGAGTATGAGAGAGCAAGAGAGGGCACTCAAGATAGAAATCACAGTCTTTTTGTAATCTAATCTCAGAAATGACAACCCATCACTTCTAACATACTCTGTTCATTAGAATGGAATCAATAAGCCCAGTCCATACTCAAGAGGAGGGAATTACACCAGGGTGTGAATACTGGGGTGCAGGATCATTGGGAACATCTTAAGGACTGCCTACCACACCCTCTTCACTGCCTCCTAGTGAGGCATCTTAAGTACAAAGCTGACTTCTCTCCCCTGCTCAGGAACTTTTGATGACTTGCTGATACCTCCAGGACATAATCCTCCATAATATGCTCCAATCTCCATTTCATTCTCATCTTCCATCCTGTACTGCAGTTCCCAAGAAGGGACTCTGAATGATCACACCACTATTCCCTTGTACACACCATTCCTCTGGTCTGGAATGCTCCCCTCTAACTCCTCAGACTTTCCTACCCAGCCAACTCCTACTCATCCGTCAAGGCCCCTGGCTTCTGCCAAGTCCTTCCTAACCCTAGCAGGCAGTTACGTCTACTTCTAATCAGAACTACCTTGGGCACCCTGTGCTTTCCATTAACACAGCACTTACCACACCAAATCGTACTTATTTCCACTTAGATATCTCACAGGATCTCAAAATTTGACATGTCCAGAAATTCATTTCTGCTGATTTTTACATCAATGGGATTTAGCAGGAGATGGATCTCGGAGCTTCACGGTCTCAATTGGAGATGTACAGAACAAATAGAGCCTCACCATCTTAACTGGAGTTATTAAAGTGCCCAGAGAAGAGCCATTTGATAATAGAGTTCTACCAAATAAACACATATGCTGCTGTAAAGGCAATTATGGTCACCATAGGCTTCCTCTAAGCATAGGAAGAGGGCTGGGTGGGAAGAGCGGTTGAGAGGAACCTCCAGAGTAGACAGAGATGCTTCCCAATCTGTCTTCGCTAGTTACTATCTGTTCTGGGCAAGTTGTTTCATATCTAGCCTCACTTCCCTAATCTGTAGATGGAAATAACTTAAGTGGTTACTATGGTTACCATAGTCAAGTCCCATTCTAAGCACTTTAAATATGTTAATTTATTTAATCCTTAGGACAATGGTAAGAGGTAGGTACTATTATTCCATTTTACAGATGCCGAAACTGGCGCAGGGAGTTACTTGCACCAGGAAACACAGGTAACGACTGGCAGAACCAGGATTCCAACACAGGCAGTGAGGGGTCGGAGTCTGTGTCATAATCCACTTCACAGGCTTGTGTGGATTAAACGAAATAATCCAAGTGAAGGGCGAGGGCAAGGAATGGCACACAGCAAGTACCCTTTATTAGTTTAAAATGTGAAACACTTTGGCCTGGAAGTCAAGAATTCGCTCAAAGCCCCTGATTTTATGCGTGAACTCATCAGGCGTCTCCTCTCGGGTATGAAATGGACGGGGAGGACACTGGAGACGAATCCCCTAGAAACGTACAGCCCTCAGGCCCTTTTACTCTAGGATCCTGCTACTTCAGAAGTAGAAGCGGAAGTAACTGGTGGACAAGGAGCGCACTTCCGGTGTTCCTTCAGCCCTCTCTACCCCGGCAGACAGGTCGTCCCCTTCCCACGCCGCCTGCGTCCCGGGCTGACCCCTTTCTCGTGGGAGCCCCGCCCCAGGCGAAGGCTCGGTTTTCCATTGGTGGAGGTCAGGAGCTGCGTAGCCGTCTTTCAACCAATGGACTCCGCTGTCTCTTCCGTTTGGTAAAGTCAGCCCCTCCTCCGGGCCGGCAGAGGGCGCGAGAGCGCGTGGCTCGAAGCCTAGGAGGTTCTCCGACACGGAAGTGACGTCACGACGCCGGAAATCCACGGCCGCGGAGACTGCGGGATGTGATGGAGAATTCTAGGGGGTGGAGGTCGAGCGATAAAGTTTCCGCGAGGCGGTCAGATAGATGAGAAAACAAGCTGCCAGCGGAGGGGCTTGCTCAGTATTTACTCAGCCAGAAAGTCTTCCAAGACCAGCGCGCTTCCCACATGCCTCTCGGAGCGGAGGGGTAGCCCCTTGGGGGATTTTGCTCTGCCTGAGGAGTTGCGCAAGCTAGTCTCACGGAGATATCCCCCTTCCGCAGATCGGGAACACGAAACCCAGAGAGGGACAGGGACTTGCCAGGGTGGGGTTGCCAGATTTAGCAAATAAAACGCAGGACGCCCAGTTAAAGTTGAATTTTGGTTAAACAATGTTTTAGTATAAGGCATGTACGTTTACTAAAAGGTATCCGTTGTTTATCTGAGTTTAGAGCTAGCTGGGCGTCCTGTGATTTATCTGGCAATCAGCCTACGGTCACCCAGCTGAGGGGAAGGGCAGAAAGCTATTGAGGCATCCTATATGCCTCCTCGCCTAAGGTTCACTGTTGTGTCAACCTGCACCCTTCCTGAGTGTAACCCTGAGGTGGCCTACAGGGCCCCCAGTTCACTCGGGTCAGTGGTCTGCCCTGTACAGGGTCTAGGCTGCTGTTCAGGAACTGAGGAGAGGAGGCCAGATACTACCCCTACCTTGGAATTTAGGGGTACCCCACAGCCTCCAAGACTAGTTTATTCAGAAGACACTAAGCCCTTAGTCTGTGCCAAGTACAAACCCAGGCTTTGGATCACATTGGCAAATGGAAGAAACGCTCTCTGTCTTTATGGAATTAACAGATTTGCAGGAGGACAAGTAGAAAAATTACGCTACATTGTGACCAGCAGTCCTTTAATATGGTTAAATACAGGATGCTGTGAAAGCTCAGAGAAGCAGTACCTAACGAAGGCATAGAGTAAGAGACAAAGGAGAGATGCCCAAGCTGAGACCTGAAAGATTCCTTCACTCAACAGTTATTTATTGGACATCCATGTGTAGGGCAGTGGTCTAGGCACTGAGGACACAGCAGTGAACAACATAAATCTCTGCCCTTAAGAGCTTAATTCTAAATGGAATGTATAGTATGGTGATGCTGAGCTATGGGGAGGGGGAAGTACGACTATGAAGGGGATGATAGAATGCTGGGGTGGGAGTGTTACAGTTTTTAAGAAGCTGGTGGTCAGGAAGGCCTCACTGAGAAGGTGACATTTGAGCAAAGACCTGAAGGGGTGAGGGAAAGAGATCATGGAGCTTTGGGGGTTTATAAGGAAATGTGTCGGGCATGTTGGAGGAACAGAAAGAGGAGAATGATGCACTGCCTCCAATCTGATAGCTTTCTAAGGGATTTTCAGTGATCATTTTTGCATGGTGTTTCTTGCCTTAAATATTGTCCTTAGAATCTAATTCCAGTAAAATGTGAGTTCACATAACTAGGTGGGAGGCCACTTTGAATAGGGTATTCAGAAAAGGCCTTCCTGAGAAGGCAACATTGAAGGTGAGCCCTTTATGGTGAGAATGAGTCAGCCCTGGAGAAGCTGGAAGAAGAGCTGCTTAGGCAGAGGGAACAGCCAGGGCAAAGGCCTGGAGGCAGGAAAGAACTCGGTAAATGTGGGGAACCAAAAAGAGGCCAATAGACTGGAGAGAGAAGAGCGGCGTGAGATGAGGTTGGAGAGGTGGGCAGAGGTCTCAGGCCATTTAGCTTTTATTGGCATCACGATGGGACTCAACTGAAGGATTTTCAGCAGAGGACTGACAAGAATGGATTCATGTTTCAAAAAGATACCTGCCTGCTAGGAGGCTGTATCGGATAATTTTGCTGGTTGAATTCACATGGGCTTAGCTGCTCATCACAGAGGTGCCAGGAAGAGGATTTAAAATGGAGTGAAGGGTTGAGTGGGAACTTCCAGCCTGTCGCCTCCCCTATGGACCTTTACAGCTGGAATGAGCTGGCTTGGGCAGGTGGGTTTCCTAGGGGACGGGTGACACCCAGAGAGCCAGCATTTCCCTCCTGAGCAGGGATTGACAGAAGTGACAACTTGTGTCCCTCAGACCCCGTCAGGTTCTCTAGCTGGGCTTGCCTTAACCAGGCTGGGGGATGAAGGAAGTGCATGCTACCAGCAGCCCACCGGGTCTCCTCCCTCTGCCCCTTTTGAATATACTTTCAGTTATCTCTTCAAAGGTCCTGTCATGCGTCTGCTCCAAAGGCACACAGGCTCCAGTGAGAAATCTGTTCAAACTCCATACCAGCTGCTGTCACTTTAAAAAGCTACAGAGGACTCTCCCCAGTGAACCTGCTTCAGACAAGGTAATGAGATAGGGCTGGCTCTCACTGTGGCCAGCTGTGTTCGCAGGGCACCTGCCACCTTTGGAAGCAGATGCCCAGTTCCAGCAGAAAAACCTGTGTTTGCCCCTCACCCCCCGAGAAAAAGCATGAGTGAGTCCAGATCTGCTTGGGCATGGAAATGGAAGAAGTCTCAGAAATAGTCTCATTGATGGAGGGCTGAGCCCAGTGTGGTAATATGTAAAACGTGGCTTTGCATGGATAATAACGGGCAGTAGAGTTACCCTTTCTGATTGCTCTCTGAGCCCCGTAGTGTCCTGAGCTTTCAGCCTATCTGTTGTCAAAGTATCAAACACGAGGCCCAGCCTGGAAAACGGAGACACATCTGCTTTGGCAAGCGCCTAGTTCACTCAGAACACATTGCCTCGTTAGAGGACCTCAAAGCCACGTGTAGGACCCAGGCCTGGCTGAGAGACTGAAACAGGGGGGCCAGGTGTGATATCATGCTTTATAATAAGAACTATGTTCTTGGTCTTCATCCCCGTTCCTAGCGCAGAGCTCCTAAAATCCTTGGAATTTCCTAAGTGACGAGAGCAATAAAGGTGTCTTTTGTTATGTCCCATCCCTCAACCTCCAGCAAGCGGAGAGGGGCTGAAGATTGAGTGCAATAACCAGTGGCCAATGATCTAATCAATCATACCTGTGTATTGAAGCCTCCGTAAAAACCTAAAGGACAGGGTTTTAAACCTAGGGTTTAAACTCCGTAAAAACCTAGAGCTCCCAGGTTGGTGAGCACACAGAGGAGCTGGGAGAGTGGCACGCAGGGGAGAGTTTGGAAGCTCCAGGCCCCTTCTCCCTACCTTGCACCATGCATCTCTGCCTTCTGGCTCTTCCTGGGTTATGTCCTTTTGTAATAAACCAGTAATCTAGTAAGTAAGATGTTTCTCTGAGTTCTGCGAGCTGCTCTAGCAAAATAATTGAACCCAAGGAGGGGGTTGTTGGAACCTCCGATCTATAGCCCATGGATCAGAAGCACAGGGGACAACCTGGACTTGGTGATTGGCATCTGAAGGAGGGAGGGAGTCTTGTAGGACTGAGCCCTTAACCTGTGCAGTCTGAAACTATCTCCAGGCAGATAGTGTCCGAATTGAGCTGAAATGTAGGACACCCAGCTGGTGTTGGAGAATTGCTTGGTGGTCTGGGGAAAAACCCACATTGTACCAGGCTTACCCAGAGAGAAGCTCAAGTGAAGAGATAACAAGCACGGTGCAATGTCCAGAACAGGCAGATCCACTAGGATGGAAAGTAGATTCACGGTTGCCTGGGACTGAAGGAAGGGGAAAGGGAGTAACTGCTGATGGGCACTGGGTTTCTTTTGAGGTGATGAACATGTTTGAGAATTGGATAGTGGTGATGGCTGCACAAACCCTGTGAAGATATTAAAACCACTAAATTCTACACTTGAAAGAGTGAATTTTAAGGCATGTGAATTCTATCTCAATTTTTTTTAATTGCAGAAGAAAAATCTTTCCGATCCCCTATAACGCTGGGGGAACTCTAAAATCTGAACTCCTTTGCTGAGCAGCTCAAACACCCAGGTGCATAGCTTGGAACCGTAGGAGTGTGAAGGAACCTTTGTCCTGACAAAGAACTGCCAGTCCGAGAGACATCAGCATTGGGGCCCATGGCGCTGGATGCGGCAAGACTCTATGGCCAACTCTGTTCTGACAGTCCCTGCCTGAAGGGGCAAAACCACCCACCTCGTGTTTGCACTACTCTTACTGCCTTATGGGCCTGCAAGGACAGTTAGGGTGCAAGGTCTCCTCAAAACCTCCCTGACACCCAGCTCTTTGCTCTTCGTCCTTGCTATGACTGTCTGAAGCTGTGTCAAATACCCGACTGCCCCCACTTTGGGCCAGGCCTTAGGCTGGGTGTTGGGTTCACACAGAGGCCCCTCACCAGTCATGAGCTGCGGCTCCAGGGCTGAAGGGAGGCAACTCTGACCCCCACCTCAACCCCTGGCAGCTCCCCCTTCCTCGTGATGCCAGACATGGAGGCCTGTGCAGAGGAGAGAGATGAGTCAGAGAAGCTGGGTGCCAGTGCCCCGAGATGCCCACACTGCGGCTGGCTCAGGACTGCAGCAGATGGCATGGGGTCATCAGTGTAGGCTGGAAAGTCTCACCCCTGGCCTAACCCAGGCTGCTTTGTGAATTGAACTGCCAGATTCCACTGTAGTATTAAAAAACCTAAATGTTTATTTGCTTCATATTTACAAAGGTGAGAAGGAGACCAAGGGAGACCCCAAGGACACCCCCATACCTGGCTGACCAGGCCCTTTGCGCTGCAGAGGAGGCAGACACAGCTGGAAGGGACAGGATTTATGTTGCATACTTGAACTACAGCGAGGTAAGACTGGTCCTATTTACAGGGCAGAAACACTACAGGTGGAGTGTGGGGGGCAGCAGAGCAGGCACCAGAGTCCTGGCCAGAGGGTGCCCCTGCTCGCTGCCTTCCCCACCTCTCCCAGAGGCATCTCTGCGGCCCCGCTGGGGTTCTCGGGGGGAGAACGGGCCCGCTCACATGATGCTCGCCGGGGTGAAGACAGGGCCCACGCACAAGGTGTCTGTGATCTCCCAGCCACAGGACAGAGGCTTGCACACACCCTCGGTGTCCTCGTCCTGTTCTGCAGGCAGCAGCTGCCCTCGAAGTGCTTCCCTGCAGGGAGAGAGGGCCACAGAAAGCAGCCAGCATGGGGCCCACAGGCCAGAAGTTCTCCCCTGAGCCCCAGAGCCCAGCCCAGGGCCCGAGTGGGTAAGGCCTGCTGACCCCACCTCCTCCACTGCTCTCTTCTCCCCCGTAGTCCACCCCACAACAAGGGAGAGGAAGCCGCAGTTATGGAGCCCTTACTCCATGGCAGACATTGTGCCAGGCACTTGACTTACATTATCTAATCGTATCCTCCCCAAACCCTGAAAGGGCAGCATTATCGCCCCAATTTACTGATGAGGACACTGAGACTCAGAGAGAAGTGACCTGTCCAACGTCACATCCCTAGAAGGTGGTAGAACTAGGATTCAACCCAACTCTCTTACTCCAAAGCCCACGTTCTTCATCCCCCAGGCTTAGGACTTAAAACAAAATTCATTTCCTGGCTCCCTCAAAAAATCCTACAGGGGGCCGGCCCAGTGGTGCAGCGGTTAAGTGCGCATGTTCCACTTTGGCAGCCCAGGGTTTGCTGGTTCGGATCCCAGGTGTGAACATGGCACTGCTTGGCAAGCCATACTGTGGTAGGCATCCCACATATAAAGTAGAGGAAGATGGGCACGGATGTTAGCTCAGGGCCAGTCTTCCTCAGTGAAAAGAGGAGGATTGGCAGATGTTAGTTCAGGGCTAATCTTCCTCGAAAAAAAAAAAAATCCTACAAACTGTTTCTCTTCCTGCCTGCCCATCTTGATAAATGGCTCTGTCATCTGCTCAGCTGCTCTAGCCACAAGCCGGGAATCTTGTTCCCGCACCCAGTCAATCCTTGAGAAGCCCAGCTCCTGAACATCCTCACAGGTACCCACTTCTCTCCACTCCCACTGCCGCCGCCGTCTGCAGTTCCCCTGATCTGCTCCTGCCTCCTCCAGACCATTCTGGCCTAGGTTCATCTTTTCCAAAAGGCAAATCTCTGCCCTTGAGTCGCCAGCGGCGTCTCTCCACTCTCGGGCCTGCGCTTTCCAGTCTCGCACTTGCAGGAAGGCCTCCCTCTTTGCTGATGTGCACAATTTGACAGCAAGTCAGTAGTCAGTATCTTTGCACAGAGCCCAGTCGGGCTGTTCCCTTCCAGGTGGAAGGCCCTCCAGGCCAAGCGCCCTCTGTCTGTCTCCTTATCTTTCAAAATGAGTTGGTCCAGTTTCTTAAAACCCCTCAGTGACTCCCTGCTGCCTTCAAGATCAAGTCCAGTCTGGGCCTCCAAGGTTCTTCTTGATCCAGTTTCCCTCACATGCCACTCCAGCCAGCCAGAGCATTTCTTCAAATGAACTGGACTCTTTCAAGACCCCACACCTCTCAGCCCGGGCCACCCTCCTGTCAGCTTGCCTGGCCCTCCTGTGCCTGCCTAACCTCCCCTTACCCATCAGGTGGTACCTCATGAGAAGCAGCCCTGACCACCCCTTCCTGGTCTGCTGTCCCTCCCTCCCCACTGACCTCTGCACTCTCTATGCCAGTGTCTGTGTGTGCAGGTCTGCACCTCGCTCGCTCTGTCTTAGATGCTCTCATACCCCCTAGGGCCCGGCACAGAGCCAGGCACTAAGGCAGGATGTTTTGATGAAGCTCCTTTGATATGGGGAGTTTTTTGACAAGGCCGTTTCAGTACATCAGAACATGTTGTTCCTAGTAATGGGGGCCACTGTTCCCTGCACCCTCCCCCGCCCGTCTGCTGTGATGGAGCCAGGATGGGATAAGGAAGCCTGCGTGTGGTTGCCTTTGTAAGTTTGTTCTTTAGGCCTTGATCAAAGACCCCCGATGTCAAATGGCAGCCTCAGCCTGTCTCGTACTCCTGCAGGGAGTAGAAACAACAAAGGTGTGTTGACCCCATGAATGAAATGAGATGGATACTGAGCCCTGTCAGGCCTGGGGTTTGGTAGCATTGTTCCTGGGGGGCCCTCAAGCACCCACGTGTCCCTCAGACACAGGCTACACTCACTCCTGAGGCCCAGCACAAAAGCCTCTCCCTCTGCTCTGCGCTCGGTAGCCGTCTCCCCAGTCCCCCAACGGGGGTTCTTCGCCACTGACCAGCTGTGTGACCTCAAGCAAGTGACCTCTCAGTTTGTGATAACACTGGTCCCACAGAGTTTTGTGTGGGTGAGGGGAAGTAATCATGAGATGCCTGACAGAGGGTTCAACCAAGGTGACTTCTTTCTGTCTGCCCTCCTCTCGCCTCACTGGGTCCCAGCGCTAGCCTGGTGAGGCGAGCAGGGCGAGTGTTATTCTCATTTTCTAGCTGGGAAGACCCAGGCTCAGTGAGCAGGCGTCTTTCCTGGGTCACAGAGCAGCCACTGGACTGGTGAGCTCTGTCCACATCCACCCTTGTCCTCCCTCACTCCACACAGAAGCCAGAGTGGTCCTCCCAAAATCCAGATCAGACCCTGTCACCCTGCTTCAGACTAGTCCATGTTTCCCATGGCTCAGAGCCCTTCACCGAGCCTTCAAGGCCCTTCCCACATCCAGCCCTGCTTCCTCTCCAGCCTTGAACAACCTCATGTAGTTTCTTGAAGGCAGCAAGCTTGCTTCCTGTTCCTTCTGCCTGGAACCCCCTCCCACCTCCTACTGCCTCGCTCCCATTCCTCCACCTGGCTTGACTTCCTTGTAGCTTCCTCAGGGAGGTAGGTCTGGGCCTCAGGGAGAGCTCTAAGCCTGCGCAGCCCACCCCGCCACCCAGTATTATCAGGAGTGCCTCCTTCCTCTCTGCGTCTCACGGGGCTCCACGTTTCTCAAGGGCAGCTCGGTCTCAGCTTTCCCTCATTGTCTCTGCCCAGGCTGCTCCCTTCTCCTCCCCTCCTCCGTTTCCCAGCAGGGCCCCCTTACCAGGCCAAACGGGACATGGCATAGGTGACGTGGCAGGTCTGGGTCTCCCCGAGGCGGGAACCCATGCCCACGGTGTAGGCGCCCATGTGTTCAAAGACCAGCCAGTCCCCTACGTGTAGTTGCGGCAGCCACAGGCCCTCAGCCACACAGTCACAGCCATCGACCGCCGGGCCCCACAGGCTGCTGCTGTACAGGGGCTGCTCCGTGGATGGTTTCTGCAGGAGGGAGGGATGGCCACATTCAGCTCTCCTGGGCATTCTGCGCACAGCCTCAGCACTGCCTCCCTCGCAAGCCTTCCAAGGCTCCATAGCCAATTGGATAAAGACTGGATGGGTCTCCTGGCCTGGCATTTAAGGCCCTCCCACTTCTCTACATTCATTGCCTCTTACACTCTGAAGCCACAAAGCCTGATCTTAAATCCAGGCTCCAACACTTGCTAGCTGTGTGACCTTGGGCAAGGTGCTTTATCCCTCTGTGCCTTAGTTTGCTCATTTGTAAAATGGGAATAATTATAGCACCTACCTCTTAGCATTACAGAAAGGATAAATGAGTACAGGTAGAGCGTTTAGAACAGTACCTGACACACAGCCAGGGCCCAGTAAGTTGGCACTATGGTTATTATTGTTCTTGTTGTTGCTGTCACCTCTCGGCTTCAGTCTTCACTGGCGTCTCGCCCACTTTCCAGACCCTGGGTGTGTCCACACCTCCGCAGCCCTTCCGCCTTCCTCAAATTCAGCTTGTCCTCTGGGCCTGGCCCTGGGACTCCCCTTTCTGTGAAGGTCTCCCTGGCCAGGCACAGGGGCCAGACGTACACAGGTGAGTTAGACCCACCCTCCCTCGGGCCCTCACTCTGGCGAGGAAGATGGGCCTCCAGCAGATAGTCACAGGGTGACCTGGGAGAGGTCACAGAGGACCCCACGGGATGGGCATAATTCCTCCTTTCAGGGAAACTGAGGCTCTGAGAGGTTAAGTGACTTGCTGAAAGACACAACTACCAGTTACATAAAATTTTAAATTTTTTCTTAAAATCTTAAATTTTTTCTTCAAAATCCGGAAAAGAAATCTGTAACACAGACCATTTGCGGACAACCAAGATATCAGTGCAATTTGTCACAGTGCCGGATCCTCCCAGGCAGGTCCCAGAGGAAGAGTCATGACTGAAAGATGGATGCGAGCGGGTCCTGACTATGCCCTCAGAGGCCCCGCCCTCCGCCCTCCGCTGACTCACCATGTTCCAGGTACACCAGGTGCTCTGGGCTCCCCAGGGAACCCTGATTCCCTTCCCCCACATCCAAGCTCCCCCCATGCTGTTCCCTGAGGACCCAAATCTGCCACCTCCTAATTTCCCTTTAGATCTTACCTAAAACAGCCTCGTGGAAGCCTTTGCTAAAGCTCCATGTTCCCACAAGCTTTGCCTCCAGAGCATTTACCATAATTTATACTTTGATCTTTGTGAAATGTATCTGCTCAGGGCTGTCTTCCATGTCAGACTATAAATTCCATGAGCCCAGAGATCATGACCATCTTGTTCACCCCATCTCCTCCCTGCCTAGCAGTCTAGAACACAGAGTAGGTGCTTTTTTGAATAATATCTTTTAAGTGAATGAATGAGAAATACATGAGTGATGAGAAAGAGAAAGAAGGAAGGAAGGACAGAAGGAGGGAAGGAGAAAGGGAGGGAGGGAGGAAGGGAGGAATAGAAGCCGTCCAGAAAGCCTAGAACGAGGCAGTGGAGAAGACCAATAGGGGAAAAGGAAAGGTGTTTCAATACCTTACCAGCACCAGGAATGAGTAAAATTGAGAAAGAAAAGTCACAAACTTCATAAGCAGAAATAATGTTCAAGCATTTGACAAAAAGTTAATTAATAAGCCATTAGTCTCATTAATAAAGAAAAAGATGCACACATTATTAAAATCAAGAATGAGAATTATCCTATATTCGTTCATTCATTCATTCAATTAACACTTATTGAGCACCTACTATGTGCCAGGTCCTGACTAGGAGCCAGGGATGCAGCAGCAAACACAAAAGAACAAGGTCCTATGCTCATGAAGCTCCCATTCTAGGAAGAGACCAACAAATACATCCTCGTTCACATGACCAAACATTCTTGTCTACAAGCTTTCTGTTAATGAGTGAAATTAATCTCGATTGCTCTGAATTATTTCCCTTATGTCCATTTGTTAAAAAACATTAAGCTAACTTTTAAAGATTTGGGAGGGAATGCTATATAAATGTATCCACGAGGATCCTCAAGAAAACAGATTTCAAGCTTCTTCCACAATAAAGTAAAAAGAAACAGCACCATTGAGTTATAAGTTAGGGTTCTCTCACTTCTTATTAGTGGCATAAGTTAAAAATTGGTGGGGAAGAAAAGGTTTTAAAACTTCACAGGAAATAATGCAAAGCTACCCTTTTACTATTTAAAGCTATTACCTTTTTAAAAAAAGAATCTGCAAGGGGCCAGCGCTGTGGCCTAGCAGTTAAGTTTAGCATGGTCTGCTTTGGTGGCCCAGGTTCGTAGGTTCGGATCCCAGGCATGGACCTAAACCACTCATCAGCCATGCTGTGGTGGTGACCCACATACAAAACAGAGGAAGATTGGCACAGGTGTTAGCTCAGGGCCAATCTTCCTCAGGGAAAAAAAACAAGGAATCTGTAAAATAAATATTCCAAAAGCATGTGACGACAGGCTTGTGAGTCTCTTACAAGGCATGTGTGAGGCATTTACTCCAAAAACTAAGTGGAAATGGACATGCACCTGTAAAAATATAAGATGCTCAGTCTGCTACTAGGCCCCCCTCTGTGTGAGAGGGCAGAGGCTTCCTAGTTGACAAAGCATGCCCACCACTACTCCAGGCCTCACCGGGGAGGCAGCTGCAATTTCCATTTTACAGAAGAGAAGACTCAGAGAGAGGAAGTGACCTGCTCCAGGTTCTGGAGGAAGTTAGTAGCACAACTCTGAGTGGTCCCAGACCAGGGGGCTTCTAGCTGCACCGACTGGCTGCCATTGTCCCAGAGGCCCACTATGTGAGCACATCCACAGAAGACACAGGGCAAACATTTAAAGTGGCACATGGCCCTGATGGAGTCCCTAAATAACTCCCCAGCTTTTAAAGAATAAATCAGTAATTCCCGTACTACATAAATCGTACAAAAGTACTTTAAAAGGAAAAAGGAGAACAAACAAGGGCAGCACAGAAAAAGGAAAAAAGAAAACAGAACAAAAACCTATGGTCAAAATCTGACTTGTGAACATACAGGCCAAAATCCAAAATGAAACCTTAGCTAACCAAATCCACACTTATTTTCAAAAAACCGCCTTCAATGATCAGATAATTTATGTCTAAACGGAAGTCAGGGGCAATACAAGCAAGCCGACCACCAGCTTTGTCATAATATGGAAAACAGAGATCTACAATTCAAATGTAATTTTCCCAATACATGTCAACATGGCATTCAATAACCTATAGCGTCTATTCTTGATTAAAACTACGGACAAAACCAAACCCCACGATGAAGAGAGACTATTTAAAATAAGGAGCCAACTCTAACTTAATGGAGGTACGCTAGAATGGCCTCATCTCAGAACCAGAAGCAACCTGAGTAATTAAAGTTTAGCCCCCTCGTTTTCCAGATGAAGAAACGAGAGAAACAAGGCTCAGAGAGATTGAGTAACTTGCCTAATGTGACTCAGCTACTATATGACAGAGTCAGGACTCAAACTCAATTCTTCTGACTCCGAGTCTGAAGCTTTCTGTCATCATTCCTATTTTATATATCATGAGAAATGCTGGCAAGAGCTATTAGGAAAAAAAAAAAACCAAAAGGTATAATATATAGAAAATGAAGAAATAAAGTATTACGTTACAGATAAGGTTTGCCCACCTGGAAAATCCAAAGGGGAGGGAAGTAGTTATGGGAAATCAGTGAGTTTCAGCGTGTAAGCCAGCATCTTAGCTCGGAAACACAGGCAATTGTTTCCTCTCACAACAGAAATGAACACATTAAGTTATGAAATTCTTAGAGGTACTTGGGTCACAATAATACTTATTCAAAGAAAATAATAAAAGGTTCATGGGAGAAAGAAAATGCAAGACCTCTACCCTCTCCTAGCTGGAAAAACTTAGTAAAGCAAAACAGAGAATTCTCCCCAATTCAGTGAATAGATTAAATAAGCCACTACTAATTAAAATCCCCAAGATATTTTCCTAAATGTTAGAAACAGTGCAATAAAAGAAGAAACGTGAACCTAACAAAGAATATTCATAAGCAATGATGACAGCCTCAATTTTTTGTTAAATATTTAATTCATACAAAAGAGAATCTGAATCATGTGTAAGATAAAAAAATAACAATAAAATGACTATCTATGTACCTACCACCCGGCTAAAGAAATACAAAATTTTCGGTATCTTTGAAACCCCCTGTGTGGCCCACCCTAACCCCTTCAGACGTAACCATTATCTTGAATCTTATTTTCATTATTCTCGTTTTACACAAATATACCTAACCCTAAACAATATAGTATTTAGTTTTGCATACTTTTGAAACTTATATCAATGACATTATAAAGGATGCAATCGCTGTAGCTTGTTCTTTTGTTTTCTTGAAACTCACATTTCCAAGATTCATCCAACTGATGCATATAGCCGTCATTCACAATTTGCTGCATAGAATTCATTGTATGGAATACCCTGTAATTTATTTATCTATTAACCTACAGCAACATTAGCATTGTCTCCAATGTTTTATATTATAAAAATTGCCCCTGTGAACATTCTGATATAACTCTTCAAACACACATGCCAAGAGTTTCTTTACAATACATACCTAGGAACTTGCTGGGAGGGAGGGTATAAACACATCTAACTTTATCTGAAGAATGCCAATTTGTTTCCCAAAGTAGAAAACCAATGTCCATCCTGCAGTGTCTAAGAGATCCAGCTACTCTCCATCCTCACAAACACTTGATATTGTCATGCTTTTCATTTTTTTCTCTAAACTAATTGGTAGAAAATAGTGTCTTATTTTCATTTTCATCTCCTTGATTACCAGTGAGGTTGAGGGGCCAGCTCTGTGGCTGAGTGGTTAAATTCATGCACTCCACTTTGGCAACCCAGGGTTTCGCCGGTTCAGATCCTGGGCACGGACATGGCACCACTCATCAGGCCATGCTGAGGCGGCGTCCCACAAGCCACAACTAGAAGGACCTACAACTAGAATATGCAACCATGTACTGCGGGGCTTTGGGGACAAGAAGAAGAGGGAGAAAAAAAGAAGAGTGGCGACAGATGTTAGCTCAGGTGCCGATCTAAAAAGAACAAAGCAAAAACCAATGAGGTGAGCACCTTTTCGTTTTCTCTGTGGCTTTCCTCTTCTGTGAACTGGCTGTTAAATCCTTTTGCCCATATTTCGATTGCTTTCTACTTCGCATTGCTTTTTTTGCTTATTTTCTTAAGACTCTTATTCGTCTCTTTCTTTTTAAACAATCCTTCGTACATTCTGTCTGCTAATCCCTTATCAATTATATATGTGTTTCACTGTTTTTCTCAGTTTGTGATGACCTCTTTACTTTCACTAACACACAAACAGAAGCTCTTCGTTTTAATGTAGACAAACATCAGTCTTTTCCTTTTTGGTTTGTAAGACATTCTTCACTGTTCTTCCCTATTTCAAGGTCCTGTGTTGGTTTCTGGAATTTATATTCATGGACGGTGTGAGATAAGGAGCCAATGTCATTTTTTGCGTCTGGACCATCAGGTGTCCTAGTGTCACATGTTAAACAGTCCCCAGTGATCTGCTTTGCAAGGCCTGTCAAAAGCAAGTTTCCAGATATGCGTGGGTCTTTTCTGCGCTGTCAACTATGTTTTGCTGGTCTGTTTTTTTATGCTGCTATCCAAACTAAACTAATTAAAACAAACTCAGTGTTGGAAGTTGTATAATCGAGTTCTATTATTTTAGTGGTTACTCTAGACATTTACATTTAACATGCATGCCTAACTTAAAGTCTAAAATTAATCAATATCTTTACCTTCCTCTCAAACAACTCAAGACCTTAGAACACCAACTTGGCCACTGTACCTCCCAACTTACATTCTATTGCTCTTGAGTGGTTTATTCTGTCTTATTTGTGGCAGAGGCTGCTTGCTGCCTACCCCAGCAATTCCAACCCTCAATTTTTTCTGAACGCATGTGCACTTAGGATAAAGACTGTATTTCCAAATTTTCCTTGCAGGTAGTTATGGCCATGGGACTAAGATCTTAGTTATGGTCATGGGATAGAAGCATAAATATTATGTGGCTACTTTCAGGAAATTCCCTTAAAAGACAACTGGCACATGGACTTCACCTATTCTTTCCTATAATAGCTGGAGCTTCCATTTGTACCTACCATGATGTAGGTGACACCTAGAAATAGGTACAGCTGGAAGCCTTATGGTTCCATGTGACTATGAAACCACTACACCAGCTCTGAATTGCCTCAATCCAGACATTTGCATGAGAGTGAAGTAAACCTCAACATCTTGTTCAAGTCATGGAATTTTGGATCTGCTACTCACAGCAGAAGCTAGTCATAACTACAACCTATTTTTAAACCCCATAAATTAGATGTTATTGTTGTTGGTAGTGGTGGTGGTGACAGTCAATGATTCTTTGGGTTTACCCACATATTTATCTATCTTTGCTCACCATTCCTTCTTGCAACTCAGCCTATCCATCTGGAATCATTTTCCTTATGCCTGAAACACATCCTTTAGAATTTCCGGTAGTGAAATTGTCTCTCAGTATTCACTTGTCTGAAAATGCCTATACTTCATACTCATTCTTGAAAAACAGTTTTGCTGGATATAAGATTCTAGGTTGATATATTGAAGCTGTTATTCCACTATCTTCTGCCTTTCATTGTTATGGGAGAAAAATAAGGTGTAAGTCTATCATCCGTCTAGAGATATTCTTCTGTCTCATTTCTCTCACTAGTTTTTAGACCTTCTCTTTGTCTTTGGTATTCAGCTTCACTGATATGTTGTCTGGGTGTGGATTTATTTTTAGGTAGCGTATTTGGTCTATTGGGTTTCCTGAGTCTGAGAATATGTATTCCTCTCTCCCATTGTTTCTGTTAACTCTGGCAGCTACTAATTTTGTTCCCTCTCAGCTCCAAATCCACCCTTCTTTGCCCTGCTTTGAGATACTGGAGCTAGACATTTCTTCTTTTCCAGCTAATTCTGTGTTAGGCTTTGTCAGTACAGGTTGCTGGACAAACACTGCAAGGACATATCAGGAAGAAAGGACTTTCCCTCGTCTAGCATGCCATTTTCTGTGTGCCCACCCATGGCTCAGTGTATGAGGGTCAGGCAGCGTTCATCTCAGTGGCCCTCACAGTTTGGCCTTGGCCCACACCTTCCAGCAAGCATCCCCTCTGCTCAGCAGCAGGCTGCTCCCGTGATTTGGTTGTGGTGGGCCCCCTCTGGAAGTTCCTGTGCCACTGATAGGCTGCGTGTCCCAGTGATAGTCACAGCCTCTCCTCAAAGGTTTCAATTTCAGCCTTGGAGCGAGGAGCCCTCCTCTAAGTTTCTTCCTTGTTCACCCTCCCTTGCCAGGGGTAATAACTGCTCTTACCCCTTTGAGTAATTTAACTTCTTTAAAGTTAGCACTTCTTTATATTAAGATTTCCCTATTGAAATTACTAGTGTAGTTTCTGTATCCTGATACTCTCTCTTTCTGAAACTACAATTAGACATTACACTCTCTCAGTCTATCAGTCACTTCCTTTGTCTTTCTCATTTTCTATCTCTGTTTCTTTATGCTACATTTGCATAGTTTCTTCAGCTCTATCTTCCTGTTCTCTAATTGTCTCTTCAGCTGTCTCTAAAATCCTGCTTACCCTGTGGATTTCAATTTTCATAATTTTCACTTCTAGAAGTTCTGTATAGTCCTTTTTAAAATCTTCAAAATATTTGCATATTGTTTGGTCATATTTTCTATTTCTTTAAACACTGTAAATATTTTTTATTTTTAGCATCTGATAATTCCAATACAGGAAGTAATTGCAGGTCTGATTCTGCTGTCTGTTGCTTCTGCTGGTTTCCCCTCATGGTGACTTGTTTCTTTGTGTTTTGTGATTTTTTTGACTGTGAGCTCAGGTACCTTGGAACTTTATCTGTGAGAATTATTAAAAGGCTAGGTTGAGGATTCCTCCTCCAGAGAGAATTTGTGTTTGCTTCTGCAAGATAAAATAAATTCTAGGCTTGAGGTTTTTCAGACCACACAGTTAATGTGAATTTGGGCAACAAACCCAAGAAAGTCCTGACTTACGGTTGTAAATTCTCATTTTTTTGCGCTTTTCCAACCACTAACAAGATCAAGACAGACAACTTTTCTTGCTATCTTCCTCTGTGGGACAGGGTTTTTTCCTAGTTTACTCTTAAACTAATGATGATGTACTTTGGGAGGGTTCCCAGCTTTAGATGAGGGATCCTATCAGATTCTCCATCTTGACTAGTACCTAGGTACACACAGAAGATCACTGCTACATCACTGAAGATCAGTGCTACAAGGATTCAGCATACACCCCCAGAGAGAAAGCCAGCTTGAGAGGTAGGTTTTCTCTCTGAATTAGTCAATTCATTTAACACATATTTGAACAACCACTGTTGTGTGTGCTTGGGACACACTAGTGTCCTCATGGGGTTTACAGTCTAGCAGGAGGGAGGCAAACAACAAAATAAAGAAGTAAATTACGTATTATGTTAGAAGGTAATGAGTGCTACCAAATAAAAGAAAGAATAGAGCAGGAGGAGTGACAGGTTGTGGTATTAAATAAAGTGCAAGGTGTCAGGGTAGCCCCCACTGAGGAGGTGACCTTTGAGCAAGACCTAAAGGAGGTGAAGGGGTGAAGCAGTGTGGCACTTGGAAGAAAAGTGACCCAGGCAGAGGGAAAGCCGGTGCAAAGGTGCTAAGGCAGGAACGTGCCTGGTGAGCTGAAGGAACCGCAAGGAGGCTGGTGTGAGTGGAGCGGGGCAAACAAGAGGGAGAGTGGTGACGGATGCGGTCAGAGAGGAGGCAGGGACTGGTCACAAAGGGCCTTGGAAGCCACCCTCAGGACTTTGGCTTTAATTTGGAGTGAGGCGGGAGCCAGAGCAGGGTTTTAGGTGAGGAGAGACATGATTCGACTTACATTTTCAAAGAATCCCTCTGGCTGGTGGGTTGACTGGCATGTACTCTAAGTGAAATGGAGATTCCTGCTTTCACTTAATTTTTGACCGCTGAAGATCCCCTGCTTTCTTGTAAGTCAGGATACAGTTTTCTTTGTTGTCAGTGGGGAGGCTGTTCAGAGTATCTAGACTACCACATTGCTGGAAATAGAAGGTCCCCTGCCAGCTTTATAAACACAGCACAAAGCTGTTGTCAAAACAGGGTGGAATAGGCTGAGCAAAGGAAAAAATAATCAAAAGGACAGGATAAAGACTAGAGAGAGTTGCAAAAAAAATAAAACTAATGTACAGTATGGCAAAGCAGAAATAAAACAAAAAAGAATCAGATATCATTAAGAATTTTTAAGATAAGAACTAACCAGACCCACACTTGACAAGTGCTATTGCAATACATTCCAGACAGAGTCACTTTTTTTCTTTTTTTTCTTTTTTTTGCTGAGGAAGATTCGCCCTGAGCTAACATCTGTGCCAGACTTCCTCTTTTTTGTATGTGGGTCACCACCACAGCATGGCCACCAACGAGTGTTGTAGGTCTGCACCCAGGAACTACACCTGGGCCGCTGAAGCAGAGTGTGCCAAACTCAACCACTCGGCCATGGGGCTGGCCCCCTGGAGTCACACTTTTTTAGCCATAAATAACTAGAAAAAAATATAATGGCAAAGGAGAAAGCCCAATCTTGGTAACAGATGGAAGGTATCTCCATATGGACTGGGGTGACTGAAGCTTGTACGTTGAATTTTGCTTCCCAAGATTCTTGCAAAACCCTCATGGTCCTTTCCCTCTCTGGGCCCCTCCCCACACCCAACTATGCCTTGCACTTGTGAAGTGCTAATACACATTTATGGAATTGCATCTTTACACCGTAAATATATGTCATTTTAGACCATTCAGTGAACATTTAAAATGTTTGTACATAAGAAGTCCACCTAACATATCAATATTTAAAGAAAATCATATGCCACGATATATATTTTTTTAAGTTAAAAACAATGTACATTATGACACTGCAGAAAAAAAAAGAATCAAAGCAAATTTTAATAATAGTAAAAAACCAAAACAAAACAACAAAAAAACCAATAGTGATCTCTGAATGGTGGGATTAGTGGATTATTTTATTTTATTGTTTGTGCTAAATTTTCTCCAATAAACATTTTATTTCTATAATAGGAAAAAACACATAAAATAAAGCTAATCTATAACCTCAGAGCACAAAAGACAGAAAGGGACAAATTTCCTTGCTATTGATCACAGCACACTTAGTTAAGAGACGTGATAGTATGTTGAAACTTCTATGAAAGAATAACAAAGAATCATAAGACTAAAATAATAAACCAACAGATTGAGAAATATTTATATCAAATATTATATGAAATACACATACATAGGCAAACTCATCTTCATTTGTAAGAAAAAACTTCAAGACCTCCCAAATTAGGTGAGCAGAGAATATAAAAAGACATTGCCATCAAAAGGAGTAAAACAGGGGCCGCCCCGTGGCCGAGTGGTTAAGTCCACGCACTCCGCTGCAGTGGCCCAGGGTTCGGATCCTGGGTGCGGACATGGCACCGCTCATTAGGTCATGTTGAGGCGATGTCCCACATGCCACAACTAGAAGGACCCACAATTAAAATACACAACTATGTACTGAGGGGATTTGGGGAGAAAAAAGCAGGGGGGAAAAAAAGAAGATTGGCAACGGTTGTTAGCTCAGGTGCCAATCTTTTAAAAAAAAAAAAAAAAGAAGTAAAACAATAAACAAAAAAAATGCTTTACCCTTGTCAAAGAAACAAAACTGAAAGAAACACTGAGGTGTACCATTTCAGATAAATTAGCCCATAAGAAAAAGGTCACAGCATGCAATGCTGGTGAGCTTATTGTGAAGTGAACACAGTTGTGCATATTGGTCCAAGCTTTGAGGAGAACAATCTGGCAGTATGTATCAAGAGGCCTAAAAATGCTGTTTTTTTTACTGTTAATCGTACTCCAGGGACTCCTCAGAAAAGAGTTTTGAAAAGGGAATACACTTTAAGCATGTACATTGAGCCAGCCATGCAGAGAGACTAACGGAACATTCTAGGCAGAGGGAATACTCATGAAAACTTGAATAAGAATAACCAAAAACCAGCAATGTCCAAATGCCTAATGATGGAGCCATTTTATAGAGAGGCAATAATTCTATAGGAAAGCAGTTAAGAGCTTACTCTCTGGCAACACACAGATAATCAAAAATGAATAAGACATGAACCCTACCCCCAAGGGGCTCATAGTCCACAGCTAAAAAATTCCACCTTTTATTAACTGTGTGACTTGGAGCAAGTTGCTTCACCTCCCTGTGCCTCGGGTTTCTCATCTGTAAAATGGGACTGATAATAGTATCCGTTTTATAGTATTCGCATGAAGACAGAGAGTAATGCCATGTAAAGTGCTCACTACAGCACCTGCCACAATAAGGTGACTTCAGCCGCCACCAATCCACACATGAGGCTTGCAACCACGTAACACTGTATGTGTACAGCAAAAGAAGGGGTGACGTTACAGACAAATGAACAGAGTTATGTTAGGAGAGAGGATTGCAGAGGGTTTTTTTCTTTTTTCCTTTAGATTTTAGGTTTCTTACATAATTTTTAAAAATTAATTCAATCTGACATATTCCAAGTACCTACTGTGTGCCAACTCCTGTACTGGGGAAATAGATGTGAACAGTTTCTGCCCTCAAGGGGCTCAGAGTATAGTGGGCAATCCACTCGTTCATCATTCATTCAACAAATATTTCTCGAGCACCTACTATGTACCAGACACTGTGCCCGGTGCTGGGAACTCAAAGGGAACCCACTGGACAAGGTGGCTACTCTCATAGAGTCTGTGCTGGTGGGGAAGGCAGGCTATAAGCAAGTAAACAAAAACAAACAAGATTCTGACACATTATGGAGAAAATAACTTCGGCAGCCTGGCGTTCGTGGCTTCTGATCTCGAGTGCAGACCTACACACAGCTCATCAAGCCATGCTGTGGTGGCATCCCACATACAAAATAGAGGAAGATGGGCACAGATGTTAACTCAGCAACAATCTTCCTCAAGAAAAAAGAGGGAAGATTGGCAACAAATGTTAGCTCAGGGACAATCTTCCTCACCAAAAACAAGAAAATAAAGAAATAGGGTAAACAGATGACATTATCTGATGGAGAGAGGCGAGCCCACTGTAGAGAGGGCAGTCAGGAAAGGTCTTCCTGGAGAGGTGACATCTGAGCTGAGACGCAACAGCAGAGAATAAGAAAGTCATCTCAGGAGCGAGTGGAAGAGCATCCTGGGCAGAGCGAATACAAAAGCCCCTGGGTCTGCAAGAGCTTAGGTGTTTCAGGAACAGAAAGGAGGCCAGAGTAGCTGCAGACAGTGAGCAAGGGGTTTAGTGGGGAGAGATGCGACTGAAGAGATGGGCGGGAGCCTTACCAGCCATGGTGAGGACTCTGGATTCTATTCTGAGAGTAATGGGAAGCCACGGAAGGCTTTAAGCAGAAGAGGGACATGATCCTTGGGTTTTTAAAAAATCACTTTGCAGTGTAGAGAGTAAACAGTCAGCGGCCAGGAGTAGGAGCCAGAAGACCAGTTAGTGATTCCTGCAGTAGCCCAGGAAGGAGGTGAGGGTACCTTGCATGGGGCCAGAGAAGAAATGAGATGGATTCCAAACATATTTTGGAATTAGACTTAAGAATTGCAGGTGGACTGCATGTGGGAAGAGAGGGAAAGCAAGAATCAAGAATAATGCCAAAGTTTTTTTATCTTGAACAGTTGGCTAGCTGGCAGTGCTTTTTCCTGACAGAAGACTGGAGGAAGGAAGAAGTTTTGGGCTGGGAACCGAGAGTTCAGTTCTGAGCAAGTTAAATTTGAGATGCCCGTGAGACACCCAGCAGAAATGTCAAGCGGGTAGTTGGATACATGAGTCTGGAGCTCAGGGATACGGTCCAGGATAGAGATATAAATTTGGGAATTAGGAGAGTACAGAAGATATTTAAAGCCTGAGTCTGGAAGAGCTCACCTAGGAAATGCATGTAGACAGAGAAGAGGATCAAGGACTGAGGCCCGAGCCAGTCAACATTTAGAGGGTGAGCAGTGGACAAAGTGCCAGAGAGACACGGTGGGAATGGCAGAGGAGGCGGCAAAGCCCGCAGTGATGTTAGGGAAGCCAGGAGCACGAAGTTGGAGGAAGATCAGCTGCTGAAGACAGGAGAGCCACCATTGGGCTGGCAACATGGAAGTGACTTCCAAGAGCATCTTCAGTGGAGCCGCGGGATGGATATCAGCCTGGAGAGGACTGAAGGGTGTCTGGGAGCTGAGGGAGCAGGGGCACTGAGTGCAGGCCAACTGGTGAAGAAGTTCAGACATGAAGGGCAGCCGCTGAAGGGAAGGTTACACAGTCTCTGAGAGAAGAGGAAACATGTTTGTCCAATACATATGCAAAGGGATAGCCAGCTTCGTTAGCGATCAGGCAAATGCAGGCTAAGGTACGAGACACCATTTTACATCCATTCCATTGGGGACATTTTTTAAGTCTGACAATACCAAGTGTTGGGGAAAATGTCGATCCACCCAGTCTCTTATACACTGCTGGTGGGATTGTCATCAGTGCAACCATTTTGGGAAACAGTCTGGCACTATCTCATGAAGCTGAACATTCACAGACCCTATGCCCAGCCATTCCACTTCTCGCTCATGTGTCGCAGAGACATGAACAAGAACATTCACAGCGGCAGTAGTCACAGTAGCAAAAACCTAGAAACAGTCCAAATGCCTTGAAAGGAGAGTGGACGAATAAACTGCAGCCTATTCACCAACAGTGTTACAGAAGTCAAAGGAAGGAGCCTTAGAGACACGCAGCAGGGCTGATGAATCTTAGATTGTGATACTAAGTTTTTTAAAAAGTCCAAAAAGTTTACATACATCTAAACACCCTTTTTGTAAAGTAAAAAACAAGTAAAATAAATTATAAATACATTTTAGGAATAGATTTGGATGTGATAAAAACTATATGAAAGAAGACATACAAATGGTCAACAGGCACATGAAAAGATGCTTCTTAACATCGCTAATCATAAGAGAAACGCAAATCAAAACCACACTGAGATAATCACTTCACACCTGTTAGGATGGCTATTATCAGAAAAACAAGCAACAATATGTGTTGGCAAGGTTGTGGAAGATTGGACCCTCTTACTCTGTCGGTGAGAGTGCAAAATGGTGCAGCTGCTATGGAAAATAGCATGGAGGTTCCTCGAAAAATTAAAAATAGAACTACCATATGATCCAGCAATCCCACTTCTGGGTATTTATTCAAAAGAGTTGAAAACAAGATCTCTGAGAGATATTAGTGCTCCCGTGTTCATTGCAGCACTGTTCACAATTGCCAAGATAGGGAAACAAATGTCCATCAATGGATGAATGGATAAAGGAGATATGGTATAAACATACAATGGAATATTATTCATCCTTATAAAAGAAGGAAATCCTACAATATGCAACAAGATGGATGAAGATTGAGGACATTATGCTAGTGAAATAAGCCAGTCACAGAAGGAGAAACACTGCACGATGCCACTTATATGAAGTATCTAAAATAGTCAAACTGATGGAAGCGAAGAATAGAATTATGGTTGCCAGGGGCTGAGGGGAGGGGGAAACAAGAAGTTGTTAATCAGTGTATAAAATTTCAGTTATGCGGGCCGGCCCGGTGGCGCAGCAGTTAAGTGTGCACGTTCCGCTTTGGCAGCCTGGGGTTCGCAGTTTCGGATTCTGGGTGCGGACATGGCACCGCTTGGCAAGCCATGCTGTGGTAGGTGTCCCACGTATAAAGTAGAGGAAGATGGGCACGGATGTTAGCTCAGGGCCAGTCTTCTTCAGCAAAAAGAGGAGGATTGGCAGATGTTAGCTCAGGGCTAATCTGCCTCAAAAAAAAAATTCAGTTATGCGACATGAGTAAGTTCTAGAGATCTGCCGTACAGCGCTGTGCCTGTAGACAAGAGTACCGTATGACACTGAAAAATCTGTCACGAGGGTAGATCTCATGTTGTGTTCTTGCTACAATAAAAAAACTATATGAAAAAATGATAACACATGAGTGAAAATAGTGGTTACTTTGCCTGGGTAGAGACAGAGGGATGAGGCGGCACAATGATAAAGATGCTTGTTACACTGAAAAGAAAGCAAAGACATGACCTCCCATGAAGCACTTTTATCCAAAAACTGATTGGGAATCAGGTTTTTCTTTAATGTGAAAGCATTACATCTAACTACCTAGTTTCAAGAAATACAGGGCCCGGGGATACACATTCAATAACACCAAAGGGAAACCCAGGGAATTCACCGGCAGGGAAACCAGAATGTGGGAAACTGCAGGACCAACGACTCAGTTTCCTCAACAACAAAAAAAGAGGTTGGGGAAACTGAAAGGTTGAGACAAATCAACCAAATGCAACAGTGGACTTTCTTTGGCTCCTGACTTCAGCAAACCAACTATGAAAACCATTTATGAGGCAGTTGCAGGTATCTGAACACTGCCTGGATGATACTATGGGGGTACTATGGAAGTGTTCATTTTTTAATTTGATAATGGTGTTGTGATTCTTTAAAGTAATTTTCTTTCAGAAATACATGCTAAAATATTCTTGAAAAAAATTCCAATAACACTTGTTCTGTACGTTTCTCATGACACTGTTGTAGCATCTGTAATCATCACACACACACGCCCATACACACACACACACACACACATACACGGGTGTCTACCCAGCAGGTGTGTATTTCGAAGGCACAGACAATTCTTTCCCACCTACTCCGTCTGCAAGCCTCAGCAGAGCGCTTGGCATACTGAGTGTACTCAAATATTTATTGAATTTTGTTTAAAAAAAGAAACAAATAAAAAAGGGCCAAGCATGCTCCAGTGATGAGGAATACACCTTGAACCAAAGATTACGTTTAATATCACTTTCCATACCTGAGCTCCAAAAACAAAGTCCCTGGGAGTTAGAGGAGGGGTGCAAAGCTGCCATAAGTCCTAGAGAGGGGACCTTCCCTGGGAGTGCGTCAGAGGGACCCAGCGCAACTGTAGCTGACTTACGATGTGTGCTGTCATCTACACGATGTCTGTCCCCACTGCCAGACTGTGGGCCCTACCCTGGATCTAGTCACGTGGCAGGACTTGGTAAATGGTTGACAGCCTGAAGGAAGAAACCTGGGCATCGTCTAGAGGAGGAACAGCACAGACCACGAAGAGGGTCAGTGACATCCTGCTGCCTGTGTCAGGAGCACCAACTGGAGACTAATCCAAACAGAGACCCTGGGGGGAGGGGACGTGATAATGGGCTGGGACCACAGTCCTGCTCATCTGAGGAGCTGATGAAGGGAACGAGGAGTGGGTCAGGGATAGCTTACAACAAGAAGAGGGGACTGGAAAGGAGAGGGGGACTGGAGGGGACAGTAACTGGGAGCAGCTGCTGCCTGCCGTGTCAGCTGGGACTTGGCTGACCGAGGTTGGCCTGGTCCTTTCTCGGTGCAGCAGGATGTGGGGTACCACAAGAATGCAGGCAGTGCTCGCACATCACAGTAGAAAAGTGAATTCCTGAGCACATCAGGGAGGCTTACTCAGACAAGGGACCTATCTACTTTTAACAATGCAGACACTGTGGAATGAGGACTCATCAAGCTGTGGGCACGTAGGCGCCTGGAGGAGGGAGGGGGGAGGGAGGGAGGGGCTCCCTCTGCCCACAGTTGATAAGGGGCAGGAAAGCTACCAAGAGGAGCCGACATCTGATTGGGCCTTGAAAAGTTAGATGGAAGGGAAAGGGAGAAAAGAACAAAAATGCCTACTGAGCACTCGTGCTGGTGTAGGTGCTGGTCAGACACTTAGGTTTCCTTCCAGAAGAGGGACCGTACTCACAAAGGCCTGGAGACATGAAAATACAACAGTGTGTCTGATTTTCTTTTCCCTCTTAAGGATGCCCATTCAAGCTGCTGGCCCATTCAAGAATCCTGGGCTGGATTCTACAGGCTGGGAGAAACGCTTTGTCTATTCCTGTTGCCTTGTGAATATGGAAAAATCCATTAAAGATGAGCTGTTCCTTTTACTTCTAGGAATTTACCCCAGAACGGTGATCAGAGATGGATGTCAAGATGTACTCCCTGCACCCAAAAACAGGAAACCCAATGGCCAACCACTAGTTAGATTGGTTAAAATACTACGTAGTCATCAAAAAGCATGTTGTCAAAGATTAGTTAATGGCATGGAAAGAGCTACTCCTCATATTAAGTGGAAAAAAGCAGGTTACAAATCAATATGATCCAAACTTTATGGGAAAAAAAGTACAATATATTTTTTAAAAGACTGAAAAGAAATCTCATGTGCAAAGAGTCTGTGTGGTGGGTTTATGGGTGATCACCTTCTTCATCCTTGTTGTCTATTTTCTACAATTAATATGTTTAACTTTAAAAATTAGATAAACACACACACACAAATGTTAATTCAACAGACACACACACCCATTGAAAACAGGCGCCCGTGGGGTTGGCTCACCTTCTGCAGGATGGGGGTCGGGCAGGTGTTGTCAAACAGGACCGAGTTGAAGATTCCGTACACGCCCTCGTGGAGGTGGTACACGATGGTCTTGGGGGCGGAACTGTTTTCCTCTGCAGGGAGGAGAGGAGTCAGGGGCAGCACAAGCAGCAATGTGAGCGGGGTGGGAGTGGGGAGCTGGCACGATGGTGGGCTCGGCAAGGATGCTGGGTTACGGAAGTGAAAGATGCCCCTTCCTCCACTGTGGGGTGGGTCCTGCCTCCTCCTGTGACCTGAGGTTCACTACCGCATTGTGCACACTCACCTTGCAGCTGAGCGTCTCTGCCCGGGACATGCTCCCTGCCTGCATCTGAGCCCCTGATGCCCCAGCAAAGGCAGAAGAGCAGCCCACCCAAAGCCCACCACCCCTCAGTATGGATTCTCTGGGGATGAGCACACAGAGCTCAGGATCTCCTGCCTGGGGGTCCCAGAACAGAAGGCAAAGCCCTAAGATCAGAGTCCCTGACACCTCTCACTCAAGGGGTTGCTGGGAGGACTGATCTTTCTGGAAGGGCAGGGAAGAGCGCTGATGTTGACAGTGTGGGCCGAGAAGGCACAAGTCAGCCCAGCCTGAACTTGAATCCAGCACTGCCCCTTATCAGCTGTGTGACCTTGGGCTAGTGACTCAAACCTCTCCATGCCTATGTTCTGTCATATGTAAAGTGGGCTTAGACAAATATAGGTTGTCATTAATTACTTTCATTATGTTATGAGAAGCAGTTGGGCGAGGAAGAGCCTGTCCTTTCAAGAGGAGACAAACATGGGGGCAGGGGCAGGCTTTACCTCTTCCTAGCGATTAGGGGATTCCCTTGTATTCTCCTTGGCTCTCAATTTCCTCATCTGTACAATGGGGTTAATAAAATATTCTCCCTATGGTTGTTTTTATCTCAATCTTCATAAAATATGAACATGCATAGGAAAAAAAGATGCTAAATAAGTGTCTTGGGGGTGAGGGGACTTGATTGCAAGTTTCCCTAAAGCAAGGACCTATTCTCCAGATTACCCCACCCCCTAAAACCAGACCCTGCTCAGCCAGCTAGTGTCCCTAGCCTCAGAAAAAAAACAGGGCTCTGCTGCCCACCTGGCACCTACCCTCCCTGCTAGGCTGGTCCAGAAGAACCTCCTTCTTGGCGATGATGCTGATGGCCAAGGTGAAGGCCGAGGTCACGTAGTAGCGCCCCAGCTTGGCAAGGATGTCCACGCCACAGTCCTCCGGGAAGTACAGGTCCAAGGCTGAGTTGATCACAGAAGTGATCTGATGGTGGGGGGATGGGAGCACAATTACACATTTGGAACGTGGGGTTTACGCTGAAGACGTTGTACAGCTCCAAGTCTATTTCCTGAAAGCTTCTTTGATTTCAGGAAGAAGGGCTTGGCAGCTGCTCAGGCCCCAGCTGGTAACTGCGGACAGTTGGCCAAGAAGGTAGGCGGGAGACAGAACTGGGTCAAGACCCTCGTGCTTGCGTAAATCACTCTCCTCGACGCCCCCACCATAGGAAGAGGCACTCTTAACATAACACTCAGTACTCAGATTCCAGAAGCCCTGATGTGTATCTTTCTTTCATAAATAACCAATCTGTTAAAGGACACATTTTCTACAGAAAATACAGAAAAGGACAAAGAAGATCAAAATCACCCCTAATTCTATCATCCAGATTAACCTAATCATTGTTAACTTTTTGGAGGAGTGCCTTTAATTCTTTTTTGATACAAGCACTATTTCTTATTATTTACATGATAGAGTTCTATCTGTTTTTATAACCTCTTTTACTCAATAGACTGTGAATGACCTCTCCATGTGAGTAAACGTTTTCATCATAAGAAGGTACCATAATTTAACCAATCTCTGAGTGTTAGATGGACCAGGGAAGTCCACTGGGCTTCCTGGAGGCTGGACATAATGCAGGGAAGTCCAGCATTATGAACAATGCTGCACTGCTCATCTTTGAAGCTAACTCTTTGTGTCCATTGTGGATTATTTTCTTAGGGTCAGTTCCTAGATGTGAACACTAGTCCAAGACGAGCCTCCTACTAAGAAGAAACGGCCCCTAGTGGTTGGAGTGGGGATTACAATGACACATTTTTCTTGCTTTCATCTCCCAAACGGGAAGGAGACAGACGGACTGGGAGTGAATAGAAGGCTGGCTTTTCCTCCCCCTGCCCGCCCATTGATCTCTCATCAGCCCACCTGAGAGTGAATAGGGCATACCAAGACCTTCCAAGAGCCTTCGGACTTTTACATATATGGCCTGGTTAAGCCTCACGTGTGTGGGCTGGAGTCAGGCAGAGCTGGGTGTGCAGCTGGCTCTGCCGTGGACTCAGGAAGTGACGCAACCTCTAGGAGCCTCAGTTTGCTCAGCTGTAACATAGGTTAATAATAAGATAATCCAGGTAGAGCACCACGCACAGCATGCAGCACATGGGACCCGCTCACAGCGGCCGCCTGTGGTCATTAGAACCCTCCCTGCCCCCATCCCCCGCCCCACCCCCACAGAGCCCAATGCGACACTTCCCGCCCAAAGTTACCTCTTCGAATCTCACTTTGGTCCCCTCCACTCCAGGGAAGCCGCCCCCAAGGTCCAGGATGTGCATCCTGTGGCCCAGCTCGGCGCCTATTTCAAACACAAGCCGGGCGTCTGCGATGGACTGAGCATAGGCCTGAGGGTCAGGACAGTCACTGCCAATGTGAAAACTGGGAACGGAGGAAGAGCCCCGGCTTACTTGCAGGGCCCCGGGTGCCAGCGCGTCAGCCCCAGCCAGGAGCAACATTGGACACAGTGCCCATTTTACAGATGTAGTGACTGGAGGCCTAAAAGGTCAAATGGGTTGCCAAGGGCCATGTGGCAAGTGAGGAGTGGACAGGAGACTAGATCCAAGGTCCCTTGGCACTTGTGGCGCTCCCATCCCTCCACGTTGCCCCTGGGGCTGAGCCTCCTGGGATGAGGGCCAGGGCCCTGGAGTGAGCCAGATTTGGATGGACCTCTCGGTCAGCAGTGGGACCTGCCTATGCTTTAGTTTGCCTATCTCTAAACTGGGGATAAGATCCTACAAGGCTGCGGGATAATGTACATGAAGCATTTAGCAGAGTGCCCGGCATATCCGAAGTACAGAATGAGTGACAGCTATATTGTTGCAACATTGCTATGGCGATTCTTCCATATTCCTGTAAGAAAAGCGGCACAGCAGAGGGGCAGCTGCACAACCTTTGGCCTCAGGCTGGTAAAACTCCTGCAAAGCCAGGTCCCTCCTAGAACTTCCTGGGACAAACCCTTCTGAGGATTAGGGAGTTGGGACCACTGGACACTCCAAACCTTCTTTCCAAAGAGAGAAAACTCGCAAATGGCAGAATTCCAGTCCCAGGGCAGGCCCTCCTCGGAGGCCCTGGGGGAGGTCTCATACAGAATCGGTTAATTCCTGGGAAGGAGGCAGTGGGCCTGGCGTCAGGGGGATGGTGGGGCTTCCAGGCGCTCACCTCACACCCACCACCTCCACGTGGCTCTTCTTGGCGTTTTCAAGCAGGTGTCTGCAGGATTTCAGAGACGCTCCAAACTTGAAGCTCAGACGGCTCAGGGAGTGGGAGTCATCGGTGGCGATGCACAGAACCATCCTGGGGAGACACGCAGCGCACCTCTGCCAGGTGGGCCCCGCGTCCCCCCCAGCTGCATCTTGTCTGAGCAAAGGGGGGTGAACCCATGTGGCTCAGAGCTGCCCAACCCCACAGGCTCTCTGACCTCTTCCTCTCCCTGCACAGCCAGTCAACCTCCAAGCCATTCCCTAAGCATCCCTGGGCCCATCTCTGCGGCCCCTGCCCTGGTCCCGACCTCCCCAGTTCTCCCCTGGGCAGCGCCACTTCCTCCGAATCAGCCTCTACACCCGCCAGGCTATTCCGACTTTTCTTGGATAAGGGCAACCATTTTTTAAACACAGCCTTATTGAGAACTCCAACAGCATGTAAAACAGACAAATCGGAAGCTGCTTTGGGTGAACCAGAGTAGCCCACCACCCAGCCTCCTCTTCACCCCAAGGCCCCTCCCTGATATCCCCAGGGTGTCAAGTGACCACGTGGGAGCCACAGCCTGAGCAGAACGTGCAGCCCTGACCCCTTCCAAAGGCCATTTGCATCAGGTCCCTGCCCCCTGACCAGCATCATTCACAGTCTCCCTCAGCCCCCTCACATGGTATGTTTCTGCTCACCCCTCAAGTGCCCCGCGCTGTCTCCAACCTCCACGCATTTGCTTATGCAGTTGATTCTGATGCACTGTTTATGCCCTCCCCAGATTCTGGTCACTATTCAAGGCCCACTTCAAATGCCACCTCCTCTTGAAGCCTTCCTGACCACCCTCTTCGCTCTCTCGGCCGTGATTTTGACCTCCGTAATACCATGGGTGTTGCTCTGCCTGGGCCGTAATCGGTTATTTCTGCCTTTGTTCTAGTCAGACCCTGTTATCTGAGTCCAGTCCAGGAGTGCCCAGCCCAACCTCCTGTGACCACGGCCGGGTCCAGAGCAGGGTCTGCCCCAACTCACCCCCTCCACCCTCACACTCATCCCAGCCTCCCCACACGAGTGGCTCTCAGCTTACCTGGCACTGGGGTGGCTCTTTACCACCTTTGCCAGCTCTATCTCGTTGTCAAAGCTCAGCAGCCGGACCCCGTGCTTGGCAGCATACTTGATGTGTGCAATTTGCTTACAGGGGTTGGCATAGATGATCTTACTGGCAGGGACGCCAATACGCTGGACCAACTCCATCTCTGCCTGTGGGGTCCCAAAGGTGGTGATAAGGAGGCACCAGGGCCGGCTGGGCCCATGGAGACCAAGAAAGCACAGATGAGAGGCAAAGTCATAGCTATGCCTGTGGAGGTCCCATAAGAAGTGGGCCTCACTTTTAGACAACAGATATACAAAAATCAGGACTTGTGCTGATTCACCATTCTTTGACAGTCAGGGCTGGCGCGTACAGCTGTGCAGGTGGTATACTGCACAATCCTGATTTGGGGGAAAGGGGTATCTCATTCACAGAGAACACATGGTAGATTTCTATATTTATTACAACTTCCTGGCAGTAAAGCATCTCATTCTAACACAATCAGTATATTTATTTAAACAATTGAGCGTCTTAAGGAAGAGGTACATTTTCTAATTCACACAAAGGCACTATATGGACTCACGGTGGCCCTGACAACAGGCTTCTAACACGTTTTCCTGGAGGATAGACATGTTTAGAGAATATGACTCGATGTATTAGAAAGTTCACCAGACCAAGAGTCTTTTTGACACAGGCCATGCAACATCGAAGGCCTGCTGTGTGCATGGCCCTGCGCTGGGGAACTCCAGCAAGCCCCTCTCCCCGGGGGCCTCCTCTTCCCACCTTTACAGAGTACGGCTCCACCCCATTGCTGCACTAATGGTGCAGTGAGGATGAGGATGGTGAGAGCAACCACGGTCACCGAGCACCTACCATAAGCGGGTACCGAGTGAGAGGCTTTATATCATGTGCTGGCAGACTTCCTGTATAAAGGGCCAGAGAGTAAACAGTGTAGGCTTCGGAGGCCGTACAGTTTGTCACAACTCCTCAACTGCCAGTGTAGCACCAAAGCAGCCACAGACAACGCATAGGTGAGCGACCGTGGCCGTGAGCCAGTAAAACTTGACAGTCAGCAGTGGCTGCATTGGGCCCGCCATGCACGGTCTGCCGACCCTTGCTTTAGGCTCACTACTTTATTACTCCGCACGATAACCCTGTCAGAAGGGTATGAGCTTCGTTCCAGAGAAGGAAACTGATGCTCAGAGAAGCCACGTAGCAAGGAGGTGGCAGAGCCCACATTCAAACTCAGGTCCCACTCGCCTTGGTGGAGGACAGGAAGTCGAGAGGGAGCCAGTGTGAAACACGGTAGGAGATACGGGGCCATTTCATCCTCCTGAGTTTGTAATAAGACTCTCCTTTTAATTTTGCAGCTTTTCAGCACTGGGTATTTCTGTGCATTATCTCACGGGATGCCTACAACTATCCTGTGAAATATTTACTGGCCACATTTCAGAGAGGGCAAAATTGAGTTCAGAGAGGTCCACCTGCCTGTGGTGACACAGCCAGTAAGGAGCAGAGTGGTGCACGAGGTCCAACTCCAGAGCTGGAGTTGCTGCCGTCACCGCTTGCTTCCAAAGCCCTGGAGTCTGAGCGGATATGAAAACATGCTTTGCCGCCTGCTCCAGCCCGAGGCGGGAAGAGGAAGCAGTGGCTGCGCTCGGAGCCTGGGTTTAGCTTTGATTATCAATATTTCAATAATAGCCATTGCTATTCATTGAAGGATTACCATAGGCCAGCCATTGCAATGAATATTTCATATACATTTGCACTCAATCTTCGTAATAATCTTACGAGATAGGAAACAGGCTCAGAGAGGTTAAGCGACTTGTCCAAAGTCACACAGTTTGGAGGTGGCACGGCTGGAATTCTAACTCAGGACTGTCAGACTTTAGCACACCGGCTCTTAACCACGGTCCTAAAATGGAGAACTCAACCTCAGTGCTGACTAGACAAGTATTTTTTGAGCATCTGTTGAGTTGCCAGGCCCTCTGATAGGTGCTAATGAAAACGAGTGGTGAGGGAGGCAGACAAGGTCTCTGACCCCGTGGTGCTGTCAGGCTGGTGGCGAAGACAGGCAGGGACAAATGGACACTGAATCAAGATAGAATTACAAATGGATAAGGGCCGTGAAGACTAAGTACAGGATGCTAGAGAACGTGGGATGGGGAGCCCTGGGTGGAGCGGTGAAGGGAGGAGGCCTCGCCAGGCAGAGAGGGAAGGAAAGAACGTTTCTGGTAGAGGAGGCAGCCTGAGCAGGGGTTCTCAGGCAAGAAGGTGCTCGGCCTGAGCAAGGGATGGAGAATGCTGGAGCGGCCCGACGACGGGTGAGCGCTGTGTGGCAAGAGGAGATTGGAGGCTGGGGCTGGCCCCGTGGCCGAGTGGTTAAGTTCGCGCGCTCCGCTGCAGGTGGCCCAGTGTTTCGTTGGTTCGAATCCTGGGCGCGGACATGGCACTGCTCATCGGGCCACGCTGAGGCGGCGTCCCACATGCCACAACTAGAAGGACCCACACGAAGAATATACAACTGTGTACCAGGGGGCTTTGGGGAGAAAAAAGAAAAAAATAAAATCTTAAAAAAAAAAAAAAAAAAAAAGGAGATTGGAGGGAGGTGGGCGGAGCTAACAGGGAAACCAGGAAGCTGACGTGGATTTATAGTTCACCCTGCGAGTGATGGGAAACAGAAGGGTTTCAAGAAGGGAAATGACATGGTCCGATTTGCATTTTAAATACCAGGTCTAACAATGTGCATCATGCTGGCTGCTTCCTGAAAACGGACGGAGGAAGGGCCCAAGAGGGTTCTGGGGAGACCGGTCACAATCCCCCTGGGAGAGATAACAGGCTGAGCTAGAAGGGAGCACGAGATGCGTCCTGGGGGTAGGCTGGCAAGTGTGGTAATGGATTGCACGTGGGGATGAGGGGCGAGGATGTATGAGGGGCCTCCATCCACACCCAGCAGACGGAGGGGCCCTTCTCGAAGGAAAGGGGGAGATCATGAGAATGTTTGAACACACTGGGTTCCAGGCAGCCCGGCGTAGCAAGTCAGCAGCTGGATATACAAGTCTGGGCTGCAGATCAAAACGTGGGAGGTGGTGGCATATCGATGGCATTTAAAGCCATGGGAGGAGATGAAATTCCCTAAGAAGAGGGAGCTTTTACAAGAGAGAGAATCCAGAGGCACTCTCCCATTTAGAGAGCAGGAAGAGCCAGGATCTGCAGAGAGGTGAGGACAGACAAGGTCTCCAGAAGGGGCGGCACAGGACATAGATTAAAATGCCATTCTTGTCAAAGTGACCCTGTCCTACAACTCGTGTCTGTCTGGAGGGAGGGGTCTCGACCGTGAGAGGCCCCAGTGAGGCGGGGCAGGCCTTCACTTTCATTTTACATACTTCCGAAGTCTTTAAAACTAACAGCAGATGTTACTGTTGAACATTTGTTTAAAAGAATACGTTGCACATGGGGAGTTGCTGTTCAATGGGTATAAAGTTTCAGTTCTGCAAGAGGAGTGCGTTCCAGAGGTCTGCCGCACGCGGTGCCTACAGTTAACAACTCTGCACTGCGCACTTAGAAATGCGTTAGGAGGCTAGATCTCGCGCTCTTACCACAAAGAGAAAAAAAAACGACCAACAACAACAAAAGTCACTGCTGAAGCTGTTGAGGGGGCCAGATCAATAAGAGGACCAAGGAGTGTCCCCAATCAGTCGAAAGGCATCAATGGGCAGATCTCCAGATCTGCTGCCTTTAGAGCTATTGCTTGTGGCACAGTACTGACCACATGACTATCTTTTATACTTTGTTGCAAAATCACAAGATACTTTGTATATTTTCTATGGATCATATTTGTAAGTATTTTTTACATGCTATATACCCACCAAACTCATCTCATCATGGTGATTGTCCTACTTTTCTTTTCTTGCAAATGAATCAATGTATCATTTGAATAATTTGAAATGAATATTTAAAATATAGTGCTCACTGGATCATGGCGATCACTGAGGACGTTGGTAAGAGAAGATTCCTTGGAACAGTGAGGGTGAAGGTCGGGAAGCAGTGGCCTAAGGAGTGGGTGCTAAGAGAAAGAGACAAGTGAGTGCAGACAGGCGAGTGTAAACAACTCAATCTGGCCATGGAAAGGGAGCGGGGGATTGTGCTGAGGACAATGTGGTGTCCAGGGAAGGCTTTTGAAGATGGGAGGATGCTGAGGGAGACAGCAAGAGAGGACAGGCTGGGTCTAGGAGAGATGATATAAAGTCCTTGGGAAAGTAGGTGGGTGAACCAAAGCCCCGTGCAAGGTGTGGCGGATGCCGTTGATCCTGGAGTCTGTCTGATGCGTGTGTATGCAGCCAGACTCAGCTCACGTTGCCTGGGCCTTCCAGTCAATGTTGGCCACAGCACGGTGCTGTGAAGTGTGGCCACCAGCTATATCCAACCAGAAGAGGGCAGCCTCGGCCTTCCAAGAAAAGCTGTGCACCCCGGAGCCACCTCTCAGTAAGTGCACCAAAGGGGGCTGCATGATCCCACCTGCAGGGAGGGGGCCCTGGCCTCTCCCAGCCCTTGTGGTTAGCCAAGGGCAATCGACACTGGCCGAGTCCCAGCTCAGCCATGCCCTCTCCAGGACCTTGGAAAAGACAGCAGCCATCGAGCCAGAGACCTCATCAATCCATACTCAAGCGACCACTTCCCGGTGGCTCAACCTCTGCGCCTCCCTTACGTTATGGTAGATGCTTCCTGCCAGGCTGCCGTCAGAAGCAGGGTAATAATAATTACCTCACAGGCTGGTTGCGAGAATCAGATGAGATCATGTACAGAAAACACTTGGCAAAGCACCAAGCACAACAGAAGCACTCAGCAAACTGTAGATGCTTTTAATGTCCCCACCGACTTCTAGGGCTTTCTAAGCTCTAACACCCCACAGCTCTGCACCCTGGAAGCCAGCCCCTGAGGCTGGAGGGCTGAGCACAGCGCCCCACCTCTGAGTTTCCAGAAGCACAGGACTCCAGTCAGTGGGGTTCACTGCTGTTCTTCAAGCCCATGCCAAAGGGGTCGGAAAAGGATCTCCTTCCTCCTCGCCCAGAGCAGAGGCCCAGCGTCCTGGCTCCGCTACCAGCGAGCGGCGTACAGTTGGCCTTGGCCCCCAGCTTCCTCAACTGTAAAATGTCCATCTCTCTCCCTCTGCGTGATAAGGTTAACCTGCTCAGTCTGACCGTCCCACCAGGGGGGCACACCTCTCTCCCACCTGGAATCCCACCAGCCCTGTCATCTTGCCCAGGCTAGTTTTCCTCCTTTCTCCTCCAGGAATTCTTTCTAGAATTCTCCTCCCAACACCCAGCTATATTGCTAACCAGGATTTAAAAGGGGTTCCCCTCAAACAATCATTACTAACAATTCACAAAATAACAGTAACGACAACATCACAAACCAACACCCACCAGGCACACTCCCACCTCAGGGCCTTTGCAATTGCTGTTCCCACTTCCTGGAAGGCTCTTCCCCTAGTTATCCACACACTTTGATCCCTTGCTTCCTTCAGGTCTGTAGTCAAATTTCAGTGAAGCCTTCTCTGGCCAAATCGTCCCAAAGCGCAATCCTCTCTCCCAACATTCCCCACTTCCCTTTCCATTTTAATTTTCTCCATAGCATTTACCACCTAAAATACTGTAGATTTTCATTGTTTGACTTCTTTGTTTTTTAGAAAGCAAGCTCCATGAAGGAAGGGCCTTTTTTTTGTTTTACTTGCTTTGTTCACTTCCTAAAACCCCAGCTAGAATAGTCCATGGCCCCACAGTAGGTGCTCAGTAAATGTTTGCTGAATGAATAAATATGTCCAAAGCTGTACTCTGAGGAAACTTTATAGCTTAAAGGCTTTTATCAAGTAAGAACAGAATGAACATAGATATGCTAAGCATCAACTCAAGGACAGCAGAAGTGCCTTACTCAACACTGTTTTCCCAGCCCTACCTAGCACTGCAACTAGCACATCATAGGAGCTCAGCCGATAGATAGAGAATGATAGCAAATAAGCAAAGTAAATCTAAAGAGAGCAGCAGGGAATTAAGACAACAGCATTGATCAAATTAGAAAGGCAGTAGAATTGGCAACAACAAGAAACTCTAAAAGGATGAATTTAGAAAATGGACAGTCACATGAAGATTATAAAAGAAAAGAGAAAAGAAAACCAATGATAAAAGGGTACTTTTGTTTTATTTTAATTAGAAGAATACCATGTATAGTTCTATGCCAAGAAATTTGAAACCTCCATTTCAAAATGTTTCTAGAACCATCTCCCCAGGGACACACGAGGTTCCAATTTGGAACTTCAAGGCTGGCAAATTCCAGGCTCGTTTCTCCCTCCCTCATCCTTTGAACCCCCTCCTGAGTGGGTGGCCCTTCCCAGAGGTCACTCCAGCCCCGCCCCGCCCCCGCCCCAGGGCCCACTCGCACCAGCCAGGCCATGTGTGTGTTCAGTAGGCAGTGAGGGTCAGTGCACCCGCGGGGGGCAGGGGCTCACCTTGTTGGCACAGCTGAAGCCCAGCCCCAGCTCGGCAAGGACCTTCAGCACGCCCAGGCTGCTGTTGCACTTGACAGCATAAAAAGGCCGGACTCGTGGCAGGCACTTCAGAAAGCAGAAGTGCTTCCTCACTACGGCACCCAGGTCGGCCACGAAGAAGGCAGCGACCTCGTCCTGCACAACAAGAGGGGTGAATGTGAGACCCCACCCAGCTCCTTCCTGGTGCATGTCATCCACTGTCCCCCCAAGGAGCTGCCCAAGCTCGGCTCTAGCCGTGAAGCTACCCTGCTCTAAAATTCTCGGGGGCTCCCCCAGCCTACAGGACAGAAGGCAACCCCCTCAGCCTCCTTCAAGGCTCTGTGATCCAGCTCCAGTCCCTCCATCCTCTGCACTTCAAGCCCTGGCTGCAGGCTGGATCATTTTCCCACCTCCCCACCTTTGACCCACCATGCCCTCCACACAGAATACCCTTCCCCTGCTTGCGTCTGGCAAATTCCTATTCTACCTTCAAGTTTCAGCTCGAATGCCACCTCCCCCAACCAATAAGGCAACTCTGCCTTTCCTGCTCCCACTGCATTTTGCACATGTTCCGAGGTATCAGAACAGCATATACGTCCGTCTTCTCCAGAAAAAGATAAATTCCCAGAAGGCCAAAGTCACAGCATATGGCCACTGCCTTTCACATATAGGTGCTCAAGAAAGCCTTGGAGTAGTCCCACGGCCATTGCAACCCAGGCCTGTGGACAATGGGTCGTCACAGATTTGCTGAGGGCCAAATATCTATGAGGCTCTGGGTGAGACCACGTTACTTAAACCTTCCCTGAGACTCAGTTTCCCTTTTATGCAATACTTTTTTTTTTTTACTGATGCCCACTTGTCTGACATTATGCTAGGGGACAGAGATGACCAGACAGGGCTTTGGCCCTGAGGGGGCTTGGGTCTGGAAGAGAACAAACCCCTTAAGCAATTACAAGCTCATTCAATAAATGCTAGATAGGACTTTCTACAAAATGCGGTGGGGGCCATGGTGAAAGAAAATACAAAATCGGCCTGGGGCAATTAGGAAAAGGTGACACTGACGAGTAATAAGCAGTGAGTAGAGATAGGTAAGAGGGAGAGAGGCTGGGAGAAGGGTGGTCCAGGAGAGGAAAAGCCTGGGCTAAGGCATGGTAATAGAGCACATGGCATCACTGGGAAATACGCGTAGAGTAGGTCAGCTCTGCTGGAGCATAACACACACTGTGGGAAAAGCCAGAAGTGGGGCTATGAAGGCAGAGGGGTTCTGACTTGATCCTGCAGGTGGTGGAGCACTGCCAAAGAATTCTGATTTTGAGCAGGGCTGTGATAAAGTTGGAGGGGATGGGATGAGGCAGGGAGGTTAGGGGGCCTTTAGAGAGATGAGGCCTGAAGTACAAAGAGAGGTTCCAGAAGAGCGCACTGAAGGGTAACTTAAGGAGGTGGAATTCACAGAGCTTGGTGATGCCTGGATGTTGGAGGAAAGCAAGGACTCCCAGGTTTCTGACCTAGAGGGCTGGGTGGATGATGGAGGTGCTGTTCATCAAGGCAGGGAACACAAGAGGGGCAGCTTCACGGGCAAGGACCAGGAAATGGGGACAATATGAGCCTGTCTCTTGCAAATGGCAAGGACTGAATACCGAATAAGTAAAAGAAGAAGACGTGGGCCCTGGGGGCCCTTTCAGAGGAGGCAGCTGCGCTGGCACAGGGAACAGGGGACCCACCCCCCACTCCCAGCCCCTGACCGTGGTGGCCTGTGAGGCCCCCAGAGTGAGCTCCTCCAGCAGGTCTCGAGTGCTGAAGCCCTCCTCCACCATCACGAAGTCCGTTTCACTCAGGTAGCCAGCCATGCCGAGGAGGAGGAGCCGATGGGCTGGATGGAGCCGCAGCTGCTGCTGCTGCTGCTGCTGCTGCTGCCGCTGCCACCGCCGCTGCCGCCTTAGAAAGTATGCAACACACTGCGGGAGGAGAGGGAGGCAGGTGCTGGGGGGCTGGCCTCCGCTGCCCAGGCCAGGATGCCCAGTCCTGTCACACCCCGCCCCCAGCACAAGCCTAGGGAGCTTAGGTTCACTGAGAAGGGTGGGGACGATCAGGATTCCTGGACTGGGACAAAGCATTACATGCCTAGATTTCATTGCCTCCCTGAACCTCAGGTTCCCCATCTGTAAAATGGATGGATTCTTTTGGAGATCCTTCCTAATTCTGAAATTCGGGTTTCAGTAAAAAGGGAAAGAATGGGGGGCTGGGGGAAGCCAAGAAGCTCGGGTGGGTAAGTTTCCCCAGTCCTGACCACGCCCACTTAAGCCGCTGGTGGCCGGGCCGAGGAGTCTCAGCCCAAGAGCAGGAGCTTAGGTTCGAGTTCGCTCTCTGCTGCGTGATCTTGGATACACCCCATCCCCTCTCGGAGCCTCAGTTTCACCATTTGTAAATGGCCGGGCTGGGCCTGACGTGCTGGAATTCTAAGCGTGCATGGGGGCGCCACATGGTGGGTGGGGGCCGCGGGCTCTCGGGCGAGACCCGAAGGCTGAGGTTCTGTCCCGGTGAGCACCCCCGAGTGCAGGGCCGAGGTCCCGCCCCCCAACACACCCCCTTACCAAGCCCCGTCCTCCTTCGCGGGGGCCAGAGACAGGCGTGCTGCTAGGGGGGGTCGCCGGTGACCTCGAAACTTGTGCAACACCCCGAGGAGGAGTGGCAGTTGCGGAGCCGAGGCCCCTGCTATGAGGAGGCAAGAGGGGCCGGGGGCCGGTCAGCATTGGCGCCCGGGGCGCCCGCTCCCCGAGGCTCCCGGAGCCACTCCCCGCACTCGCCTTAAAACGCATTTACACGGCTTCGGCCCATAGGTCTCCCCAGCGAGTGAATCGGATCCTCGGCGCCTCCGCTCGCTCGCTCCCCCCGGCTCGGGCCCCGCGGCCTGCGCCCCGCCCGCCTAGCAGCCACCAACCCCCCACGCCCCGCCTTCCGCCCGCCGCTCGCTTATATAAGCCCCGCCCAGGCCCCGCCCCTGGCGCCCAGGCTCCGCCTCCGCTCGGCCGCCCCCTCCGTAGCCCTGGCAACCGAGGGCCGCCATCCCATTGGTGGATTCCGACATAAAGCATTCAGCTCGGCCAGCCCACTCCGCAAACCCGAGCCTCAGTCCTTTCGGCCGAGCCCGCTCTGCGGCCACCCCAGACTGGGAAATCGGAACTGCCTGGCCGCCACCGCAGGATCCCGAGCGTCTACGCCGTGGGACGCTCAAATCCTGAATCTCGGATCTTAGAGAGTGGGCAGGAAGCCGGGAAGTTCCCACTTGCTTGGGGAAGCCTTTTCTGTGGTCGTTCCTCTCTTCCCTCCTCTGTCTGGTGAACTGCTCGCTCATCCCTCGAAGCCCAGGGCAAATGTCATCTCCTGTATTACTTTTCAGTAAAATCCTTTTTATTTAATTGCCTCTTCCAGCATCTTCTCTGACTCCTCCAACTTGAAAGCTAGCTTAAAATGTCTTCAGAGAGCCTTCTTGTGGCTGTCTCAGCTCAGGGCAATCCCTCCCTTCATCCCACCTTCTGAATCGGCCAACCACTCACCTCTCAAATGAAAAGTGTCTCCTTCTTCAAGAAGCATTCTCTGACATCCTCGACTCAAAGCATTTCTTCTATATCTGGCAAACTCCTGCTCATCCATCAAAGTCCAGTCTAATGTCACCTCCCCTGTTGAGCCTCCCGTGACTTCCCGAGCCTGGAGGAACCATGGAACTCACAGCACTTACATCTATGTGGACTCCTCGCTCATTTGGCTCTTGTCACCCATAGCGTGAGATTCTTGTTGTGGCTGTCCACTTCTTGTTTGGTTACACTTCCCAGCGAGTTTGTGGACTCCCAAGGGCAGTGACCCAGTGCCCGGCTCCTCAGACTGCCCAGCGCCTGGCAGAAACAAGAGCCCAGAAAAAGCTTCAATATCTGTGTCACTCAAAAGCTAATTCAAAAGTTTATCTAGGACAGTAATTGGACAAGAACAGCCAAGACCTTTCTAAAAAAGAAGAAAGAGGACTTCCTCTACCAGACATCAAAATATTTTATAAAGCTATAGTCTTTCAAACAGCACAGTGCTGGTGCAGGAAGAGACAGCAGTAGAACGGAACAGAGTCTAGAACAGTCGCGTGCATTTGGAGAACTTGGTACACAAGGAAGGCAGCATGTCAAATCAGTGGGGCCAAAGGGCGTTTGGTCTAACAAGGTGTTCATGTGCCCTGTTGGGCTGTAGGCTTCTTGAAAGCCAGTGGCATATCTTGTCCCACCTCAGTATCTCCCTAAGGCACCCTGCACAACCTAATCAGAATATTCTCAGCACACAGATGGTATAGAGCAGTGACCATGGAGTCTGGAAGAGCCATTTTCTGCTCCCCACCCAGCCTGACCACATGATTGCTGGGTGTCCTTGGTTGGGTCATCCTGCTTAGACAAGAGTCACTGCTGCCTGGATTGATTTCCCCCTGTGAACTGAGAGGGTTCAGACTGAGTGATTTCTCTGGGCCCTTCTGCTTAGAACCTTCTTGCTTTCTATGCAGAGGAACAGTCTTTCAGGAGATAGGTTTACAGGAGGGGTCATTTCCAGGTCCACGCTTTGAGAGATTTGTAGTCATTTGCACCATAGTATGAATTAGGACTGAAGTCCTCCTAAGAATAAACATCTACTGACTGGGAGGGTGTAGACCAGGAAAGCCATGGCAGAAACCTTGAAGGGAGCACTCAAGAAAAGATGACAGTAAGAGGAGGGAAGGGATGCCCAAACAAACTTTGGCTCTACATTTTTTAAAAAATCATTCTTTGAGCTGGCTGTTTTTGGATTCCATGGTCTAAGTCAGCCTCGCTCACTCTTTTCACCCCCTGGTACATAGTGGGCACACTCAGTATGCTTACTGAATGAATCAATAAAGGTAAGAAGGAACAAACCAGAATCAAATCCAAATTAGGTTTGGCTGAAGAAAATAGAGAAGTAAAACATAACAGAGCCATAAGCCAATAGGTATAGTCTACCATGTATGTGGTATAACACTGGAGGTGGGCAGTCCGAGTCTGGTGTGGCAGCTCCATAAAGCCGTGAGGAACCAAGATGCCTCTCTTGTTCCAACTCTGCCATCCTCAGCTCCTGGTTTTTAGCCTCATGGTTCAAAATGGCAGCTGGAGCTCCAGCCACATTCCCAGGGTTGTAGGGGAGAATCCTTCCTTGCCCCTTCTAGCTTCTGGTGTTTGCTGGCAATGCTTGGTGCTCCTTGGCTTGTAGATGCATCACCCCAGGCACATGGCTGTCTTCTCCCCGTGTGTCTTCATATCACCTTCCCTGTATAGCATCTGTCTCTGTGTCCAAATTTCCCCTTTTAATAAGGACTCCAGTCATATTGGATTAGGGCCCACCCGAATGACCTCATTTTAACTTGATCACCTGTGTAAAGACTCTATTTCCAAATAAGGTTATAGGCTGTCGTACTAGGGATTAGAACTTTAAAATATCTTTTTTGGGGAATACAATTCAATCCATACCACCATCCAACACTTCCTTTTGTATCATTGGCCAAAACTTAGATACAGGACACCACCTAGCTGAGGGGAAGCAGGAAGACATTGTCTTTAGTTGGGTGCATTGTCACTTCCTCCCACCCTCAATAAAGTCAAAATACTGAAAAAGAGAGACTGTGTATCTCACGGAGACTGGCAGCCTCTGCCACAAGTAGGAGAGGCCCCTTCCCCCTTTTATAGATCAGTATACCAGCTAGGATGGTTATGGGGTGTACTCCCTGGGGAGAGGTGGACAGAGAAGTAAATAAACATTTATTGAGCACCTATTGTATGACAAGCACCATGCTAAATGTTTATAAACGCATGATTGCATCTAATCTTTAGACAAGATACGCATTATTCGCCCCATTTTACAGATGAGAAAATTGGGGTTAAATCCTTTGTCTAAAGTTACACAACTAGTGAGCAACAGAGCTGGGACTTAACTCTAGTCGGACTGGCTTTATGCCTGTGAGATGGGCCCCGGGAACGGAGCCTGAAGCCAGAACACAGAAGGCTGAGACCAGGCCAGGCACAAACAGCAGGAGACGAGAGAGAGGCTGGAACTCAGAGTCAGACACCAGATGAACTGGCAGAAAGGGCACCGACCGGAAGTCAGCCCTGCCAACTCCCTGAAGGCCTCAGTGAGATGGAGACCCCAAAGTCGCCAGAAACCAGAAGCTGAAAGCAGTCGCAAGCATTGCAAGGTCAGAAGTGTCTTCTGAGTTAAGAGTGGAAGCTGATAATACCAGCAGTCACCATTTCTTGAGTGTTTATTGTGCTTCAAGCTCTGTATTATGTGCGTAATAATAACAGCCAACATTGGCAGAGTACTTAATATCACACAGGCTTATTGTAAGATTTATATAACCTTTAACCTCACAACAACCCTATGAGGTTTGTGCTATTAGTATCACAGGGGAGGAAACCAGCTAGAGTGGCTGCTGACCCGCTCAAAGTCACACAGCTGGTGAGCGGCACCACTATGCTACATACATTTTCTCCGTCCTCGCAACAAGCCTTCAAGGTGGGAATTATTCCTCTCATTTCACCGTGGAGGAATCTGAGCCCCGAGAGCCCAAGTGATTTGCCCAAGATCTTCTAGGTGGAAAGTGGCAGATTCTCAACCCAAATTCAGGGTGAGCGCTGGTGAGGAACTTGAAATGGTACAGCCCAGGGTCGCGTTGGAGCAGACCCTAGGCCCCAACCCTTGGAACCCTGGATTCTAGTCATTAGTAAGGTGTCTGTGTCCCCTGTCACAGGGACAGGTCTGTGCCTTGGACCCAAGCCCAGGACCCAGCACCGAGCAGGTAAAGCTCAAGTGTGTTGACTGAATGTGGGATTATAGTCACAACACTTCCCTCGACAGGCAAGATGCTAAGAAGCTGAATTTGGTAAGTTGGATTTCTTTATGTTTATTTTCACTCTCTTTTAGGCTGAATACAGAAGTGAAAAAATCATAATAGTGTGCGACAATTAAGGATTGCACACACTTTCTCTCAAGCCAGACCTGAGTCATTTCTGACAAAGGTGATGAGAAAACAGCAACAACCAAATTAAAAAAATGCTCAGTCGACAACCCTCACTTTCTCCAGCTGCTGTCTCCGGAGCCGCCTGGGAGTGGCGTGGAAAAGGCCATCGTCTGCAGCTCTCTTCTGCCTTCTCCGCTTGTTCTCAGATGGAAAGCATCAGAATTACCTGGAGTGCTTGTTAAAACACAGATGGCTGGGCCCCTCCCCAGAGTTCCTGGATCAGTGGGTCCAGGGCCGTCCTGAGAATCTGCATTTCTGCCCAGTTCCCAATGCTGCTGATGCTGCTGGTCCAGAACCACGCTTTGAGAACCCCTGGCCTAAATGGACTTGAACCACAGCAGGCAAAGAGGGCAGAGCTGTGTACCCTTGAAAGAAGGCATCAGGCTCTTGCTCCCAGCCTCTCCCTCCGCAGAAAGGAGATAAGATGGAGCAACTGGGCTGAGCGGCTGCACTGTCTCTAGATGATCAGAGAACAAACTTCAGGGGTATATGCATGTCAGTACATCTGCTAGGCAGCGCTCACTGGCCATGTGACCTTGGCAAAGTTATTTATCTTCTGTGAGCCTCACTTTATCCCTCTGTAAAATGGGCATGATAAGAGTGCCTACTTCCTAGGCCTGGTGTAAGGAGTTCATGAGCACATAAAAGCTGTTGTCTAGTGCCTGACACTCACATTAGCAAATGCGTTCTAAGTATGTGGTAACTATTAGTACTGTTACTGAGTCAAAGGTTCATGGGGCCAGAGGAGAAAATCCAGAAACGTGTCAGAGGGACACTGCTGGGGCGTATGGAAGAGGAAGGCTCCCACGGAGGTTTTGGCACCTAAGCTGAGGAACAGCCAGCAGGGGTCAGAGGCTCAGGAAGCAGGTCAGCCCAGAGGCAGGGAGTGGGTGGCGGAATTCCATTCCATTCCCCGTGGGATTTCATAAGAGCAGAGGCCGATGTGCTGAGCTCTGAGTCATGCAAGTCTGACCCAAGCTGGGCTTCTTTCTAAATCGCTGTCGTAGTCGTGTTCTCCTCTCGAAAACTGCTCACTCACCCCAAGGCAGAATGGAGCCAGGCAGCCATGTCTGTACCTCAGGGCTCTCTGCTCCCCTCTCCCACTGCGGAGGGAACCACACCCACATCCATAAGCCTCCAGTTAACTGACCAATCAGAGACACAGAGACTAGAGTCAGGTAACCGACAGAGCCAGGTCAGTGGATCCACTCCAGAGGGAGCTAGAGAGTGTTTGCCTCTGTCTCCGAGGCTTCCAGCCATGCCTGGTGTCCGTGAGAGACCCTGGGACCTTTGGGTAAGCCCGCTTCACAAAGGCCACATAGCAGAATCTTCGATGATGGACACAGGACCTTGCACCTTTGAAAGGCACCTGTCACCTCCTCTGCATTTTATTGGTTAAAGTGAGTCACAGAGCCGTCGCAGATTCAGTGTGGGATGGGGCTACACTAGGCATGAATATTGGGAGGCATGGTTCACCCGGGGCCATCTTTCGAGATGTGAAAGATGACATGAGTGGAGACGTATTAAGATAGAGCCAGAGCAGCCATTTGAGAGGAATTGCCTTGCATGTCTTGTTTTCTATGTTTTCCAAACCGGACCAAACCACCAACATTCCAAGAAGTCAGTAAAGGCAAGAATATCCTGTCTGTAAGAACTGATGACACTGGACTTTGCTGAATGCTGAGTCCCAACCAATCAATGAAGTGCAAGTCTAGCCTTTTGCCTGATGACTGAACCTCAAACCAGTCTATGAAATACAAACCTAGCCTTACCTCATCTAGCACAAATGAACTCTTTTTTTTTTTTTTTTTTTTTTTTTGCTGAGGAAGGTTTATCCTGAGCTAATATCTGTGCCAGTCCTCCTCTATTTTGTATGTGGGTCGCCACCACAGCATGGCCACCAACGAGTGGTGTAGGTCCACACCTGGGAACCAACCCCAGGCCGCCAAAGTGAAGCACACCAAACTTAACCACTAGGCCATGGGGCCGGCCCCTGCACTCCTATTTAATACAATTGACCTCATCTTCCTCCCTTTTTCCCATAAAAGCCCTGAGCCCCTCTCCTGTATTCAGGGCACCATTTGGGTTTCCACCTGAATCTGTGCTCCTCAAATTGCAATTCTTTGATCCCAAATGAACACTTGCCTCGTACACTGCTTTCCGTTTTTGTAGGTTGACATAGACTGGCTGCCACAAAATCCGTCCAATCTCTTTATGTCGCTGGCCCTACGCTAAGTCATCGTCATCATCGCTAGCCTGGAGGTCTGCAACAATTCCCTAAATAACCCCCTGCACCATCTTACCTCCTGCTGACCTAGCCCCACACTGCCACCAAAGTGCTCTTATTAAAATGCCAGTAAGGTCCAAATGCAAATTAAGTCCATCCCTATTTAAAACTCTGCGATGGCTTTCCATTGCTCTTGGGATAAAGTCCCAGAACCTTAACAAAACCTGGGAGGCCTTCCATCAGGGATCCCGCTCCAGCCTCATCTCCACCTGGCTCCTCACTCGCCCTGCCACCACCATCCAGGCCTTCCTGCAGCTCCTTAAACCTGCCACGCTCTTTCTTTTCCTGAGGCCTTCGCATTTGCTGTTCCCTCTGCCAGGAGCATTTTTCCCCACCAGCTCACCTGACTACCTGCTGCTCGTCCTTCAGGTCTCTGCTTAAACGGCCTTTCCTCAGAGAGGCTGTCCATGACACTTCGGATCAGTCAACACACTTTTTTGTTATGAATGAGAGAAAACCCAGCTCAAACTGGCTCAGGCAAAAGGGGAATTTATTGCCTCCTATAACTAAACCACTGAGGGATAAAAGTTGAGACACAGACTTTGTTTCAAATCTCAGGTCTGCCTTCTGCAGGGTCACCTTCCTCCTCAAACAGGCTCTTACCCCCTCGCCAGACCTGGACCCCAGGGCTGTGTCTCCGTGGCTCTGATGCTTGTATGCACATCTCTGATTGGCCAGGCCTGGGCCTCCAGCTACCCTCTCCCCAAGCTGGGAGATGGGCTCAGAGTGGAAGGAGAGTGGGGAAGGGTGGTTCCCCAAAGGAAAAATGGGGTGTGGTTACCTGAAGGAGGAGGATGCATTCTCGGCAGATGAGAAAGACCGATGCTCTCCCTTTGTTCCCTTTGCCAGCACTCTGACTGTTTCCTTCACACACCCAGGACTCTCTGGCCTTAGAATCTTTGTACAGGCTGCTCCCTCTGCCTGGAATGCTTTTTTAAAAAAACAATATAAATCTTTTTAAAAAAAATATTTTGTTTTGAAATTTCATACAGGAAACTTCTAAAAACAGTACATACCGTTCACCCAGATTCCCCAAATGTTAACATTTTAACACTACCTGCTTTGTCATTCTTTTTCTCTCTCTACATATGTGTAGATACATACATTCTGTACATCTGTTTATCTACATCTATATGTACTGAACTGTTTGACAGTAAGTCGCAGGTGTAATTTCCCTTTACCTCTAACACATCAGCGTGTGTTTTGCCTGGAATGTGTTTCCTCCAGATGTCCATGTGGCTCGCTCTGGATATGGTGCGCTCTCACCTCCTTCAAGTCTACATTCAAATGAAACCCAATCTTTAGAAATGAAAACAAAAAGTTTTTAAAGATTTCACCCCACACCCTCCATATACACTGTTGTCACTCCTGGTCCTCTCCCTCCTCTTTACTTTTTCTTCTTCTATAGTATCTTTCACTTGCTAGGATACTTTGGAATTTATATATGAAGTCTATGCGTTTTAAGCTTCATAAGGACAGGGATCTTTGATCTTTTGGTCACTGAAATATCCCAAGCTCCTAAAACAGTACTTAGCACATAGCAGATGGTCAATAAATACTGAATGAATGAATGAATGGGGCAATCCAAGGTCATAGCAAGTGAGGGGTGCAGTATTTTCATCAGGTCCTGCCACTGCTCTTAGAGCTTTTCTGTGATGTCCTCTGGGGCTGCCTAGGCTCTCAATGGGACCATCTGTGATCCCCCAGCCATTGTGGGGTTGACTCAACGCAAAATTATGAGATCTCAATTTTGTCGTTGTTACTTCTGACTTCTCCTTTTCTCTCCTTCCCCAACCCCAAAGCCGCCCTTCACCCTAATGTGCTTCCCCCATGTGGCAAACATTCCCCTCTTGTGTGGCAGAGGCAGGGCGCTGTGGCACAAAGAGCACCAAGCAGGAGTCCTTAGAAAAGCCACTTCCCTCTCTGGGTCTGTTCCCACCTCTGTGACTCCCACGATCTCTGAGACTCTTGGTGGCTCCCATATCATCCATCAGTCTCTTTATATCATCACCCCGGGAATCTAGGTTGAGATCATGGCCTTTTCTCTGATGGAAGAATGTGTGGCTTTTTCCCATGGGGAATAGAGAAGAAAAGTATTTTCAGGTCTGAGGTTGTTCAGTCTGGGAACTAAAAAAAACTGGGTTTAAACTTAAAGCTGCCACGCCCTAGTAGCTCGAGGACCCTGGCAATTTGCTTCAGTTTTCTGAGTTTCAGTTTTCTCCACTGTGAAACAGGTTGAGTAATATCTTCTTCAGAGGTTTGTGGGAAGAGTAAATTAAAAGATGCACGCAGAGCACTTTGCATGTTACCCGGCTCATCAAAAGTGTTCCAAAAATAGTGGCTGTTATGAGCTTCTGAGCCCCGAGTGGATTCCTGCAGGTACAGATGGGTGGGGGGCAGCGGGAGGAGGGAGTATTTCTGGACTCCTCTCTGCGCAGCAGGTGTGGACCTGGGTGCTGCGTGCAGCTGTTGCAGACCTGGTTCCACGGGTCGAGGCTGTGCCTATTTTGCAGACACCAGTTCCTGATGTCTAGATAGGGCTCCAGGGCCCTTATCTCCCCATCTCAGAGACTGAGCCCAGAAGTTTGAGTCACAGAAAGCACTGGAAGGTCCCTGGGAAAGCCATCTGGGCCAGGAGGACAGAGAAGATGTTTCCCCATATGTTTAGTTTATTGAAATATTGTGCTTGTCATTTATAGCTACAAAACAAATAACTCCTAAAACATAATGGCTTAAAACAACAAACATTTATTATCTCACACGGTTTCTGAGAGTCTGGAATCAGGAGGCTGCTTAGCTGGGTGGCCCGCTTCAGGGTCTCACAGGAGTTTGTAGTCAGGAAGTCAGCCAAGGCTGTAGACACGTGAAGGCTGTAACTGGGGCTGAAGGGTCCGCTCACAGCAAGCTCACTCACACAGCTGTTGGCAGGAGGATTCAGTTCCTTGCCACGTTGACTTCTCCACAGGGATGCTCAAGACATGGCCTCCTCTAGAACAAGCCATCTGAGAAAGAGAGAGGGAGACCAAAATGGAACCACAGCATCTTTCATAACCTAATCTTAGAAGTGACACACCATCACTTCCATCAAATTCTATTGGCCGCACAGACCCACCCGATACAATATGGGAGCGGGGATTACACAGAGGCCTGCACACCAGGAGGCAGGGGTCACTGGAGGCTATTTTGAATGCTGCCCAGCTCAGGTGTAATTTACATATGATGAAATCCACAGATCTTAGGAGTACAGTTTGATCAGTTTCAACAATCGGATATTCTCGGGTAACCCACACTCCTACCAAGGTTTAGAACATTTCCATCACCTCAGGACATTCCTCATCCTCAGAACATTCCTTAGAACACCCATCACCTCATGCCACTTCCCGGTCATTCCTCCATCACCCCAAGCAACTGGTAATCTTATTTCTACCTGTAGATAACTCACAGTCTTACCTGGTCTGGAACGCCATAAAAATGGAATCACACAGTCTGTACTCTTGTGTCTGGCTTCTTTTGTTCTTCATGATGCTTATGAAGTTCCTCTGTGCTGTTGTGGGTATTAACGGTTTGTCCCTTTTTATTGTTGAGTTAGCCCCTCTCACCTTTGCGTAATTCTTACCCATATTCCATGCACCCTGTAACCCGACATCTGGCAGTTAACTCCTCATGTTTCTCCTTCTATAAGACTGTGACCTGCGCGAGGGCAGAGACTGTATCTCATTTATTTCTGGGTCCCCAACATGAGCTCAGTGCCTGGCAGGCAGCAGCTGCTGGGAGCTGGGAAGTGCGGCGTGATGGGAAGTCGGGGTCGGCAGGGAGTGGAGGGGCAGAGCAGGCCGGACACTGTCCGGAGACCTGTTCAATGGGGCCAGAAATCATGCCAAGACCCAGCATCGACAGGCCCCATGAGCTCAGAGAGATTGACAGCCAGAGGTTCCAGGATAGAGAGGGGGTTCCAGTCCAACAAACACAGAGGGGAAGTGAGTCCAGGGCTGTCACCCTGGAGGTCACCCTCTGGCCACTGAAAAACTCGCTGACTAGGGACAGGCCTGAAACGAAAGTAAAACGAGTCCTTCTGCTCTTGTTTCTCCTCCCCTTTCACCCAAACAGTACACCTGAGAACTAGCCCCAACCCTCAGGCAGGGGTTTACAGCCCTGGCCTCACTTGAGTACCTCCTTCCATCTCCCTTACTCCTCACACCAGCCTCACCCTTGGCCGGAGCCCTGAGGAGACCAGGGCTAAGTCTCGAACACCAGTGGGCTTTCTGGAATCCCAGGACCCCTAGAGCATGGACCTAAGGGTCAGAGCTGGTGCCGAGTTCCTGCTCTACCACCTTCTGATTGTGTGACCTTGGTCAGATTACTTCCTCCTCTGTAAAATGGGATCATAATTCCTAGCTGGTAGGGTGAGCGCAGGACTGACTGAGGTTAAGTGCTGGGTGCAGTGGCTGGCAGAGAAAGGATGGTGTGACTTAGTTTTTCGAGGTGCCAGGTATGACTTTGCCCATTTAGTCAGAAAGGTACAATTAGCACCAGAATCCAGAGCAGAGAACAAAAGGCACCGAGTACTTCACCTTCCCTTCCCTCAGGGCTTGATAGGAAGTACCGTGCCAGCAGAACCAGCTCCACTGTCAGGGCTCAGGGGGTGTCCCCCACGGAAAGAAGCCACCTGTCCCTCTCTCCCCGAGGGGCAGAGCAGGGGCCAATGGATTAGTTCCTCTCTCTGAGGCAGGGCAGGTGTGTCCACCTGGATTTTGCCAAGATGGCCACCATAGTATCTCCCATCCCACTTGTTCTTCTGCAATGTGACCTTATCACTGCTCCATCCAGAGGACCTGTGAAATCCCCTGCCCTCGAATCTAGGCTGGCCTTGGTGACTCGCTTGTAACAATCGAATGCCGCAGAAGATACCCCGCATGACTTCCTCAGGAGAGGCCACAAGGAAGCTTGCAACTCCTTCCTCGGTGTACTGGAAAGCTCACTTGATGGACTCTCCCTCTCTTGAGACACTCCCTCCCAGAGAAGTCTTTACCGGGTACTTTACCGGGAGAAGCCAAGCCACATGGTCAGGCCACATGTAGGCCCTCCAGGTGACAGTGCCAGCTGAGCCTTCCAGTCATTGCAGCTCAGGCACCAGCCACGTGTGTGAAGTAGTGTCCACGTGATTCCAGCCTCCAGCCATTCGAGTTTTCCCACGTAGGGCCCAGGAATCATAGAGCAGCCTATTAGCCATCTATCGCTGCGTAACAAATTACCTCAAAATGTCACAGCTTAAAGCAACAAACATTTATCATCTTAAACAGTTTCTAACGGTCAGGAATTCAAGAGCAGCATATCTGGGTGTTTCTGACTCGGAGTCTCACAGGAAGTTGCAGTCAAGCTGTTGGCCAGGGCTGTAGTCAACCAAGACTTTCTCTAGGGCTAGAGGATCCACTTCCAAGCTCATTCACACGGCCGTGGGCAGGAAGCCTCAGTTCCTCTCCAGATGGGCCTCTCCGTATACGAGTGTCCTCAGGACATGGCAGCTGCCTCCCCAAGAGTGAGTGGTCCCAGAGAAGCAGAAGCCACAATATCTTTTATAAGCTCGACTCCAAAGTGAGATACTATCACTTCTGCCAGATTCTATTGGCCAGACAGACCAACCCTGATGCAAAGTGGGAGGGGACGACACAAGAGCATGAACACGAGGAGGCAGGGGTCATTGGGAGCCATGTTGGGGGCTGCCTACCGCAAGCAGAGTCCAGTCGTCCCCCCTGGGCCCTGTCAAATTCCCGACCCACAAAACCCATGAGCATCATAGAGCAGTGGCTGTTTTATGCTGTGAAGTTTGGGGTGGTCTGTTACACAGCTTTAGATAACCAGAGCAGAACTGAGTTATTCATCCAGTTGGGGTGCCACCAGGGGGCGTCTGATCTCTCATTCCCGGTTGATACCAGCTGAGCCACTGCGCTTGCTGACCTGCCCTGGTACTACTGAAAAAGGAGAAAGGGCACTGGAGAGAGAAGGCCGAGGATGTGACCAGGTGGAGAATGGGCAAGAAGAGGAAGAAAGACTAATTCTGCAATGTCCACAGGCCCCGAGTTTGGGGCTGCAGAGGGTAGAAGGGATGGGGGCAGCAGGCCTGCCTGCGGCCACCAGCAGAAGGAGAGCTGTTTGGCATCGAGCCTTTTGTCAGTACGGCCTGTGAGTGATAACGTCTACAGATAACGAGCTGAGCAGCTGTGATGACCAAGAGGAGAGGAACACAGCCATCTCACAAGCTGTAAAGAAGGGATCAGCCAAGGGCCAGGGGACACCTCCAGAGACAAGGCATTTTTCTGCCTCTTGTTCCTCCCTACCAGAGGGCAGGGAAGAGAGGGCAGACGACGCCCATCCTCCCGCCACAAGTCCTGCCTCCTAGGACTTTGAATCCAGTAGGAGATTGACCTTTGAAAATAGAAAGAGCTTAAAAAAAAAAGCCAAAATTGTCCCTTTTGAAACAACATGGATAGACCTTGAGGGTATTATGTTAAGTGAAATATGCCAGACAGAGAAAGACAAACACAGTGTGATCATTCATATGTGCAAGACAAACAAACACATGGATAAAGAGAGCAGATTAGTGGTTACCAGAGGGCAAGAGGGTGGGCAAGTGGGCACAAATGTATGGTGGCAGATAAAAACTAGCCTATTGGTGGTGAGCACGATGCAGTCTATACGGAAACTGACACAGAATAATGTGCACCTGAAATTACACACTGTTATAAACCAGTATGACCTCAATAAAATAAAAAAATTAAAACAAAATAAAGAAAAGAAAATGGAAAGACCAAGTTAATGCCTGAAACAAGAGACTGCATTAATAACTAAAAATGATTGAAAGTTTTGACACCAGCTAGAGATGTCATTGAGGGAATCAAGTGTCCATCAGGAAGGGGGTAATGTCAGATTACAGTTGGTATAAGTTGCTTTTTTTTTAACAGTATGATATTAACCTTTAAATATGAATATTCCTCAATCAAGCTAGTTCCAGGAGCCATTATTATTATTGTCTTTGACTCCTCCTGTTTCACCTCATTAATTCACTCACTCACTCTCTCCTCTTCCACCTCATATATTCACTCACCAATAAGCACTCATTGTATGCCAGGCTCTGTGCTACGCACAACACAATGGTAAGTACAGTAAATTAGAAGTATAGTCAATTGGCCACAGTGACCTGTCCATTCAACTTCTAAATATCTCCTAAGACTTTGTCCACTTCCCCACCCGAGATGTCTCTGCCTTGGTTCAGAGCCCAGTAGCTCTCATTTGAATTATTTCCTTGCCTCTGATCTCTTACCTCTAGTCCCTTCTCCACCCTTCCCAAGAAAGATCTTTCCAAAAGACAAATAGGTTTGTCACTCCCTGTTGAAGACGGCTAGTTGCCCCCCAGCATCCATCCTTCCTTTACTAATAGAACCTCTGCCTTTTAGCTAAGCACATTTCTGGCCAGACTAGAAACTATATTTCCCAGCACCCTGGCTATTAGTGAGAGCCATGTGACTAAATTCTGGGCAGTGCAATGTGAATGAAAGTGATATGTGCAGGTCTAGGTTATGCCTTTAAAGGGCAGGGGTGTGTCCTCCATGCCCCCTTTACTCCTCCCTGCTGGATAAAATGCAGAAGTGATAGTAGGAGCTGGAACTGCCCTCTTGGAACACAAGAAGGAAGTGTCTGTTGAAGACGTCAAGGAATGAGCCAGAAGGAGCCAGGGTCCTTCTGATTGTGATGACTGTGGAGCTGCCAGGCCCACTCTGGCTTTGCCTACCCAGGTTTTGACATAAGCAAGAAGTAAACTTCTATCTTGTTTAAGCCATTGTTATTTTGGGGGGTCTTTGTTATAGTAGTTGAGCCTGTTCCCTAGCTAATAAACACCAAAACTCAAAACTCTTCTCATAGCTCCTACCATCTTCAGGTTAAGTCCAAATACCTAAACCCAGTACCTAGGACCCTTCAAGAAATAGCCCCTGTCAGCCTAGTCTGTCACCTTATCCCTTCCTTCTCTTTAGTTTCAACTGTATGCTTTAGTCATACCAAACTACTTACACTTACCAAATGCAATAAGCTGATTCATGCTTCCAGGCCTTTGCTTAAACTATTTCCTCTGCCTGGAATGCCCTTCCTTCTTCTTCTTCGCTGCCTCCCTTCTACTCATCCTTCAGGATTCAGTTCTGGAGTCACATCCTCATAAAGTTATCCCAAAACGCCCTTCTCCCCCTGCCCCAGATTAGGTTACCTGCCCCTGCTACGTGCTCCCTTAGCATTCTGTGTCTATTTCTCTCATATCTGTTAGACTATAACTTCAGGAGGGCAGAATAGTTCCAGTCTGGTTTACACTAAACACCCAGTTTCTTGTATATCAGGAGCGCTCAATAAATGTGCACCAGATGAATGAATAACTAAATTAACCAACCGACCTCATTTATCACACTGGGTCGTCGCCCTCTGCTCACTCGTCTGTCTGACGTCTGAGTTCCCTGACACAGGGACCACAGAGTCTGACTGCCAGGCATCTTAGGTGCTCAATAAATGTTGTTCTAGGAGCATTTGCACCCCAGTGCCCTCTGGTCTGCATCATCACTTTCCGGTGGAACTTCTGGTTCATTCCACAAGGATTTCGTCACAGGCAGCATCCAAAGCGCGGCACTTCCCAACTGAGTGCATATTTATTGCTGTTAACATCATAAGCCTTTCCTTGGAAGGCTGGCGGTGTGTATGGAAATCAGCTTTTGGTCACAATGACCTCAAAACAGAGGCTGAAAAGCTCTGCTTGTTCAGGTGGCTTGAGCTTAGCCAATTCTTTAGAAAACCACATCTCAGCGTTGTGGTTTGTGTGGCAAAGGGACAGGAAGCATGTTACAGACACTGGGAAGTGGGTGCCAGGTCAGGTGGGATTGTGAAGTGCGAGAAGGGCACGGAGGAAGGGGTGCACTCTGGCAGGTGGGAGGCGCGGTTGGTCTGTGGAGGTAATTGGCACTCAATAGCCACAGTCTTGGCCCACTTGGCAAAAGCCTCCTGTCCAGCCCCTTTATTCCGACTCCAGTGAGGGACAGTCAGTTAGGATGGGCTAGGTTTTGCTACAGTAAGAAACAACCAGGGAAGTCTCAGTAGCTTAAGACAACAAAACAAATTCCTCACTCGTACTGGATGCTCATTTGAACCAACTAGGGGTCTCTCTTCAAAGCAGCCTCTCAGAGACCCAGGGCGATGAAGGCTCCACCTCAACACGGGCTTCCATGACTGCAGAGGCAGGAAAGAGAGCGTATGAATCCTGAGCTGGCTCTCCAAAGCTTCTGCCCTGAAGAGGCATGCATGTCACTTCTGCTCACATTACATCAGCCAAAGCAAGTCATATGCTCTTGCCTAAGTCCAACAGGGAAGGGCTAGGTAATAGGGAGGAACATCAAATATTTGTGAAAAACAGTAATCTACCACAAAAGAAAATGCTGGGCGGTGGGAGCTTTCATGAACTGTATGATTTCAGGTGAGCCAGTTAACCATGCTGGGACTCAGTTTTCCCATTCTTATTATTAAATAATAATTCTTCTTGTTAAATAAGAACAGTAGTTGCTCTGACAAAGCAAGAGTATTGTGATGACAGTGAGATTGTATGCGGAGAGCTGAATACAGGGCCTGGTATAAATACTTGCTCAATAAATGGTAACTTTTTCAAACTAAATTATGGATAACCGTGATTGCCAAAAGGCAAGATGGAAATGGAGCCCCGTGGCCATTTCCTTCACTGAGGCTGGAACAGGGAGAACCCCAGAGCTGCCATTTCTCTCCCTCTTTCTCTCTCATACAGGCAGCAGCGGGGTTCAGGGACTGCTGCCCTGGCCTAAGAAGGCCTGGGGTTCTATTTGGCCTCTGTGGACACCAGCAGGCCAAATCGGCCTCTTGGCCTGCTTTGGTTCTTGACAGCCAAGGCCAATGTAGCCTATGAAACAGGGCCGTGAATGTGGCCAGCCAGGCTCTCTGACGGTCAGCATTGGATTTGGAGGTGCAGGGAGAGAGCTCAGGCAGACAGAAGCCTGGCCCTCCTACACCTGAGAAATTGACTCTGAGATGTGTATTTTGCACCAGTTACTTACACCTTAAGAGCAGGCAGGCAAGTAACTGGCTCCTATCTGAGCAGTAAGGAGGAACCAGGAGGGAACCAGACTCCCCAGAATGGGAGGTGGGAGCTTATTGCACCCAGCAGAACCCTCTTTCCGTAGGGCAGCAGCCCCTCACATCTCAGCGTGCAACTTTGGCAGGGCTGAGCCACCTGTCCCTCCATCTGGAGCATGCGTATTGTCTCCCACTTGGTGGACTCCAAATAGATGAGTTTCCGTACCCAGGGCCATTACAGAAAGTTGGCATTCTTTAATTCTGCTGATGTTGCTCAGTTAATCACATCACTATTGTGATGGGATACCCAAGCCATGTCAAAAGTTTGCATTCTAGAGCAATTCCTCTGGGGGCAATGTGGAGGAGAAGCTAGCCAGGGAGTGGTTGCTATAATCCTGCTGAGGAAGGGTAGCGTGAGCCGGGATGTCCCCAGCAGGAGGGATGGAAAGAGGGAGGTAGACATGAGAGGTGTTAAGGAGATAGGAAGAATGAGTGGAACGTGCTGACCACTTGGACGTGGGGGAGGTGAGGAGGGAAAGGAAAGTCAGGCTGACTCCTAGGACTGATCTAGGAAAGAATTTTAAAATTTGGCACCAAAAGTAACTTGAACCAAAATCTGACCTGAAAGACATTCTGGTTTGGAAGATACAGGACTCTATAATCTTTATATATCTATGGTATATTTACTGCAGAAATATTAACATATTTTGTCACATGGGGCTGCCCCGTATCACCTGTGTCTAAAGTCTAAAAGAATTCCAAATTCTGAGTCACATCTGCTTTTAGAACAGTAGTAGCAGCAGCTAACCATTGCACCAGGCTCCTCCCAAGAGGGTGTAAGAGGATGCCCTTGTTCCCATTTGCTTTCCAGTCATCAGTCTACAGAGGTCCCAGCTGAGAACTCCTTGCACCCGCCTCAGGGCCCCTGCTAGTCCACCAGACACCCGTGCCCACTGCCCCCTAACCCACACTGGGCAACGACACATTCTGCTGCTCCCTGCAGCACACTGGGTCATGAGGGGAGACATGGGGGTGTCTTGGATCCTTGGCCTTGCCCTATATCCTGGGGTGAGGGTGGGGCTCTGAGATCCTGTGATTTCTTGGGCCCTCCCCACTGCTCTCCTGCCCCCAGAAAAGTAACAGATCCTCTTCTGCTCTAGGATTTCCCACACCCGCCTGGGAAACCTGGCATTGTCACTCCCTATGCCACCCACCCTCAGAGTAGGGAGGGGCAAGCCCCGTGCCCCCTTCTCAGTGACCCATAGTAGCTCAGCTCTCTGCCTTCCCTCAGACTCTCTTCTCCTCTCTAGGCAAAGGTGTCTAGTTTCTGGCAGTGGAGAACCGACTGTTTCTTTTATTTTTCTTTTCATTGGGCTAGGACCTCAGCTTTTAGAACCCTCAAATGGACTCTTTCTCTTTCATTCTTGGCCTTCTCTAGCGTCATCCCTGGCCTGAAGCATGAAGGTAGAAAAACCATAGTTGCAGAAAGAGATCGGTTACTATCAAAAATGACATCCAGGCCCACCGATAAACACGCTGCCTCTTTCAAGAAGACACCTTGCCTTCCACTTGGCTACCCCTCAGGTTACCAGCTTGCCGGTCTCCCTCCTTCCCCAGGACAGCCTCAAGAATGAGGGATCTCAGCTCACAACCTTGCCCACCTCAATCAACCCCCCCACCCCAGCCTCCATCTGAAACTGCTCCCTTGTTAAAGGTCATGGACAAACTTGAGGCCAACTCAAGAGGCTTTTCTCAGTTCTCATCTTGGACTCCTTCATGAAGGCAGATTGCATTATTGCTCACAAATATTCGCTGCCCCTCCTACTGAGGCCCTCCCAGTGGGAGAAGTGTATCCCATTGGTTTCAGTTTGGCCATGAGACTTGCTTTGGCAAGTAGCATGGGACATGTGGCACTTCCATGACCTGCGACATTTCTGGGCAGAAGCTTTAAGGACTAACATCATTGTCCTTTTCCAGTGCTGTGCTAGTAAATGTTTAACAACTGGCTCTCTAAGGGGCAAAAAGTATCTGCCAATTTCCATAGTATAAATCCTCCCACCGTGACTGATTTCAAGCTATCAATGTGACATCATTGAGCGTGGAGCTGGGCAGAGTTGTGCACTATTGGCTCTCACTAGTGTAAGCCAACTCCACGCACCTGTGTATCATTTCCTTCTCCCTTGAGAGCAACGCTGTTCTAGACAGGGGCTGCCCCTTCAGCCAGCATCCCCGACAAACAGCAGGACCATAGCTGACCTGCAGCTGACATGTAACGTTTTCTGTAAGCTGATATTTTGGGTTTATGTCACTGCAGCATAACTTAGCTGAAGCTGACTAACATACTTCCTGAAACTCTTTGACTTTGGTACTACCCCTCCTTATGATTTCAATCAACAAACATTGATCAGTGCCCACTACATACGAGAGACAATGAGGCACAGTGGTTAACAGTACGGGCTGGAGAGCCAGACCACCTGCATCTGTACCCAGCTCTGACATTTACTAGCCATAACCCTGGGCAAATTACTTAACCTGTCAGTTCTTCCATTTCTTCATCTGTAAAATGGGACTAATAATAGCACCTACCTCCTCAAGTTGTCATGCAGATTAAATGATTTACTATGTGTAAAGCATTGAGCGCCATGCCTGGTGCTTCACCATCAAATGCCAGCTTTCATTATGACCACTAGCTGCCAGGCCCCATGCTAGCGGCAGAAGATCCAGTCAAGGTCTCCCCGCTCTCGGAGAGTTCACTCACAGTCTGGGGCAGGAGACAGATATAAAAGCAGAAAATCACAATAAATCATGACCAGTGCAAGAAAAGAAGGGCGTGGTGTGGGAGCCAGAGCATTAGGACACCTAACTCAGAGTGAGGCTGTGGGTCGAGCACCGAGGAAGACTTCACAGAGAAGGAGATATTTAAACTGGACTTTAGGGGCCGGCTCCGTGGCCAAGTGGTTAAGTTCACGTGCTCCGCCACGGCAGCCCAGGATTCGGATCCTGGGCGCGGACATGGCACTGCTTGTCAGGCCACGTTGAGGCGGCATCCCACATCCCACAACTAGAAGGACGTGCAACTAAGATATACAACTGTGTGGGTGGCGGGGGTTGGGGAGATAAAAGCAGAAAAAAAAAAAAGATTGGCAACAGTTGTTAGCCCAGGTGCCAATCTTTGGGGAAAAAAAGGAAGATTGGCAACAGTTGTTAGCCCAGGTGCCAATCATTAAAAAAAATAAAAAAAGCAAAAAACTGGACTTTAAAGGATGAGTGGGAGTTTTCCAGATGAAGAAGGGAATGGTGAGTAGAATGAAATTTCAAATTTTCCTCTTAACTCTTTTTTTTTTGAGGAAGATTAGCCCTGAGCTAACATCTGCCACCAATCTTCCTCTTTTTGCTGAGGAAGACTGGCCCTGAGCTAACGTCCGTGCCCATTTTCCTCTACTTTGTGTGTGGGACGCCTGCCACAGCATGGCTTGGCAAGCGGTGTGTAGGTCTGCACCCAGGATCTGAACCGGCAAACCCCGGGCCACCAAAGTGGAACGTGCAAACTTAACTGCTGCACCACTGGGCTGGCCCCTCCTCTTAACTCTTTAATCATTCTCTGACTCCTTTGCTGGCACATCTTCCCCCTCAAGTGCTGGTTCCCCACATTTAGTCTTCATTCTCCTACTCTCTACCCTCTCCTAGGACAAACTCATCGGCCATGGTTTTGATGCAGGTAGTAATAGTTAACACTTACTGAGTGCTTACTGTGAGTAAGGCGCTATGCGAAATACTTCATGCCCATTATCTAATCTGATATTCACTATGATCCTGTGAGACCGGTGTCATCATCCTCACTTTGCAAAGAGAAACTGAGGCCCAGAGGGGTTAGGTGACTTGCAGTGTCACAGGGGTACTTTCAGCGGCAGGTACCAGAATACCCAAATAAATGTGGATTGAAGAGCAGGGGTTTATCTCCCATCACAAGAAGTCTAGAGGAAGGTGATACCCAGGTTGTTTCAGTCAGCAGCTCAGTGATGTCAGACTCTGGGTCAGCTTCTCTCTGAGTCTCTTGGCTCTCCCCTCATGGTCCCAAGATGGCTGCTAGACTAAGCGTTGCATCCTCCTTCAACATTCAAAGGCAGGCAGGAAGGAAGCTTTTCCTCCTGGGCATCTCTCCTTTTACTGGAGGGGAAAGCCTTCCCTGGAAGCACCCGGAAAACTCCCCATAGGTCCCTCCCTCCTTGCCCTCTTCTTTCTTCCGTTGTCCTCTCAAGTTATAACTCCAGCCGGGCTGACCCTCTCTCAGCTCTGTACCAGTCAGGGTTCTCAGTGGCTAACCTAAACAGTGAAGGAATTTACTGAATAATATGGGGTGCTCATGAATTCCAAACATGGATGGGAACCAAAAGCAATTAGTCTAGGAACACAAGCAAAGCCACGGCACAGGAAACGCCTGGTTGGACAGCCACTGCCGGCCATTGGCACCCACTGCTGCTGGACTCTCCCCTCCTCTCCGAAAACAGGCTGTGCTACTTCGCTTCTCTCCCTCAAAGGTCAAAGTCCTGGGCAGGAAGGTCCCACTAGTTGGGCCTGGTCATGTGCTTCCTTCCCAGTTGCCAGGAAGGCAGGCAAGATTCCGCCCTTTCAGCTCCTGTGGGATGAGACAGGGCTGTTTCCCGCAAGCCCTTGGCAGTATAGAATTTCCACGACATCAGAGAGGCATCCCTCTACTGAGTACCACAGTTCCCCTCAACTTGTCGTAGTCTCTCTTGCCTCCAGGCCTTTGCACGCCCTGTTCTCTTTGTCCCCTTGCTCTTTGCTAGGCAATTCCTTCTCATCTTTGAGGTTTCATCTCTCTTAGATGTCACTGCCCCTCAAATCCAGGCTAGGTGCCCCTCCATTGTATTTCCACCACAGCCTGTACCTTCCCCAGCTCAGCCTCCATCACTGTACTGAAACCGCCATCTTACTTGCCTTTTTCCCCACTTGACTGCAAGTTCTATCATGGTGGATACCCTGCCTTCTCTCTTCACCACTAGATCCCTAACACCAAGCACAATACCGGGAACATAGTATGTGCTTACTGAATGTATATTGAATGAATCAATTAAAGAACGAGTGAGATGAATATTGATGGCACCACCATCCCCCTGCTCACCTTGCCCCAAGACTTGGACATTTTTATCCCCATCTGGTCTGTTGTCAGGTCCCATTAATTCTACCTCCATAGTCCGGTCCCTCATTACCTTTCTCCAGGACATTTGCAATAGCTCCCTGCAGTGGACATCTGTCGTTTCTCCATGCCCAATAGCTCTTCCCTTCTTATTTTGGAAACTGTCATCATTCGCTTTTGGGGAACTACTTTTCCCATTCCTTGCAGCGTGAGGGAACTGTGGATCAAGGTACTCTCCACTTTTGCCAGGAGGTGAACATGAGATCCAAGCCAAGCCAGGACTCTGAATCTTGAGTAGAATTACATAGATACAGAAAACAGTTGAGCTGAGTCAGTCCAATCACAGCATCCATGAGAAATTGTTGGGTTTTGGAGTATCCTCACCCAAGTTTAGAACCAAATGAGAGAGAGCTACAGAAGTAGGGCAGAGGGAGATCAAAATACCACCTTTAATACTGACGAAGCTGATAGAGATGTACTTTCAGGTCTGAAAGACAAGTGGGCTTACTACTCCTGAACCCCCAAATTAATCTTCTCCACTAAGTGGCAGGCAGTGTTGGAAAATCATAGTCTTCCCTGCGAAGGTCAGACTCTGGGAAATTTAGAGCGTGGAGGAAGAAAGCAAAAAAAACATGGCTCTTGTGGACAGGCAGATCTGAAACAGAAAGAGGGAGGAAGAGCTGTGTTGACCTCCATTCACTCTCCGTAAACTCCCCCATCAGATAAGTCTCTCCTCCTCCTTTGGGGAGGACCGATGAGTGAGGGGTAAATCAAGAAGCAAGAGTATTGCTCTAAAAGAGGTCCCTCCACGTGGAAAAAGCCAGAGAAGGGACCAAATATTCCCCTCAGCCCTGTCCACTTGCTTCTGACATCTGGATTACTCTAAGCAGCTCTGGCTCTTATCTTTCCCGAGGCTGCTCGTTGTACAACTGTGTCCTCCCAATGAATTCCTTTCTCACTTACTGTAGCCAGAGTCTGTTTCTGTTGCTTACGTCCAGAGAACATGTGTTAGTTTCTACTGCTGCTGTAACAAATTATCACCAATTTGGTGGCTTAGAGCAGCATAAATCTATTAGCTCACAATTCTGGAGGTCAGAAGTCCAAATGATTCTTATGGGGCTAAAATCAAGATGTCAGCAGGAGGTGTGTTCCTTCTGGAAGCTCTAAGGGAGAATCTCTTTCCTTGCTTTTCCAGCTTCAGAGGCCGCCATCATTTCTTGACTTGTGGTCCCCAGTCAGCAATCACACCACTCTGACCTCTGCTTGTGTCATCGCGTCTCCTTCTCTGGCTCTCCTGCCTCCCTCTCACCCTTATGAGGACATTTGTGATTATAACGGGCCCATCCAGATAATCCAGGATAATCTGTCCATCTCACAATCCTTAACTTAATCACATCTGCAAAGTCCCTTTTGCCATGTAAGGGAACATGGTCACAAGTTCCAGGGATGTGGACATCTTTGGGGGCAGGGGGAGGGGAATTATTCTGCCTGCAACCAAACACTGGCAGAAATAGTTCCTAGCTTGTCTGTAGTCATCTCTTTCTCTCCTCTCCAGTGTGTCCTGCAAGCAATCTTTATAAAATGTGCATCTGGTCATGACTGTCCTTCCTAAGAAACTTCCAGAATCCCCAAAGCCCAAGGAACAAAATCCACAGCACACCCTACTCTCTCTCACCTCTGATGGTTTGCTCTGAAATGTCCTGGCTGAAAAGTACCCTATCCCAAAGCCAAATGCTCTGTATCCTTCAAGGACCTTCTCTTTCACAGACACCTCCATGATCCCTCTAGCTGGAACCAGCCGCACTGTGAGTCCCACGCCTGCAGAAACTGCCTGTCTTGTCGCCCGGCAGTGCTGGGCACCAGCCAGTCAGACAGACCTGAGCTCAAATCTTCTCAGCCACAGGCTAACTTCTCTGTGCCTTAGTTTCCCCTATTTAAAAAAAAAAAAAAAAGCAGAAAATAAAGTACTTACCTCTTATACAGTTTGCTGCGAGAATTAAATGAGACAATGTATGTAAAGTGCTTAGCACAGTGCTGGCACCCAGTACCCAATAATAGGTAGATGGTAGCAGCTATTATTAAAAATTAGTAGTTAAGTGAATAAATGAATGAGGTATTCCCTCCTTCCCCTGGGCTGTCAATATCTCCTTTGTGGGCCTTAGTATGCCCCAAAAACTAGGACATTTAAGAAATTGAATGAATAAACTTTAGATTTTGTATATTTATATGTGGTCCTAGTTGTTTTCCTTCCCGGGGCGTCCATGCTTGGTCAGAATCACTGTAGGGACTGGTGGTAGAAGGAGAAGGCTTCTCCTATGGCCCTTGCCTGGTGCCCTGGGAACAGCAAACCTCGATAAACTCTGATCTTCTTGGATCAAAGCAAACTTTGGCCACATAGAGGCATCTGTCAGAGAAAATACTCTTGCTCCCCACCCTCACCCCCACCCCCACAAACCCCATGCTCTCTGGGGCACCAACTTGTCATCTCCAGTGTTAACTGTGACGCTGCTACTGTGTGACTTTAGGCTGGTCACTACATATCTTCCTGGAAAATAGGGGTGACCATCCCTCCTGCCTTCAAGGTCAGGCACCTTGTAGAACTCCAGTGTGGAGATGAGGAGGGAATGTTAACTTCTTCTATGAGGTAAAATAGAAGAGACCGAGCTGAAGGGATAGCAAATTCATTACCAGGACGGAGAAAATGAGTTGCTCTGAGCCTGTGGGGAAACATAATTCTTTCATAATCACACTCTCCACAAAAGGTCCAATGGGGCCGTTGGGGCAGGTCTTGCCAAGGACTCAGGGCTTGCTTCATAGGGGGTGTGGAGGAAACTTTCACACGCCAAAAAGCTGCAGAAACTATTTGCCTGTCCAAGAGACAGTCAGCTCTTTTGAGAAAAACTACCTTTTCCTGACTTAAAAGGTCATTTTCTTATTATAAAGTAATATCTGTTTATTACAGAATTCATCATAGAACTTTTTGAAATTATAAAAATGCACAGAGAAGGGGAGAAGTTCCTGTAGTCACACTATACAGAGATCATCACTTGAAACTATCAAACAAAATTGGGATTTTGTTGTAACTGTTTGGTGAATATTTTCCCACGTTATTAAAAATCTTAAACAATGGCAGGATACAAGTATAAAAGTTTGTTGCAATTTATTTAACCAATCTCTCATTGCTGAACATTTGGGATATTGCCTTAGTTTTTTGGTTGGTTTGTTTTGGGCTTTTTGGCTGTTATAAGTGCTACAATTAATATCTTTGTCACACAACTTTTTCAGCACACCCTTGATTATGTCCTTTGAATTCTTGCAAGTGGCATTGCTGGACCAAAGGATATTTGATACATATTGTCAATTTGCTTTCGAAGACTAATTTCACCCACTTACACTCCCGCGGGCAATTTCATAGGACTTACCGGAGTTTCCGGTGTCATCAACTGTCAAAGCCTAACTAGAACTCCCAGCGGGGCCTCTCCCCGGGCTCCACGTTTTCCCGCCCACTCCGCACACCCGCCGTGAGCCCCACCCACCTCGGTCCTTGATGGCCCGCCCCTTCCTTACTCCGGCACCAATTCTGTCCAATCAAAAGCAGTATTCCCCAGTATCGCCACATGGTTGGCAGGTTGAAGTGTCCGTCTGGCAAAGGGGCGGGCGGAGCGGCCTGACGGACGTGGCGACGGGCCAGTGTGAGCAGCAAGCGGGGCGTGCGTGGCGTGCGGGGCGCGCTGGCCTGGAAACGCTGGACCTGCTAGGTGTGCAGGCGGGTTGAGCAGTGAGAGGCTTCGGCGGCCATGGCTCCTAACGCACCCGCGGCCGAAGAGGCCCGAAAGAGTCCTCAAGGCATCCGGGCCGTGCTGCTGGGGCCGCCCGGGGCCGGCAAGGGTACCCAGGTGAGCTGCAGGGCCGGGCTTGATATCGGAGCCCGCGGATCTCCAAGGTCAGGGCGGCAGGAGGTCCGAATCGCCCCAGAGCGGGGCACCGGACTGAGGCCTCCAGGGACGGTGGCCGGCGTTTGGGGTTCTGGTAAGGCGTTTGGGGGAGGGTCCAAATGGGAGATCGGAGGAGTTTGAGTTGGGATTAGAGTTCTTGAGGGATCCAGGCTTGAGGTGTCATGCTAGTGGATTTAAGGACTGGTTAGATGCCGTAAAGGGTTAAAAGCTGAGAGGGTTTGAGAAGTAGGCTGAGTCCTGGCCTCATGCTTCTAGAGTACCACCTGAGCGGAGGCAGGGCCCCCAGGTTCCCTGTGCTTTGAGAGTGAATTGTCCAGGGTTACGTCCCAGGCACTCGGGGTGGGGGATGTCTCTTATAGTGGTTAATGACTGAAGGTAGAGGAGCATTTCCAGCACGTGGGGCGGAGTGGGAGCTGACGTGCTCATTAGGCGTCTGCTCAGAGAAGTGAGGTATGGCCTGCGTGAGCCAGTGAAGTTGGGGGGATAGGCGAGGGTACCCCAATATACAGGTAAGAAAACAGGCCCAGAGAGGTCAGGTGGCTTTCTCAAGTTAGGGACATTGACTTCCTGGAGCCTGGTACCTCAGGAGGTGATTGGAGTCTGAAGTGACCTTCTGCCCTATCCCACTGCAGGGCCTCTCTTGGTGTCTGGGAGGTAATGGGTCCACAGATCAAGGCTGGGATTTATGGTCTCGGTTAGGATTTAGAAGCCCACAGGTTGGATTATCAATGTCCCCCCTTCCTGCCTGGCATCTGGCATTGCCCCCCAGGCCTCAGGCTCTTGCTTGTTGTTAGGTTCTAAAGAGGGAATTCCTGAAAGTCTGAGCTCCTGAGGGACTTTGGTTCTGGAGACTGCTCTGTGCCCACTCTTCTCTTCCTAGCAACTTGCAAAGACTGCAGCGTCTTGGCAAACAGACTGTCTTGTCTTACTCAGTCTTGGGACCCCCATGGCACCCAGTACATTACTTGGCACTTGATGGGGTTACTGGAAATGGATGAAGGACACAGATTCGTGTGGGTGATGAGGAGAAGGGAAGTCGGGGAAATGCGGATCATTCCTGTGACTGCTTTTGTCTCTGAGCACTACTAGGTGAAGGCAGGCTTTCCCTTTTCTCTGTATAGCCCGAGCGGATTCGTCCTTGGAGCTCCCTGTTACCTAACCCCTTGTTCTCAGTAACACTGAAGTCTCCTCTTCCCTGTTGCTACCACCCTCGGTTATTAGGTAACCTGCGGCCTAGGAATGTTTAATCCCAGACTGCAGACTTTTGCTGTGAGTGACCGAGTATAAATAGGGTAGCTCAAATGCATCGATTATTTTTTCTTAGTTCATATTGAGGTTAATAATTTTAGTAGTTGTGAAATGGACAACCCAGCTCAGTGCTGAGACAAGGGCTTTATAATCTAGCAAGTTTTGTAATTTCTAAGCCTCAGTGTTCTCACCTGAAAAATGGGGAGAACACCTTCCTTACTCATTTGCCATTTCATGAGCACCAAACATTCGAGATAGAGCAGTGAACAAGACTGATGAGGTTCTTGCCTGCGTAGACCAAAGGTTCACAAGGATGTTGGAAGATTATGTTATATACATGTGTAAAGCACCCATAGGTACCCACATGACAACCTGGCACATAGTAGGTGTTCAGTAATTATTGACTCCCTCATCTTAGTAATACATCTCCCCTCCCCCCCAACTTGGATGTATTTCAGTGTAAAGGGTGATGTATTCAGGAAGTTGTAAAAAAAATTATGAACTGATTTGTGAGGATGCGTGTATGGTGGGAGTTCGTCAGAGAAGGCTTTATGGAAGTAGAGGAGATGTCATTAGAGCTGGGGCTTGAGGAAAGGGTAAGATTTACACAAGTCGCTTGACCTCTCTACGCCTTTCTTTCCATAATTGGAACAATAGGAATACCGGTGGTTGTAGTTTTATGGAGTTGAAAATAAACGACAGTTCATAAATCAGAGGTTGCAAAGTGGCAGCCTACAGCAGCATTTAGCTAGCAGACACACCCTCACTTTTGATTGTAAAGACTTTTGAATACAGAAAAGAAGGCGGGATGGTATAATGAGCCCCTGTGTACCCATTATCCAGCCCCAGGAACCATCAGGTCATGGCCATTCCTTCCCCACCCATGCTCCCTTCACAAATTATTTTAAAGCAGCTCCCAGACATCCTAACATTTCGTTTGTAAATATTTCCGTGTGTATCTCTAAAAGATAATTTTTTTTTGTAAACAAGTACAATAACCCCTAAAAATTAGCATTTTTAAATATCAGTCGGTGTTTATATTTCCATTTGTCTCACAATGTGATCATTTTAAGTCTCTTAATTGACAGGTTCCCCTCCTTTTTTTTCTTGCAGTTTTTTGTGTGTGTGTGTGGAAGAAAATGGGTTGTTTTTCTTGGGAGTATGTCTCTGGGAATTTTTTATTGTATCCCCATGGTGTATTTAACGTCTTCCTCTTTCTGTTTCCTATAAATTGGTAGTTTGATCCTAAACTTAACCTGATCTGGGTTTTTTTGGCCCAACTAAGTCACAGGTGGAGCTGTGCTGTTGATGAGGAAGCGTGTCGTGTCTGCTTGTCCCTGTGGTGGTCAGTGCCTGGGCCCAGGAATTCATTGTGGGTGGCAAAATGGTGGTGTTCTAATTACATCATTACCTTTTCATTTATTAGCTGAAATGTTTCTATAAAGAGAAACTTCGCATCTCCCATTTGGTGTGGTTTGTACAGAAAAGGCAGCATAAATGCTTAATTTGTTCCTTTTCTTTGTCAGCTTTCAAAATAAGTTGACCACACAGCATTTGCAGTTGTGAAATTTCACTTAAAAATCCAGAGGTCCAGTTTCTCTTGAGAAGTCAGATGTGGTGGCTCTGGGCCTCCATTCCGACTTGGCGTGCAGTTGAGTGGCGATGCCGCTTTGGATGGTCCATGAACTCTCCTGTGCCCTCCATGGCCCTCTTTGCTGCCTGTTGCTTTCATTTGACCCCCTTCATTCATTTGCGTGGCCAGCCTGGCTCCCATTGGTACATGTTTCCAGTCTCTGATGTAAAATCCCTAACCTGGGTTAGTGCCTTGTGCCTACTCAGTTATGTTTGTTTTCTTCCCATTAGTACTTCCTTTTATAAGTGCATAGCGCAGTACTTTACATATTTGATGTTGGCATGACTGAAATAATGTCTCCTTTTAAAACTTCTCATTTTTAACTAAAATAATTAAACATTTTAAACTATCTGCTTTTGCATCAACATAACAATGTTTAAAAACATCTACAATACTTGGGTTTGTTGTTTTATTTGTGTAATCTTACTTTTCTGTCTCCCTTTTGGGGTTGGATGTTCCTACAGTGGGGCCCAAACCAAGGTATTTCCTGTTTTCTCTGCCAGCCCCTGTTCAGTTTCTTCCATGTGTCCAGTTTATACCAGTTCCTCAAGGCCAGGCACTCTGAGGCAATCAGCTACTATCTTGCAGGTCAGGGTCTGTCAGTTACATCAGTGCAGTGACCCAGCAACTCTGAGACCCATATTCTTCTTCCCCCTTTTACAGTAGGCGAAACTGATGTTCAGAGAGCTTGTTCTCTAGCTTCCATAGCAAGCCATTGGCAGATCTTGCCTCTGAATGACTCCAAAGCTCATGCTCTTTCTGCTGCTGTCTGCTGCTCTGGGTTAGAGTTTCCTCCTCCCTTTGCATGTTTTGTTGGGTAAGTTCAGTGCTAAAGATGCAGAGAGCAGCCCTTCCCTCAAGAGGGTATAATATTACAAAAGTCACCCTTTGCTTAGTTAATGTGACAGACCCTCCCAGCCAAAGACTTCATATGTGTCATCTGATTTAATCCTACAACCCTAGGAGGTAGGTCCTGTTGTTATCTGTACCCTTTTACTGATAACCTGAGGCCCACAGGCTGTATCTTGCCCCAGGACATTCATAGAGTAACTTACATAGAGTAAGTAGCAGAAGCAGGATTTGAACTCTTGACTGTCTGATTCTTGAGCAAAGTCACCATCTTACATTGTTGCTATTAATCTAGGTGTAGAGGCAGAAATTAACATGCATGCAAACAATACACACTAGTGCAAAGTACCACGTGGGAAGTGTCAGCTGAGTGACTGACAAATGCTGGGATAGTTCAGGGTTAGAACAAGAACTATAATTTGTTGAGAGTCTCCCATTCTTCCTCCTCCCCACCCAGTGATGTTGGTAATAGTATCCTCAATTTATAAAGAAATAGTCTCAAAGAGTCACTGGCCTAGGGTTACATAGTAAGTTATGATGCAGAGCTGAAGTTCAAACACAGGTTTCTGTGAGTTTTTTTAAACTTTTTTATTGAAGTGTAGTATATATAGAGAAAGATGCAAATATCCTAAGGGAGGGACTTGAGGAATTTTCACAAGATGAACGCACTTGTGTAGCTTATACCCATATCAAGATACAGAACATTGTGAAGTCCTTGTGCTCCCTTCTGGTCACACACACATACACACACACAGACACACAGACACCGACACCCTTCCCCAAGGACAGCCACTAAGGCTCTGTGGGTGGTGGTGGTTTTCTAAGACCGCACAGTGTCAAGAGTAAGAGCAAGGTCTTGATAATCTTGAGGCCACTCGCCAGGTTCTTCTCTTACGAGCTATGTGATCTTGGGCAGCTTAGCCTCTGAATTTCATTTGTAAAATGCAGACAAAAATAGTTGCTGCCTCATGGGTTTGTTATGCATTGTGCATACTAAATACTGTCAAACAGTACATGGAAAAATTGCTTGGCTTGTTGCAGACACTCAAAGTTAGCTGATGTTGATGATTCCTTCTCAGAGGCAGAAGGGATAGTTGAGGTTTTTAAGTGGGAGAGAGATGCTCAGAATTTGACTACAGAGAAGGGTAGAGCTCTGACCAGTAGGGGGAAGGGAGAGGGCATTCCTGCATAGAGAGGAGCCTGAGCCGAGGTCCAAGGAGAGGCTTATATTGTATGTTTGGGAATCATACAGAGAGCAGCTGTTTGCGGCGGTGCAGGGCATCCAGGTAGGGAGCTCGCAGGGATAAATTTGAAGAGCTTAGGAGGTATAGGAAGTTGATCGTGGAGGACAGAGTGCGAGGCTAAGATATTTGGACTTCTCCTCTGTTGCACTGGGGAGACGGTGAAGGCTTCTGAATGTGTGTGTGTTGCGGAGAGGGGCAGGGTAGCATAAACAGTATTTTAGAGGATGATTCCAGCCACACATGCAGGAGCATTGGAGGTGGGAGCAGGAAAGACTGGAGGCAGAAAGATGATTCCCAAGTGAGAAAGAAGTGAGTTTGAGATTAAATCAGATCTCAACGACTGGTAGTTTCTCTTTATTTCCGTAAGTGCCAGGCACTGTGCTGGATTCTTTGGGTACGTACAATCTTATTAAATCCCCACAACAGCTCTGAAAGTAGACATTGTCATCCGGACTCTAGGGATGAAGAAACTGAGGCCTTAAGAAGGCTGCATAACTCGTTCCAGGTGACACAGTGAGAAAACTGTAGTCCCTGTTTCCACCCAGATCTGTATCGCTATACAGCTCAGTGTTGTGCCACTGCCCCGGGGCTTCGCACACAGTGTACATCAGGATCCGAGAGCGCTGCCTGAGAACCACTCAGTCCTAAACTTTAAGGGTGGGCCTGGCTTTGTGTTTTTAGCAAGTGCCCCAGGCGATTGTGAGAATACACTGAAGTCTGAGAACACGAAGCCCACTGTGCTGCCTCCCCAGTGGTTTTAGCTAGTCTTACCCACGCCCTCACAAAGTCCACCGTCCTCCCCCATAGGGTTCTCATAGAGGTGATGAGCCTATTACTTGGGGTCAGCAACAGTCCATGACTAGTGAAACACAGGTGGCTCGGGGGCCTGCAGCACAGCCAGGCCTGGAAGGTTGTTAAAAATGCAGATGCTCAGGCCCCACCTTGTGGAATCAGAACCCACTTTAGCAGCTCCCCCAGGTGATTTGGAGTAGAGAAGCGTTGTCCTAAAGCATAAGCTTGAAGTGTGAGGGGAAGATGATAAAGTTCTTTCATCAAGCTTCTGCAGTTTGCAAGTAAAGAGTAATGCAAAAAAGAAAAACCATGGGGGTCCAGCCTGTGGCCTAGTGGGTAAGTTTAGCACGCTCCACTTCCAGGTCCAGGTTCAGCTACCTGGCATGGACCTATACCACTTGTTGGCAGCCATGCTGTGGTGGTGACCCACATACAAAGTAGAGGAAGATTGGCACAGATGTTAGCTCAGGGCCTGTCTTCCTCAAGCAAAAAGAGGAAGATTGGCAACAGATGTTGGCTCAAGGCAATTTTTTTTAATATATATAAACTTTTTTGGGGGGGAGAATGAGGAAGATTGGCCCTGAGCCAACATCTGTTGCCAGTCCTCCTCTTTTTGCTTGGGGAAGATTGGCCCTGAGCTAACATCTGTGCCAGTCTTCCTCTATTTTGTATGTGGGACACTGCCTCAGCATGGCTTGATGAGTGGTGTGTAGGTCCAGGTCCACACCTGGGATCTGAACACCTGAACCCCAGGCTGCTGAAGTGGAGCAAGCGAACTTAACCACTACACCACCAGGCTGCCCCCAGGGTGAATCTTCCACGGCCAAAAAAAAAAAGAAAGAAAGAAAGGACCGGGGAAGGAGTTCTTTTTTTTATTTGTTGAGTGCCTACTGTGTGTCTGATGTTTTGGGTACTTTATTGCATTTTATCCTCACAATAGCTCTGTGAGTTAGACATTATCCCCATTTGACTGGTGAGTAAACTGAGGATCTGAGAGGTTAAGTAATCAGCCCAAGGTCACACAGTTATTGAGTGCTTTAGCCAGGATTCGTGTGCAAATCTGTCTGACTCCAAAGTCCGTGCTCTTTGCCCACCACATTGAGCCCCGTGCAGCCGGCAGGGAATGAAGGAGTTAGGCTTCCGCCATGCCGTGTCTTCCCTGTTGGGTTCTTCTATACAGTTGTAGAATTCAGCCACCTGGAACAGCATATAAGAGTCCCGCAGTCTGGGGGCGATAAAACTAGAACATTAGGTTCTGTGCTAACAGCTCTTCTGCGGTGTTTTGGTCAGCCTTTCCCCTTGAGCGAGCCTGGCTTCCAGATTTTTCACCCAAGTTAATTTCAACAACCAAGGAGAAAGATGGGCAGAAAAGCAGAGTTCTCTGGGTATGTGGCCACTGCCAGCCTGGAGACTGGGAGGTTTTCCATTGCCAGAGGGTCCTGACCTTCATAGATTTTCAAAAGTGTGGGTTTTTAATGCCTTCCTGTCTCGGTTCCATTTTCTGTGAAGTCATTTCTTTGCTTGCATTCAATCAGCCCATGAATCACAAACCAGAATTTGCTGCGTTGAGCTCCATCCACGTAGCTTTTATTGCTTTCGCCTAAGAAAACTGCCAGTGAACTGGTTTGAAGGAGGATCCAACCTACTTATTTGATGAAACAGTTGAACTGGAAAGCTATGTATTAAGCTCCTTGAACTGATTCTTTTCCTTGTGAATTTTGTGCTCCTTTTTGCCACTACAAAACCAGTGTTGAACCATCCAGGGTCTCTTCCTGTTGTCGTCTTTGTTCTGATATGTCGTCCACCAAACCTTGCCTAGAGGACAGAGTCTGTGTGTCCTATTCACCTGGCTCCCTGGCTCCCAGCAGGGTTCTTGGAAGAGGCGTCCGGATGCGTTTTCTTTCCGTATGAATGAATGCGGACAGTAGGGCAGGGGTTACAGTGACAGCTGATGTTCACTGAGCACTTAGATGTGCCTGGCCCTGCTTGTGCCAAATTCTGTGTAATCTCATCAACACGCTGATGTAGGTACTGTTAACCATCTCCATTTTACTTAGAGGAAATTGGCAACTTAGGTAATAGAATTTTTCTCAAGTCACATGTCTAGTCATTGGCGGACGTGGAGTCTGAAACCCGGGCAGTTTGACTCTCAAGCTCATGCTGTTTACCAAAAGGCCGTACTGCCTCCTAAAACTGATAGATAAGTGCTTACTGTTTACTGAGTGCGCTTTGTATATATTTCCTCTGAGCCTCACAGCTACCTTCTGAGATGGAGCCTTTTTGCCTTCATTTTAAACAGGAGGAAACGAGCCTCTGAGAGGTTAAGTGATTTGGCCAAGGTAATGGAGCTCCCTGGTAACAGGAAGGGGAAGAGCCGGGTCTGTCAAGGGGAAACCTGTGTTCTTCACCTTGCCCCAGCTGCCTCCCAGGCCAGTGGCCACAGTACTTGACAATCACACATTCATTCCTTTGGCAAATCTTCATTCAACGCATTACGTGCCAGGCATTGTGCCGAGTGCCGTACATACATGAACTCATTTAAATTCACAGCAACCGTGTGAAGTGTTGACACTGCTCTTTTTATTCTTCCCATTTATAATGGGGAAGCTGAGGCTTATGTGTCATAGTGTGTCTAGTGGAAGTAGTGATAATTGCTAATATTTATGACGGCTTCCTGTGTGCTACCTGCATTGTTTTAATGCTTTTCCTGTGTTATCTCATGTAATTCTTACTACAACCCTATAATGATTATACATTAGAATATAATATTAAGTACTTTTATCCATTACAGGTAAGGAAATAGGCATTTGCCAAAGTTCACACAGCCAGTAAGTGGCAGGGCCAGCTTCACGCCCGGCAGTCTGACTCCGGGGTCTGCAGTGTTAACTGTATCTCGGTTTTTGTCTTCCCCTCCACAGGCACCCAAATTGGCCGAAAACTTCTGTGTCTGCCATTTGGCTACTGGGGACATGCTGAGAGCCATGGTGGCTTCTGGCTCAGAGCTGGGAAAAAAGCTGAAGGCGACTATGGATGCCGGGAAACTGGTAGGTTTGGTGGCACCAATGAATGTTGCTATTCTTCAGAGTCCGGATCTGCGCTGCCTAAGATGGTGCACCAGCCACATGTCGCTCTTGAAATTAGTTTAAATTCATTTCCTCAGTCTCACCTGCCACCTTTCAGGTGTTTGCTAGCCAGCACAGATAGAGAACATTTCCATCATTGTGGAACGTTCTATTGGGCAGCCCTGTGCTGCAGGGTGTTTTAAACTGGCGCATTATATGAGTAAGTTGCTTGCTTCGTTCCAAATTTACAGCATCTATTTTATTCACGGTATTCTTGAGGTTCCTTCATGCTGGTGCATTTTGTGATGCACCCACTTTTTAGGGCCAAAAATGAAACTGCCATCCCTAGGCCAGAATTCAAGGATGCATTCAAGAGAGGACTCAGGAAGCCACAGAGTGTTTTTAATCTACTTTTGTGACTCTGTGTTCTGTGTCTCTTAACAGAGGAGTCGCTTGGCAATTGATAAAAGTAATCCTTCCTATTTGGAGGGTATAAACCGCATTTTCTCTTGTTTTTAGTTTAGTTGATCTGATTGGACAAATACAATATATTATCTACTACATCTTCTTTGATTAGTGCCAGAGCTTAATTGTAACCGAGTTCTTCTGGGACAGGGCCTTTGGGAATCACCTTTTGAAATCATCATGTGCTTGGCCCTTTGGTCTTTTCGCATCCGCGAATGTTGTGTGGGGAAGGTCCTGGGCTTTGCCTCCCTCCCCGACTTACCTCCTGCCAGGGTTTGAGATTCTGCAGCTATATCGAGTGGTACCCCTGCCTGCCCTCCCACCTGCCCCTTAACTCCCAGCTTTGCCTTCATGTTAGTGAGGCCTTGAGTCAAGCCAGGAAGCTGGGTATTTTGGACTTTGGGTCTTGGCAGAAGATCCTGTACTGAGAAAAATTAGGATGTGGCAATGAGATTACTTATCTCCAGCCTTCACTTAGTCACAGAGCTTACACTTTGTCCCTAAGTTCACAGCTGGTCCCAAGAGATAAGATGAGCATTTTCACTGTGATGCAGGCAGAGAACTTCTCTTTCTGTGAAAGCCCAGAAGAAAAACTAGGTTTTTGAAAGCTGGGAGGGGTCCTCATTGGAGTTTTTAGAGAGGCTCAGAGATGTGTTGGGCTGACCCTTCAGTTCCTTGGTCTGACCCAGTCTTGCCAATTCAGTGACCTTCTCTGTTGCCTCATGTCCAGGATGGGCTGGGTCACTTTACTGTCCGCCTAATCAAAGTTGTGAAACAGGCAAAGTTGGTGCCTTTCTGCATTCTGGCCAACCCCCACTCTCTCCTGGAGCCTTCCTCAGGTGATCTCTCAGCCATGTGTCTTTATCTTTTTTGTTCCCTTAGGACAGCTGATTGCTGATAAGTTGTTTTCAGATGGTCAGGACTCTAATGGCCAAAGAGACCTTCAGGACCCAAGACCTGGAGCCCTCCTGGTAGGGTGACAGGCAGTGGAATTCTCTTCCCTTGCCTAGATTAGGACACGGGAGAATCTCAAGGGAGAGAATGTGTGTATGGCAACCACAGAAATACCATGAAACTGAATCTTCCGAATGGAGCCACTCCACATTTGCTCTGATTTTTGATTCTTTGGGGTCAAGAAAACGTGCTGCTTAGTAATTGGTTATACAGACACAAACATGTGACTGTGGAGTTGGGCTGGTGTCACCAGGTAACATATTTAAACCCAAGGCTGTTTTGTTCTTGACTTCCAGGTGAGCGATGAGATGGTGGTGGAGCTCATTGAGAAGAACTTGGAGACCCCTCCATGCAAAAATGGTTTTCTTCTAGATGGCTTCCCTCGGACTGTGAGACAGGCTGAAATGGTGGGTGGCCTGGTTTTGTATCTTCACCGCTTGAAAGCCAACTCTGGCCCTTTGTCTCTTACTTCCTTTGAGGGAGATGGGTCTGATCAAGCTCTGGTAGCTTAGGTGTGCCACACACTCTTTTACAGCTTGACGACCTCATGGAGAAGAGGAAAGAGAAGCTTGATTCTGTGATTGAATTCAGCGTCCCTGACTCTCTGCTGATCCGGAGAATCACGGGAAGGTATTTGTCCCCTGAAGGTCCCTTCTGTCGGTGCTTCCTCAGAGCTTTGTCAGACCATGGGAACTGCTGTTGCCTAACCCAAGCCAGGAAGCTGAGTGCCATTTCAGCGTGGATCGATCTTACTTGGTGACATCCGCTGAAGTGGTGGCATAGGGATGGGGATGTGGAAAGAAGAGCAAGGGATCTGAAGTCAGCCTCTCAGTCCTGTCACCTTTTAACACTGACCCTAGACAAGTTTCTTAACCTCTCCAGGGCTATTTCCTCATATGTAGAGTGCGGTTAGTAACACCTGCTTCAAGAAACTGTTGGCATGTTAGATAACATAGCATGCATAGTTCAGAGCCTTGCACCCATAATAGGTGCTTAAGAAATAGTAAATTCCTTACATGCGTATCTCCATTTGAATGCTTTTTAAAATCTGATTCCAGTTGGAGTTGCCATGCCTTGCTGTAGGCTTTTTATTAATTACGAAAAGAATATGAGCATCTACAGAAAGTTTAGAAAATGGAGGGAAAATTTGCTCGTGGTGCAGCCACCTTCGCCAAAATCACTATTTTTTTGCATGTTTTGTCTTCAAGTTCTTGTTTGTCTATAATAGTCGACATTGAACGCAGAAATGCTTCTGCTTCTGAACGTGTTTGCTCTGAAAGATCTCCACTGCTTTAGGCTACGCCCTCCCCTACCCTATTTCTAATTACTCCACCGTCTGCTTTGTACCTTCCAGAAATATGTTGGAAGCTCTCAACCACTAATAGGCCCTCCTATTCTTGTCTCTGCCTTGGGCTATAGCTTTTTTTTAGTCCTTAGTCATTTTAAAGGGGTCTCAGGAAGGTGGTCAGCCTACCGTCTTCGACCAGACATCCGTGACTGTTATTTTAATTGCTGTGTGATATTTCACAATAGATGACCCATCATTTACATTCTTGTTCCCTTGTTGTACGTTTGTGTTTCTTCCAGTTGTCCCCTGTTAAATTGATACTAAGACCATCGTAGTACCTGTAAATTTTTGGATTTAATTAGGGGAAAATTTTTTCTCACTGTAAATTTTATTACTTTGATTTCCCAATGAGGTTGAATGCTGTTTCCACGTGTCTGCAGTCCATATCTTCCAGGAGTGAGGCAGACCTGTAAACAGACAGCAGAGTGAGTGTTAGAGTGTTTTCCTGGATATTAGATAACAGTGGGAATCACCTTAGGTCAATTTTCTAATCAAATGTCCAGGTTTCATGTTTCTAGCTATTCCATAGGCTCCGTCAATGCAGGAACTTTTGTTTCTTTGCATCCCCACTGGCACAGAGCAGACAGACAAAGTTGATGTAGGCCAAGAAGCAGTAAGAGTTAACAGAAAGGGACATCAGCAGGGTTGGGGTCCCTGACATACGATGCAGATGGCAACAGTACTAGGTGCCACTGGGGGCCTTTGATTCAATCAATCCAGCTTCCTGAGTGCTTGCTTTGTGTGCAGCACAGTATTAGACTCTGGGGGCAGAGGACCAGGAGAGGATATAGAAGAACAGTATGATGGTGCCCATCTCTGACCTCAGAGAGTCTACAAGCCATGCGTGGAACCTGGGCCGTTCAGTCCAGGAGGAAGCCCAAGAAGAGAGCCTGTGGGCAAGGAGGGAGGAGTGCCAGGGGAGGTGTAACGTCAAACTTGACCTTCTAGAGAGAGAGGATTTCAGTGAGGCTTTCCTGGAAGGGAATAGAGGCAGAAATGAGTATGGGTTGGGGGAGGGGCTCTATCTGGGGCCAATGGCAGAATGTCCAGAGTTGGAGGAATGGTCTGGGGGGCTGAGTAGTAGAGTGAATGCTGTTGGGAAAGTAGGATGGGAGCTTGGCTGGGGAAGGCCTGGCCTGCTAGGGTAAAGAAGGTAGGTGTGACAGAGGGTCACGAGTCACGGGATGTTCTTAAGCCTCCAGGTGTTGTGGCAAAAACAGCATTCTAAGAACATTCGCTTGGTTCTCTCCTACAGGTGAAATTGGGGGAAAGGACAAAGAAACGAGGACCCACCTAGGGGCCTGGTTGTGGTCCACATGTAAAGAGATGGAGGCTTTTAACTGGGGGTGGCTGGTACGGAACAGGGATTTAAAGAACAAACTCCAGGATTGCTAGAGAGGGCGAAGGAGAGAAGATTCAGTCCCTCAGGTGCCAAGTGAGTGGTTTCCTGTGACCCCATCCCTCACGGAGGAGGAAACAGGCCAGACACATAAAAGTGTTCTTCCAAGTTCAGTCTGCAGGTCAGCGGCAGAGCTGGCACCAGAAGCTTGCTTTCTGCCTCCTAGTCCACTGCGCTGATTCTTGGAAGAAAAAGAATCAAGAACTAGTCAGTTTAATATGGATGTTATTTAAATCTGACGTGTTAAGGACCACTATAAACATCTTGTGAATTAGCTCTGACTTCCTTGCAATAATTTTATGAATGATTATTTTATTTCTTGAGTAAGTGTGGTTGGTGGTTGTTGATTTTAACTTACTCGGTGTTGGCACTCCCGTATCCTAATTATTGTGTTAGTTGCCTCTCTGGTGTTATTAGCCTAATGTCTGGTACCATCCCCATTTTGGGGATGAAGAAACAGGTGTCCGCAGCGTCACCCTCAAAGTAGTAGTGGCTGTAGATTCCCAGCCCTGATCCCTCCACATCCTCCCCTCTCCTTCCAGGACAGGCTCGCAGTGGTTCGTAGAGCTGTTTGGGTTTGTATTTGAGACCAGTCCCATTTTGAGAACTTGGAGATTGGACTTTCTTTCATTTCCTTTCCAGGGAATGAACCTTCCATTCCTCTTAAAATGATGCTTGTGAGTGGGGAAGGGACAATGTATTACATGTCACTGGAAGGCTGAGGCATTTTGGGAGTGAGCAAGAGAGGTAGAGGTGTGGAGGAGAGAGATGTGTTTGTTGCATCCTGGCTGCTATGTGCCATGTGCTCTCCAGAAGGTGAAGAAAATGGCCCACACCTCGTGCCCCCTGCATTTCCCAAGGGCAAAGCTGTAGCAGAGCCCAGCAGCCTATGTTCTCCCTCTCCCTGGGTCTCCCAAAGGATGCACCAGAGGAACCCCTCCTCCACCTCACATTACGTGATTGCAATCGCAGGCCCGCTCAGTACAGCTGATTTACTGGGCCATCACCTTACCCCTTCCCAGTGCTGTAAATGGACCACCTTATGCTATAAATGGACCACTTGGCCCCCGGAAAATGTGCTGTCTTTAAAACACAGTATCCTGTTTTACAGAGATGTGGCTTCAATAGTCTAACCTGGACTTGGGAAGCTCTGGGCTAAGACCTCCATGAGGAGAGCACCTGTCAATTAAATAAGCAGAACTTGGTTGGCATAGAATTGGGAAACCACACGAACTCAAGCAGGCCCTGGCTGCTGAGCAGTGTTTGGCCTGCCTCCTCCCTTCTTCGGTTTGTGGGCCCCTGTGGTGTGGTCATTCCCAGTCAGGAACATGGGCTCTTTGCCTGAGGGGACACAGCACAGAAGTGGCTACCAACTACACATTCAGTGCCAAATAAAAGCTTCGTCTTAGACCCTTTATCCCATGACTTGTTTAATAAGTCATTTTCCCTGACACCTTGAATGTTGCCCTCTGATGATCGCTCTCTCTTTTATCTGTGATCACAAAGGTGTGCCTCATTGTCTAGTGGTGTTTGCATCCACAGGACATATTTTTCTTATAGCACTTTTCTGATTTTATAACCAAACTGATTTAGAAAATAAGGTTAGTTTCTCTGTCCTGTGTCCCCATAGCATTTTGTACAAATCTCTGTTAAAGGATTATCACATTACTGTAGTTATTTATTTCCACATTTGTCTCCCCCACTAAATTAAGAACTGCTTGTGAGCAGGGATCTTGACTCCTTGCTCTATAGCCCCTGGATTCAGCCTAGGGCCTGAATCGGACTGGGCGCTTAGTACATGTTTGTTGAATGAACAAGTGAAAGTCCTAGCATCCTGCATCTCTGTCTCTGCTCATCATCTTGAGACCCCTGGGGTTCAGGGATACTTTCAGGCAACCTGACTGGTGTTCATTTGCTGTCTTTCAGGCTGATTCACCCCCTGAGTGGCCGTTCCTACCACGAGGAGTTCAACCCCCCAAAGGAGCCCATGAAAGATGATGTATGTAAACTCAGGACAGGAAGTTTCCTCTTCTTTCCTTTCTCTTTCTTCCTTCACTTTTGTTTGTTCATTTTTGCTTTGTTTTTTCCATTTCCCCTTTATTTCTATCATTATTATTAACTTAACCATGAGAAATATCACTATCACATAAATCACAAGGGCTGTGCTCATCAGTACAGTATCTTGCCAGGTGGTTTATTGCTGGGCCTCGAGGTGGCCACCAGTGCCAGCTAGTTCCCAGGGCCCGGTTTGTACCTGTGTTTTGTCCAGAGCTGTTCCTTTCTGGCATCATGGTGACCTAAATGGTCACCTAAGCAGGAGAAGGTGGCTTGGAGGCCCCGAATTAGAGGCAGAGTGGAGGGCTAGTATTGAGGAGAAAGTTGCTGCCCAGTCCTGCTTCAGAAGGTCCTTTCTTTCTAGTGACCCTACTGTGCCCTACAGATTCAGAATATTTTGGCTAGACTAAGACTGCCAAGTTCTTATGACAGTCTTCAATTGCTTGCTGATGTAAAAGGGAGGGTGCTATACATGTTTACTGTAACATTTGCCATAAATAGTCCGTTTCATCTGTTTTAGAGCATGCAGAAAATAGTAAGGATTTGCTGACTTTACCTTTGTCATATAAGACGGGTTCGTCAGGTTCCAAAGCTATCATGTCAACTTAGTCACATTCCCCAAAGCTAGTACTTCTATGATTCAGTTCTTTCTCGCTACACTCACCACTTTCGAATGTTGATGGCCGACACCCTGGTAAAAACACTAACTACTTAGGCACCTAAGGTTCTAAGTGATAATGCAGCTCTGATTTTGATGTATTCTCCTGGTCTCAGGGGCCTCTGTCTTTCTTGCTTTTGACCCTAGAAGTGTTCATCTTGGAAGCAGAACAGCCTGAGAAAAGGCTGTGAGACAATTTTTGCCCATCTTCCTCTCACCAGCCCATTTCCTCACGGTTGCTGTTTCAGGCTCCCTGACTTCTCTAGACCAGTGGGTCTGCTCCTGGGACCAACTTGCTGGGAGTATTGGAGTTCTCTATAGTTCTTTCTTGGAGAGGGTCTAGGTTGTCTGTCTTTCCCTCTGATGGGCTTTGCCACCACACAGCATCTCAAATCTGCATCTGGCATCTTGCTAACAGTCTTGGCGTTTCATTGCCCTCTTTCTGTTCTCAGATCACTGGGGAACCCTTGATCCGCCGATCGGATGATAATGAGAAGGCCTTGAAAGTGCGCCTGGAGGCCTACCACACTCAGACCACACCCCTGGTGGAGTACTACCGCAAACGAGGGATCCACTCGGCCATCGACGCGTCCCAGACCCCTGACGTCGTGTTTGCGAGCATCCTAGCAGCCTTCTCCAAAGCCACATGTAAAGACTGGGTTATGTTTATCTAATGCTGGGCCCAGAAAGGAATTTCTTGCTTCTTCCTATCCTTGTTGAGGGGGTGGGTAGAAATGGCAGAGCAGGTGGAGGAAGCTTCCTCAGGCCAGCGAGGATACCATTTGATGTATTAATTAAAAAAGCACTTGCTTGATGTATCTTTGGTGTGTGTGCAACTCTCATCTCATCTGTGTGTGTGTGTGTGTGTCAGTATAAGTATGTATATACGCTCCTACTTTGTAGGTTACAGGCGATGTTTTATCCGCTCTTCTTTAGCCATACTCTCGATTTTATTTTTTGACCAAAATAAACTAACTCAGGTATCTGCCAGGCACCCCAATTCCAAAACCTCATGGTATTTATTCCACCTCCATCAGCTGAGTGGAAGTCCAGGGTCACGTGAAGTCAGGCAAGGCCAAAGCTCCTGCTCCTGCTGGCAGATTGTCGGCAGGGAATTCCGCTTGTTTTTTAGCCTACAATGAAAAACCACACGAGTCAGTGTGTGGACAGGGATTATTAATTTTTTTCCCCTAAATGGAAAGAAAAAGGCGCTTACATTATAGATTCCAGAAATTACTGGGAGAGGGTATCACCATAGAAGAAGCCAGGCCAAGCTGGAATATTTTTGTGATCTGCATCACAGTGCTGTAAAGTAGGGATCATTTAGGACCTGTGTTTGAAAACGGAATTCTTGCCAAAGAATTAAACGAGGTGAAGGGTCCTTTTGAATTCAGACTACTGTCTCCTGAACATCCATGCTGGGCATCTGAGGGCAGCCAATCCACTTCCCCAAGGAGACACCAGGGGAGGTTTGTTAGTTTTTATTTTTAATGTTTGTCTCTGTCTCCAAGTATGAAGAAAACACTGATTTGGAGGTGATCTGTTCTTGGATTCTTCGGATTTGAATTTATTCAAACCCAGCCTCTCTTGAGGCTGTGAAACTCAAGTCAGATGTGTCCCTTTTAGACTAAACCCTCGTCCTTCCAGATCCAGTCCTTCACTCCTTACTTCATAACGGTGGGAGCCACAGTGTCCCCAAGAAAAGATCACCCCAAAATAAGATCACTTATGACAGTAACCAGCTTTTATTTCTAACCTCAGCTCCCCAACTATTAAGTGTTTCCTGGGGTCCATGCTGTGCCTTTTGGTCTCTGGTTTGATTTGTGGCAAACAGATGAATTAATAGATTGCTGTGAGGGGCAACAAAAACAGCAGCCTCTGGAAAAACCGTTAGAAAATGAGTGGCAGATCCAGTAAGTAACGCTGCCTCCCTCAGCGTAACCTGCTGACTCAGTGCAGTGGTCTTTCAAGTGCCCAGTCTCCCTCTGACCTGAACTCTCCTCCTGTCTCTGAGACTACCAGAGGGCTTGTCCTCTGTCCACCTGGAAGCTGGGCACGGGTACGTGGCCATCTTGCTTCCCTGTTTGTCTGGTTCAAGTGAGTGCCTGCCGGCTCTGCTCTGCCTTGCTTCCCTGGCTGTAACTAACTCCACCCATTCTTAACGGAAGCCCAGTTCCGGCGTGGGGCATTTCTGGGAAGCACATGACTTCTGGGAATAGCCACGGAAAAGGAGTGAAACCAAAATTATCAGCCATGTCTACAGGGATCTGGGGTCCTCCTCTGGGTGAGGGTGGCCTCATGAATCTTGGAGTCAACTCCCCTTTGGCTGGGGACAGTTGCAGACACTTGGCCTCAAAGTTGAGGTCCTTGAATGTTTCCTAATTGAGTGTGCATGATCTTTCTCAAATATTTGTCACCCATTCATACACATTCACGTGCACACACACGTGTGTGTGCTATTTGTGCTGCCAGTGAGAACTAGATGATCATGGGGGATGCATATGCCCTTTGGGGGTGGTTGGGCTTTAGATTTTTGCTTCATTTAATTCCAGACCTTAACCTCAGCAGGCATGAGAGCTTTCACTTGGCAGAGAAATGTCCAGTGTTAATGCATTTGGTTGCTGGGGCGTGCATGCTAGCCTTCTTTGATATTTACTTGGTTTCTAAAAACCCATTTTGTTCTCTCTTGTTTCCTCTCTATTTCAGCCTAGTAGCAGAAGGCCAGGCGAGACTGCAGCACTGCTCATCACCCCGCGGCGTGATCCCTGCTCTTAGGTGCTGGGCAGCGGGGAGGGGTGGTCAGGGACGAGTCGGGAGGGGCTCAGGAGGAGTATTGGAAGAGCAGCAGTGTTGTAGTGAAGTGGCTTCTTGGATACATAGTAGGGATCTTTAAAAGTAAAGGGGAAAATTAATTTTTTAAAAAACTGATTGGAGGGTATAACGAGAACTGTGGAGATGCAGTATTATTTCTAAGGAATCAAGTTTCATGTACTCTGGACTGGTGACAATATTTTTTAAAGCTAGTGCACTGAGACCTCAGCTTTTATCTCAGAACCTCAAGGTTTACCAGGCTGGGAATGCAGGAAATCAAACTGTTGTCCTGTCTGTCCTGCAGCTTGGAACGGGGAGGGTTTGACTACTGACCCAGATTCCCCACACCATGAGATCAAAAAATCACCTCTGCATTTGAAAGAGATCCGGTGTGTTCACGGGGGCAGTAGTCAAGTTTACTGGAGTTGTGGCAAGGGTGGGGCAGGCTGGTCTCACTTCCTTCCCGCCGTACCACTGATTTCCAGCCCACCCGCTCTCATGGGGAAGCTCTCAGCAGCCAGCCAGCATATGCCACAGTCCTGCCTTGCCGCCTTCCATCCACCATGTGTAAAGGGACATTTTTAAATAAATGACCAAGTGTCCTAATCAACATCATCCAAAGATTGTCCTTTCCATCCTCAAATCCTGTGCCTGGGATCACTCAACAGCACTGTGATGTACTGTTTTCAATGAGGTGCCTTTCTTAACCAGATGCTGCCTTGTTTGGCCCCTAACTCAATAAAGTCTATTAAAAATTTGTATCCCCTGTTGTGGCATTTTTTGAGGGGATCTGGGCTAGTAAAATGGCATTGAATTCTGGATCTGGCTTGGAAGCCCTTTTTTGTGGTCACTAGAAGTTGTGAGGTAGGAAGGTCCAAGTGGGTGCTCATAGGATGAACCTGCACCCTCTTGGTCTCATGTGCAGGCTTTCCTCGAGCCCAGGGACAAGGCAGCTTGGTCTGGTGGAGACAGCACTGGGCTTGGGGTTCAGGGAACTATAACGAATCCCAGCCAATCATTTCCTCTGCTCCTGCTTCCTCATCTGAAAAAAGACTGGTGATGCCGCCTTCTCAGACTCATTGGCATTAAATGAAGTTTATAAGAAGCAGCTTTTTGCTTGGTGCCTGGCACACAACAGACGCTGGAGAAGTGTTAGTTGGATCCGAATATACACAAAAATATCTGCTTCCTGCCGGGCTGGATAATTGGTGAGCAGACAGTTGTCCGCAGCCTAGAAAGCCAGTGCTTCTCAGCTCTAAGCCCGATTTTTGGCTGCTTTTTCAGCTGCCTCTTTAACGCCCTTGGCTGCTGCTTTGTAAATCCATTTCTTCCCCAGCAAAAATGAACTTAAATCATTTGTCTAAACCGAAGCTCTCATGCTCTTTGGAAGGGCTGCCTTGGCCAGTGAGTTTTCTGAGAAATGGCTGCTGTTCTGAAACCAGAGGGAGCTGGCTGGAAGCGCCGCTGTTCTTCAGGGTCCCGTTCTGGAGAGAGGCCGGGTTGTCACTGGCATGTTAAATCGAGCTCCCTGAGCAACTAACTCTTCCCTCTCCTGCTTCACCGCTCCCCACCTCTGCAGTCATTCTCAGGTGTCAACATGACTTCTCTGCTCTGATCTTCTCATTCCCTGAGCTGTTTAAAGGCTCGATGAAAATTTTCTTCATCGTCCTGCAACAAATGGGGGAAATATTTGTCAATCCAGCCTGGGAGGCCGCGTGGTATGGTTGAAAAGAATAAACTGAAAGAAGACCAGGCAAGCTGTTAGTCGTTACTTCTTTTGGGCTTGGTTCCTTATGTGGACAAGATGAGAACAGCTGTTCCTGGAAGACTGACACGCCAGGTCCTGAGCAGCGGCTTCACGACCCCCGCGACCTCACGACCCTCACGAAGCACCGGAGGCGGTCAGAACTGTCATTCTCCTGTTTTTCAGGTGAGGAACATTCCTGAGGTCACACATAAGAGGCGGAGTCGGAACTCAAATGCAGTCTCGGACGCGGGTCAGTGCCCTTGGCCTTGTTGCAGTGCTTTAGTGACTAGCCCAGCTCTACAGCAGGGAGGGCCCCTCCGGATGAGAGTTCCTTCTCATGGACACGCACGCTGCCAGAACTGATTTTGAAGAAGTCACTGCCAGTCAGGACCCAGGTTATGTGTCTTGGGATCCCTTGTGTGCGCAAAGTGTCACAGACAGAGCAGGATGAAGAGCAGTCTCACTCCTCAGGAAGCCTCCCTAGTCTTCTCAGCAAAACAGCTAAATGAGTCAGAAAACAGATTTCAGCAGCGACTCCTCCACCATGAGACCTCGGGCAAGTTCTCTCACCTCATCAGTAGACTGGAAATGACCCCTAGCCCTCAAGTGTGCTGACAACACTGGTGACCAACATACTCGTGTGGGCCAGGATTCTTGGTACACAGCAGATGCTCAGTGTGTGCTGATGGAGTTTAGAGAGAGAATGTAGGCACTGGCAGGAGCTGTTGTCTTCCTGACTTTCAGAAACCAAGCCAAGGATTCTTAACCTGAAGATGCCCCAGGAGTTGATGGACCTCTGAAATTGTGTGCAGAAGTCTGTATTTTTGTATTTTCATAATTAATAATAGTTTAACATATCTAATGCTTACTGTGTGGCAGGTTCTGCATACATTATCTCATTTATTCTTCTCAATAACCCTGTGGAAGCAAGCACTATTACTATCTCCATGTTGTGTCTGCGTTTTGAGGTTCATACATCGAGGAATGGCAGTGGCTGGTCTGTGGCTGTCCACACCCCAGCCACTTACCACTGCCCCCATTGCTTTGACACTTTGCTGGCAGAAGGAGGAGATTCTCAGGGCACTCGTGATACAGAGAAATCCACAAGCCGTGGATCTGAATGAAAGGAGAAGAAAGTCGAGTAGGTTTCCTGTGTCTGGAGGAAGGACCTGAGTGGGGAGAGCTGCCTCAGGTAAGGCCTTTTTCATTTTCGCCATTCTTGCTTCCTTGCTGTGGCTGCTAAAGCTTCAATGTACTGGATTTGCAAAGCTCTTGGAACCACTCCTATTCCAGAAGGGCCAGAGGGCTGAGTCACTGTGGGAGAGAGCAGTCCATTTCCCCCGCCTGGTTCTGGAAAGGGTGGCAACAGAAGGGTGCATGTGCTGGCTCCATCTCACGGTCATCCCTCCAAGACTGCAGCTCTGTACGCCCGATGGCATCGCTTTATTCCTAACTCTAGAGGGAACCCCGTCCTCTGACATCTGGGGAAGGCGGCAGCTCTGTGTCGAGAGTTGTCCAGGGCAGTGTGGTGATGAGCTGATCTCACTGAAGGCCCGTTTCAGGTGCGCGGTCAGGATGAGCTGCACCCAGCAAGGAGCAGACGGGAGTAGAAAGAAGGTGTCAGAGGGCGAGGGCAAGACAAGCCTTAGGCCCAGATCGTGTGCAGGTAACCCTCAGGCTGAACAGATCTGCACTTTTGGGGTAAAATGGCCATAGCGCAAATCGTTACATGGTATGGTGTCCCTTAGATAAAGACTTTTGGGACAGATCTCTCTGAACTTGGAGCTAGGAGGTAATTTTGCTTCCCACTTGACTAGTCTTTGTTTCATACTGTGTTTTCTTTTTTGCCTTGGCTGTGAGGAAACTCCCCTTGTGTTCCATTGCTATGCTTTCCTCTCCCGGGGTTTCTTAATAAAATTCTTACCCCACCTCACCCAGTGTCAGTTGTTTTATGTTTAGTGTTTTTGTGCTCAGATGTGCGTTGTAAACTGCCTTGAATCTGTTTTGGAAAAGAAGCAGGGTGTAGAGAAAGGGCTAATTATGTGGTACAGGAGGTCAGACTGCAGAGAAGAGGGTAGCTTTGTGGAGGAGGTGGGATGGGGTGGCTCCAGGTGGAGGATGGAGCATTCCAGGCAGAGGGCACGGCCCGAGGGAAGGTACAGAGGCCACTGGGGCTCGGGGCTGCTTTAGCTAGTGCATCCCTGGAGTTCTCGGGACATCTGCATCTGGCTGGAAATAGTGTTTCCAAACCAAGCACAGGGACAGTAGAAAGGAAGTAGTAAGAGTAACATCAAGAACCCAGAAGAGTGGGAGACAAGGACGTGTACACATCGAGTTGACGGCCTACCTTCAGTTCGGCCCACCTACCATCCTTCTTCCTTCTCTCGCAAACACACCGCATCCGTGCTTTGACCAGGAATTGGGTGGTCCTTTGCTCTGCGACTGAAGAGGGGAATCCCCTCAGTTTTACTGTCAGCTCTGTGTCAGTCATGTGCCTAGTGATGTGGGCATGGGTTCTGGGGGTGACAAAGACGACCTGTGGTTAGATCTTGGTGCTGACAGTAGCTCACTGCGTTGGGGAGACACTTTCCTCTAAGCCTCAGTGAAATCACATGTAAAATGAGGATTGTAGCACCCTTCTACGGGTGGCAGGGTCAGTATGACGTGAAAGATAGCAGCTGCGCAATAAATGATCCTTTTTTTCCTCCTTTCCCATGGCCATTTGCCACGAAATAAAGGATCTTACCGTGACTACCAGGTATTTCCAAATGTGTGTCTTCACCCATTCCTACTCCCCAGTGCCACCTCCCTCCCCCTTAGAATACTGCCCCAAACCAGAACAGGTTGCTTTTCACTGGGATGTTTGCTGAAACCACACCTTGGGCTTGGTGGTACCTGCTCTTACTCTACAGACCGCCCCCACAGCCGCCTGCAGGAACTGCCCTCCTTGAGGCCAAAATGGGAGGGAGTGCAGAAGAGCATGATGGGGTAGGTGTGTGTCTTCTATTGCCTGGGACCCCAGGGAGATGCTGGAGTGGGTTGAAAGAGCCTGGTGAGAATTTCATCCTTTGAAAACCTTTGAGAATTGCCCCATAGTAGAGGAATGAGAGAAGTACCTCCTGCTTGGTGTTGTGGGCATGATTAAACAAGTTCGTGCACATCAGGGGCTTTCGAACAGTGAGCGCCCGTGGTGCTCAGTGAGTGCTCCCTAGCTGGCGGCTCTGGCTCAGCAATTCCCCTTTGTTCCTGCATCCTAAGGAAATGACTGTGCAGCATTTTTTATAATAGGGTGAGAACTGGAAACAACCTAAATTTCCAACAAGGGGAGATAGGCTATGATTCATTCACGGGATGGAGCAGCATGCGATCATGAAATAAATCATTTCAAGACAGAAGAATTTCATGATAAACTATTGAGTGAATAAACAAAGGTTATAAAATAACAGAGAATGGGTCCACTTTTGTTTTTTTTTTAAACAACTTTTTCTCTTTTTTTTAAGATTTTATTTTTGCTTTTTCTCCCCAAAGACTCCCAGTACATAGTTGTATGTTTTTAGTTGTGGGTCCTTCTAGTTGTGGCAAGTGGGACACCGCCTGAGCATGCTTGATGATCAGTGCCATGTCTGTGCCCAGGATCTGAACTGGCAAAACTCTGGGCCGCCAAAGCAGAGCCGGCAAACTCAACCACTTGGCCACGGGGCCGGCCCCAGGGTCCACTTTTAAAAGTAAACTTTTTATTTTGGAATAATTTTAAGTTTACAGAAAAGTTCCAAAGATAGTACAAACAGTTTCTGCATACGCTTCTCCCAGCTTCCCCTGATGTTAACATCTTACATAACTATGGTACATTTGTCAAAACTAAGAGATTAACTTTGGTATAGACTCTGGTTTGGTTTTCATCACTTCTTCCACGAATGTCCTTTGTTGCTGTTCCAGGATCCAACCCAATATACTGCATTGCATTTAGTTTTAGTTTTGTTTTTTTTTAAGTTTATGTACATAGAAAAGCATCTG